ACGATCTCCGGGAGTGAGTCAAAGGCGAGAAGACATTGCGGTGAGGTCGGTTCTTTGTTGCTCCCCCCTTTTCGATCACCTCAAAAGACAATTATGTTGGGCATAAGAGTCCTTTTGGGAAAATAGATGGCCCTGATTATGAAACAACCAGGTCAACCAGGGCCAAAAAAAACCTATGCATTTGGGCTTGACTCAACCTAGCGGCAGCGCGACCCCACAAACTGCGGCATTCCTTTTGCCTTCCCGTAAAACAAAACCCGCAAAAGGAGGTACCATACCCTAAAACAAAACGATCCCACTTGCTTCCGAAAGGTCTTCCTGGGGCCTCTTCTTCCATTTGGTTAAGACCCCTGCAAAAAAATGTTTAACACAAAATCCAGTGGTGATAGATTCCCTTTGATACCAACAGGGGAAAGTAATAATAATAGTAGTAATAGTAATAGTAATAATAATAATAGTAATAATAATAATAATAGTAATAATAATATATTCTTCTGCAAATGGAAGGTTTGTGTGTGAAGGTCACGCCAAAGCCAGCCATGGCGAACCGGCGATCCAAAGATCCACCCGGCGATCCAAAGCCCGGCCTCGCCGGCGCCTTCAGCGCCTCGGCCAATCAAAGTCGGGCGCGTTGTCCACAAGTTCGAGGGCTCCCCTAACTTCTGTGGTCACCTGTGGTTGTCAAAACCGTTTTGGGATCCCATTTTGGTTGGCAGGTGAATTCACTTTTAGTCTGGGCTGTTAAAAATGGAGGGTTGGCCAATCCTAATCCACAATCCCTATCGGAAAGCCACTACAAAGAAAGGGGACCCCATGCGTAATGTCAGGTAAGGATTGAGGATTGCCTTTGAACAGCCCAGCGCTTATGTGGGAAGTTGTGGGGGTGAACGCGTGTGACCACAAAATTGCAAGTAGCTCGTAGGCTCTAGCTCGCGCACGCCTGGGGATCTATGCAGAGGCAAGGCACCCTGAAAGCTGACATGGGAGTGTCTTTTTTTTAGGGGATCCCCCCAAAACGGTGGTTTTCCTTTTAGATTTCCCCTTAAAACCCAAAAAAGGGCGGGCACTCTCAAGAAGCGACCCACCCATGGCAACGCAAACTCGGATCCTGCTTCCCATGCCCAAACCTTCTTCAACTCTTCAGCTGGGTCCCCCCTGCTGGGCGGCCGGCTGGGCCTAGGCAAGGCTGCGTGTTTCCTTTAGACTCGGGACGGGGTGGATTATCCAAACGCTTGTCAGCTTCCCTCCCGTTGGTGGTTTGGAGCCGAATCGGTGGTTTGGTGGTCTTCAGGGGTGGTTTCCCATTTACTCTCAAGGTGCAAACAAGGGCCCCGTTTTCGCCCCTGCCGCGGGTCTGTTCTTTTTCCTTGAGCTCTCTCCAACTGGCTTGGAGCCAGGGGACGGTTCAGTCTAGACAGTGCACGCTCATTTTTTCAAAACGCTGGTATTGAAGGAGCCTATATGGGGTGGCTTTTGTAGGGGTCCCTGCAAGTTGGTTTCCCTCCAAAACCAACAAACAGGGCATGTTCACCCCTCCCAGTCCCCTTTCGTTTCTTCTCAAGCGAGCCGTTGGCCCTGGGCTGCTGGTTCTCGGGCGCCGGACTCTCGCGGGCCTGGGGACGCCCAGGCGGGCGGAGGACGCCGCCAGATTCTTAGAACCTGCTGGAGTTCTTGCAGCTTTTTTGGGAGGTCGGGGGTCGCCGGTCGCCGGTCGCCCCAAGATCTCTCCTTAGGATCTCCTTTCGTAGGGCTCCTGATCTCCTGAGCAGCGACATCTGCCTCACTTCCACCCTCCCGACCCCAGGTGCAAACCTCCCGGAAAGCCTACAACAGACCGTGGTTGCGGTCCGTCTTTGCGGCTGCCTCCACTAAGCGACTAACCATACCTGCTAAGAGTGTGGCTAGTCAGTTGCGGTCCAAACCAAAACCAACCAACACCTTTGAGCTGATGAGGATGCAAGAGTGCTCCCCACATGGGGTCCCAGACAAGCCGATGTACACCGACGACAAGGAGTGCTGGTTTCAGCGGATGTTCGTGCAGTTTCAGATTTTGCCTTCGCCGCATGTACTGACCACTTGCGGTGTTCTCAGCGAGTGACAGTAACCCCTTTCCCCCCGTTTCAGCCACCCAACTAGGGGCCTCCAACCATGGAGAGTAAAGGCACCTGGGCCCCAAAACGCCAAAACCAGCAAGGCCCTTCCCCCCGGAAAAAAGAAGAAAAAAGCCCAGTCCGAGTCCCGGCCTGATGGAGCTGCTGAAAAGTGCCTCGCATTCGCAAAGGCGCGACTGCAACTTGCACCGCGGCCTTTGCTTCCCCCCTGGAAATAAATGGCAAGATTTCCACTTGTGAAATGAGTTCATTTAACACCAACCACCGGGAAAATAAGCCAAAAATGTTGATGTCAGAAACTGGAAGTTTGCAAAATGCAGCACGTGGCCCGACATGAGCTCCTTTCTGGGCGTTCAGAGCCGACTGTGGCCAACCAACTGGTCCCTTGCCACGTTCCGTACCTCTCCCCGCCAGAACGCCTATTCAACATGGAAAAGGACTTGGAACAATTAGTCACAAAGCACGGTATCTGGCAGTAACCAGGACATACAAAATTCCGAGGTTCCCCCTCAAGCATGGCTAAACATCCCCCCACTTAAAGAGAACTCACTTTCTTCACAACCCTTGAGCATGGCAGGAAAAAAAGTGTTGTTTGCAGCTCCCTTCTAAAAAGTGAACAGAACCAAAACGAACAAACAACGTGCCAAGAACACTGCAGCTTTAGATGGGCTCAAAGGGTGATATTTAAAACCCCCAACCCTGGCGCCTGCCGAATCGCCAGCCACTCCCCCCCCTCCCAGCAAAGCAACAGGCCGAGGCCCCTGCGAGCTAGGCGGGGCCTCACTCATGTTGACCGATGCACAGATGAACAACCCCCTTGTCATACTCGTGGTTGGTGGGTGGAGCTAGTAGGCCGGAACTTCGGACAACAAGCTCCATGGTTCTGAAAAATCGGGGTTTGGGGATGGACTCCCCCCTTTTTCCAGTGACTCAAAACGTAATCCTGCTCAGTTACTCATTGAGGGGAGGGTCCTTCTAGTGACTCAAAGTAGTCCCGCTCAGTCACTGACCGGGGGGGGGAGGGGTAGAAAGGATTCTGCGACCCCCCTTCATCAGAAGTTGGGGGGTTCTTCATCAAGGGTCAGCATTCAACGGCATGCCTTGGAGTCAGCCCCCGCTTTCACGGCCCCGGTGGCCTCAGACAACAGAGTTGCCCTGGGTTTTGTTTTGGGCGAGTCGCTGTGGACGAGCGAGGAATACTCAGAGCAAGAGGAGAGTCGTGGAAATCAAATCCCGAACATCCTTCACCCACGTGATGGTGAAACTTGATCAGCCGCAAGTCAAACAGAACTGCTCCAAGAGTCCTGGCACAAGGGTGGCCAAAGGCTCTATAGCCGGCGAATCAGTGGAAAACCAAACAATAGTCTACTACAAATGCCTCAAAGAGAGAGAGAGAGAGAGAGAGAGAGAAAAAAAAAAAAAAACAAATGGGGTAGGCTACTGTTAAACCAAGTGGTCAGAAAAAGACCGTGATGCTCGTAATGATTTAGCCCCTAATTCTACATTAGGTGTTGGTGGAGAGCCGAACAAGATCAACATGCGCCAAAACGAGGAAGTCAAGCTAGATCCACTTCCTGAGAGGATCGGCCAAAAAAAAAAAGCAACCAAACATTGTATTTGCCACTAAAATGGTCCAAACCAAAACTAGGCTGCCCTCAGATCCCCCGCTCAAAGTCTAACTTTTAGCGGGTTAAATGGAAATTACCCACTAAACACGAAAAGGATCTGAAAAAAGCTGAGGAACTGGATGGCTGGCTTCGCCACCAAGATAAAACGTGACGATCAAGTCCGAAACGGAACTCGACAAGTGAGCCTAGACGACTTTTGATAAAATCGGGGGGTCCCTTGACTGTCCTATACACCCGCACAAAACGCAGGCGCGCCTGACGCCCGCAGTCGCGCCTGCGCAAGTGGAGAAATTTGATATTGCAACCTGTCGTACGAAACCAAGGCAGCCACTTGCGGGAGTTTTGCCCCCCGGAAAAAATGCGAGAAAACATATTTCCAGCAATGAAATCGGTCCCCTTTAAAACCAACAAGGGAAAGTCGGAGAAACAAGTGGAAACCCCAGCAGCCCCGATTGCTTCAAATTTGGCTGTGACTTTGAAAACGCACGCTGCGGGGTGCGATCAGCTGGACCAAATTGCTCCCATCTTTCGCCTGCGAGCCTTGTGGCGGCGGAAAAAAAAGGAGGAAAAAACGCCGGCTTCCATTTGTTTAAGGCCCCCGGAATAAATATGATATTTCCAGTAGTGATACATTCCTTTTAAAACCAACAAGGGGAAAAAAAGAAGAAGCTATTCTTAAGCAAATGGAAGCCGGGATTGCGTTTCCAACCAAGAAAAGGCTGCGGTGACAAGGGAAACCTCCCACACGGGTTCGTGTAGCATCAGCGGGTTTGAACCGCTGCGAAGAGGAACTCCGGAACTTCAAGTCGTTGGCAATCGCTGAAAGGCATCCCAAACACCCGGCCATGGGAAGGGTCGAAAGGGAACCCCCCGCCAAGAACAACTCACTTGCAACCAAAGGACCTGGAAATATATAGAAGGTTTGAACCTGGGGCACTAAATATGGACCAAAACATGGAAACCTAAACGTTAAAGGTCGATTCGCTTTGGCTACAACTGAGACAAGGGAAAACGGGGACAAATCGGAGGGAAATGGTTTTCCTCTTTCAACCGCTGGGCAACAGTCGATTGCGGGACTTGCCGTGCCACGAGCCGAAAATGGAAAACCCAACTGGGTCGATCTCAGGGACCCCCTGCAAAGGCTTAACACCTTATCTAGCTTGCGGGGATACAAGGTGAGAAAGGAACATAAGGCGTCCTGCCCTCCTTTGCCCCCAAAGCGTTCCAAAGGTGTACGGCTAGCTTTTGCCAAGTGTAGAGCATGCCTGTACAATGGTGAGGAAGGAGGAGCTCCCTGACACCGTCTGGATGCAATCTTGCTACGTCAGGGCTTCTCTTCAATGCGACCATGACACGTACAGTGTCAGTGCTCGCTGACAAGAAGAGATGTTGAGACGCAGCTATCCGGCAACCTCACGTCACCGGATCGGCGGCACTACCGAAAATCGATGCACACTAGACACACTGTGGATGGGGTGGTTTATCATCCCAACTAGTGCAGGATGTTATCCATCCACAGTAATTAGGGACCACTCAGATCCACTCAGAGTCGGGAGATGGCGATGAGGGCCACGCCCGGCAGGCGAATCATGACGCCAATCAGCGCGAAGCAGCGGCTCTTTGAGGTCGCAAGCTCACTGAAACAGCAGAAGCCGATCAAGAGAGCCAGGATGCTGGGCACGCTGCTAATGATTGGATACCTTTGCCGGCTTGCAGCAAATTTTGTCTTTGGCAGCCGCTAAAAATGAACAGAACCAACAACACAAAACCCAACAACTTGCCAACTACAGTCAAGATACGTCACTGAGAAGCCCAGCTCCGCGTTGGCCTGGAACCAAGCAACCGTGCCAATGGCCCAAATGATGCCTGAGCACATGGCCGGCAGCACGAGGTTCAAGGGGGCAAAGCTTTTTCTCCGCCGCACGAGGACGTAAACGAGCAAGGACGCAGCTGCCGAGACAAAGATCCCAAGAAAGTGGCTGAAGACGTAGTCCAGAGCATAGCTGCTGTGGTTCTCTCCAAACTGCCCCTGCATCAGATCCTGGGGCAGGTCGAAGGTCGCGCCAAAGAGAACGCCTGCGAGCATGGCCAAAGATGTACCCATGACCATTCTCATGGGGCTTTGCCTCTCGTCCTTCAGGTCCGACCGAGGTCGTGCGCTCCAAGTCCTCCGCACCCTCCAAGTTTTGCGACTCAACTTCCTTGGGCTTCGTGTCGAAGTGTGCGGCCAGGTACATGAAGACCAAGGAGACGCAGGCCAGCGCTAAACCGATGTAGTTGAAGAGGGGCTTCTCCGAAATCTCCTGGTCCACCCCGAAAAGGCCAAAGCGCCCCGTGAACCAGCCCATGAGCATGTTGCTGAGGTCCCAGATCGTCAAACCTAGGCCCAGGCCTATGAGCTGGATCACCAACGGGCACACGAGGTTTCCCATCGTGAAGATAACTCCGCCCACTGCGGCCAGGGGTTCGAAGACAAAGGGCTCGTGCTGCATGAAGCCCATCACTAGACCAACCATCAAGATCCCCAGGGACATGGCAAAGGTGAAAAAGATCCCGTCCCCCGTCTCGTACTTCTTCACGGGCAGGAAATTCACCGCATAGGCAACACTGGCGATCAAGCAGCAAGCATAGCCCAAGGCAAGCTGGTCCGTCATAGCTGTGCAGGGCTGTTCTAACTTGTCAGGGTGATCTCTTTGAATGTTCTTGAGATACGGCATACGGCAAGGTCGGCACACAAGAAGTGCTTCCTTGATTTGCTGGGGTGCACCCACCCCCTTTTCCTTGGCACACAAAAGAGGGCCACGCAGAAGATCATAGTTTATGACTCTGTTTCATATGGGATTGTCAAATCGAGTTGCCGACTGAACACAGTTTGGCACCCACATTTTGCCTATAGCTTCTTGTGCAGACCCCAGTTCGCCCAGAAACCTCCGGGCTCAGATCCCCGGTGCAAAGTCTAAAGCTTCTAGCGGGTGAAAAAAAAACGGAAGCCCAACAAAACAGCTCGGTTCCACCGGAAATTTCGCTGGGAAATGCCTAGTTTGGGTTGGACATTCCCACCGGTGTGGTGAAGAACAAAAAGGCCGCGCAGTGGACCCAGTTCACATTGAACAAGGCAGATCTTGGGGCCTGGATAGAAACAAACCAGCTTCGGCCATTTTGGCAGTACTTGCTGGTGCAACTGCCCGCCAGGGCGCTCATGAACCATTAACGGGTTCAAAAAGGGATCCTGAAAACTGAACTTTGAGTCATTCTTCACAACCATCGTTCTGCTGGGAAACGGCTAAATTTCAAGGATGGGGGGAGGGGGGGGCGGGCGTCTTCCAATTGTCTGACCAGATTTGAGGCCTCCCAGGAGATGATAAGCCAAAGCTGAGTAGGGGACAGGCTTCGACAGAAACATACAGGTAATGCTGACTCCGGATTTATAAACCCATGTTTATTAATATGGGTGTCATTGGTTTTAGTGGGGATTTATCACTTTTGGAGGGGAACATCCCCATATTCATAAACAGGGGCTTCTCAATCCGAGGTCAGCATTAGTAACTTTACCAAACATAATTGTGTGGTGTCTGGTTGGCCTACGTGGGATTGTTCGGCTGTACGTCACCTAGCGTTTGTCACCCTCAAATCCGATCGGGCCTAGCGCGCGCATAGGGCCTCGGCATCAATTCCCTGGGAACCAACACTAAGCCATGCAGGGCTCAATGGATGTATTGCCTTTCCACTGAAACGTACCCCAACCGCGTATTGCCGAAACCAGGCGGGGGTACCCATCTGTACAAGTGGTAGGCAGTGCACACGTGACGGTACATCCTCGTGCAACACGCATTTAAAGTGGTCCCCTTGAGTACTCCTACCCAAACCACTAGCCAAGCGAAATCCGGGTATACACCTGTGAAAGCATGGTACGTAGAGGCTGCATATCAATATATATATATATATAATTCAACAGCTGGGGGTAGCGGTTTGGGGGCAGAGGATCCCCTTGAGGGGCTCCAGCTCTTTTTGAGGGATCTTTTTGGAGAGCAGGTGGTTCTTGCGATGTGCCCTTGGAAGACACCCTGCAAAAATCGGCTGGAGGACCATGTCCCGACATGGGCGGCATGGAGGCTCTTGCCAGATAAATACCAAAACAGAAAATTGCAAAGTTGCCTACTAGAAGGGCAACTGGGATCCACTCAATGATACTTGGGTGATATTTGGGCCCATCGACCCCAAAGCCTTCAGGCAAAGAAAAACAACTGTCCATTCGGGAAGGAGTGGGATGCTTCGACCTGTTCACTGCCCTGCTGGGGTGAGCTTGCCTTGTGACTTATACCCCGGTGTTGCCCTTCAGCCTCTTCCCCCCGGTGGAAGGGCAGAAACAAGCATCAGGGGCGCCTCTCTGGGGGGGGGGTTGTCCAAAGGGACCCCTGTTGGAAGAGAGGAATCCCCACAGAAGCGGCCCCCTCAGGTCCAGCAACTCGGACGTGAACTCACATGATGACGTCCGCATGGCACCCCCACCTCTATGCCAGAGGGGGGGGGGGAGGCAAAATAATTTTTCAGGCACCCCTTGTCCGCCCTAAAGCTTGGGGGGGGGGGGGGGGGGGGGCAAAAGACCCTTCTCAATCTCCTGGTGGGTTCCATTTCCAGCCGATCGCCCCTTTGTCTGCCGCATCATGTGTGACATGTTTCAGCTTCCTGGTGCACCACAAAGGGTGGAGTACGTGTGGATAGGACGCTAACATGGAACTTAATGTCCTCGAAGACCATCTCTTCAAGGGACCTCTGATGGGTCCCATGGCTCCTGGGCTTAATCTCATGATCTGAAAGCAGTTGCGAAGACCATCTCTTCCAGGGACCTCTGATGGGTCCCATGGCTCCTGGGCTTAATCTCATGATCTGAAAGCAGTTGCGAAGACCTCTTCCAGGGACATCTGATGGGTCCCATGGCTCCTGGGCTTAATCTCATGATCTGAAAGCAGTTGGTTTGGAGGTGTTCCGGGCGGAGCTTCCCATATTTACCCTCAAAGAACAAGGAGTCCAAAGCGCCGGGGCTCCAACCCAACTGGGGTAGCTTCTCGTGTTGGGGGGTCGACCATTTTCGGGGGTTGACCAATTGGGGAGTACCTGATGCCGAAGGCCAGTGAAGAAACAGATCACGCAGCTGCCCCCGCCCCCCTCGCCGCCAAGTGCCAGACTCAGAAGCCCTGATCCTCTCAATGGCCTGCCACGCTTTCTTTGGGGGGAGTACCCCGCTTGCCTTTTGGAGGGACAGGATGGGATGCGTTGGAAACGGCCTTTGTTGCGAATTATAACCCGCAGCTCCCAGCCCCCCGGCCCCGCCCCCCAGAGGCATGAGACAATCCGAACTCGGCCCGTAGCTCTGAAAAGGGTGGCCGAAACCCATGCCTCCCTCCCCCCCCCCCAAAAAAAAAAAAGAAGCCGGAACTTGAAACAACCCCGAAGGGGTTTCTGACCTAGCAGCTGCGTAGCTTTGTTTTGCACTCGGGCCACGGAGATATCTTCAGTTCCTACCCTTGTGGTCTGCTCATTTTGAGCTTCGGAGCAGCTCTTTTCGGGGAAACACCTACCCTTGTCTCCTCATTTCAGCTTCTTCTTTTTCGGAGCAGCTCTTTTTGAGAAAAACTGAGACTCAGTCCATGGGACCCACCAGCAAGTTGCTCGACTTGTCTGCTTGAGGGAAGCCCGGCTGCAAAAGCGTTTCCACGCTTCGTGTGCTTTGTCTTTGATTTCTTGGTGGGGGTGGGAGGGGGGATGGGCATCGTTTGCAAGAAGCTGCTCCGCTTTCACAAAGGTGACGTTGAAAGGACAATGTTTCCTATACGTTCGCTACACATCACCTGGCGATTTTGGGCTGACGGAAACCGCGGGCAATTTCTCAAAATCCGCTTTCAGTCCGTCGCATTGTCCAGGAGAAATGGCATGCAGCCATGTACCAAACATGGAAGCACCAAGCGAAAAGTGGTCTGCCATAATCATGGGTCTTGTTTAAGGGTATGTAACTGTCGTTCCAGCGGTTGGTTCAATCAGGGGTTGCTTCAATCAAAGACCTCCGGGATCAAACTGCCTAGGGCATGATGATCATATCGCGCGAAGCGTCAGTCCATGTCAACCCTTTCGTAGATGCAAAGGGGGCGCTGATTCGCTGCCATTGGGGCGTTGAATGCCGGCGACCTGGCCCTCAACGTGTTGAGAAGTGTCTTGTTGGAGACGAGCGCCGAGTAGACCGTTCCGCGAATTGATCAGGCTCTGAGGGTTGTTGACATCTCCTACGGTGTATGGATGTCACCAACATCGGTTCCAGACTTGTCGTGTAGCTCTTGGTCGGCGGCTGATCAAACTTATTGATGTTGTTCTATGAGAGCAAGCCTTCCATCAGATGGCCTTCTGTTGTCACCTGGTTTCATTTTTTTAAGACGCCCGAACCAAAGCAAGCAGCGAGATTTAATGCGGGACGCTGAAGGCCCATGCTTTTCCCAGTTGCCCTTTAACGGACAAGCAGATGAAAGCTTCACCGTTTGGAAGGGGCCCACTAAAGGCAGTTGTACAAAGGTAAAGCTTCACCTTTTGCCACCCAAACAAAAAAAGCAAACCAACATGGGAATATACTTTAAAACTCCAGCTCCGTTCGATTCGCTTTGCACCGCTCCGAACATCCTTTCGGCAGGCGCGAAACCCCAACAACCGCCTCCTCGAGGCCGTTGTCCTCGCTGTCGTCGTCTTGGATGTGGAGGTCCTGGCGCAAAAGAGTCATACTGTGCTGCTTGCTGCCCTCAGATCCCCTGCTAAAAGTTGAACTCTTAGTGGGTTATATAAATTCGGAAACTACCACTAAACACCAAAAGGCTAAACACACTAAGAGGATGGCTGGGAGCCACCAAGTGTGGGTGGACGAAATTCTGCACCATGAAATCATGACTTGGCGGGGGGTGCAGGATTCGTCCATCCACAGTAGGCTTTTCATTCATGCCAACTCGGGAAGGATTATGCTCAGTTGCCCCTTAAGGACCCAGAAACCAGAGGTGATCACCGAACTAACAATGGGAACCCAAAAGGGGGAAACCAAAAGGTCCAAAGGTTGATTCGCCTTGGGCAAGTGAGTATGCAGTCTAAGGGGTCTCAGCGCTTGCATGTTTGTCACCTGCTAAAAGTTTAACTTTTAGTGGCTTAAATACGGAAACTACCGCTAAACACTAAAAAGCTAAAGAGCTAAGGGGATGGCTGGGAGCCACCAAGGTGACACAACAAGATGAAATCAACTCCGCACCCAGCTGTGGATGGACGAAATCCTGCACCACTCTGAAACCATGGCTGAAACCATGGCTGAAACCATAAGGTTGGTTGGCATTCACGTTGGGGACTCGAATCATTCCCTTGGGTTTCTGAACGGTGGTGCGAAATGGATAGATTTGATTCAACCGGTACAACCTCTTTACACATCCCCCCACCAAGGTACCCAAACATAGAACCTGAAGACCGGTCCGTGGCTCAGATTCATGGAATTCAAACCACCCTCCCCAAACCTTCCCTGATTTCTTTCAACTTGCTGGTGCTCAGTAGGGATGACCCCTATAAACCATCCATCCAACTTGTGGTTTCCTTTAGGGGAGCACAGCCTGGGTGGATTCCACTTCTCATTCCCTACTAGGTCCTCCAGTGGAGAGGTTGGAATAAGGGTACCCTTTCTTCTGTAGTCTATTTTAGTAGGGGAACCCTTCCTCAAAGGGTAAAAGGGCACCTAGCAGGGGGACCTAGCCTACCTATCGCGCCAGCAAGTCCGTTCCATTTCTCATTCCCTATCGCACCAGCAAGGCTTGGGAACGCAGGATCCAAATAGAACCCATCCTTATGTTTAGCCCTCATGACTAACCGACCGGGGCGGGGGGGTCGATAAGTCAAAGAAGGCCTTAGCAGCCTGACAGCTCCGGGCATAGGTGGCCTTTCGGAAAAATAGATGGGTTTCCCTGGTAAACGGTTTACAAAACCCATCTAAACCAGTGGAACCCATCTATTTTTGACCAGGCACACCTAAAAGGACACCTACTGTGCATGGACAAAATCCATTTCGCACCAGTTTGAAACCAAAGTTTACGTTGGGGAATCGAATCGCCTCCCTTGAGTTTCTCAGGCGCGTTGGATGGATTTCGCATCCATCCAGAGTCACAGCGCCGGGCTAATGTGGACCCAGGATTCATAAACCTGTCCCACTATTAGGGGGGTGTTCCCTCCAAAAGTGGTCTGAATCCCCACGAAAAGGGGACACCCCCCTATTAATCAACCAGGGGTTTATTCATCCGGGGCTAACATTTTAACATTCATTCGCACACAGGGTGCACTATACGACTTGGTCTGAGGGGTCTGAGGGTCTTGGGGGCCAACAACTCTGTGAGCATTAAGCTCAAGGCTCAGACCCGACGCCCCGCCTCCGCCATGGCCCTGTGCACATCCGCCGCCGCCGCCGCGGCCGACGCCGCCGCCGCGGCCGACGACGCCGGCGCCGCGCCCGGCGCCTGCAGCACCGTGCCGAGGGAAACCAAGGCCAACATTCTAAGGGTGGATTCCCCATTATTTCCAACATGTTCCAACCATTGTTGCTTTTTTCTTTCTTTTTTTCTCTCGAAAACCGGCCGTTTTCATGGGTTCCAGAGGTTTTCTAGAAAGAAGGATCCCTGGAAAGAATGTGGAAGGTAGCACTAGACACATGGTGGGGCATGGCGGGTTCTCCAAAAGAAAAAGTTCAGACCCCCACCCCCAAACAAAACACACACACACACACACACCACAAAATGATGGGGTATGGTTGGGTATGGTGTGTGTTTCCGACAAATAAGTCTTCTTTTTGGATGGCAAGCAAGCGCACATTTGCAGGGGCCCAAGTTGAATATGTGAACACATTGCATAGAATCTCTGAGGGTTCCAGATGTTGAACAAGATTCCATATATCTGTATATTTATATAAATAATAATAATATATATATATATATATCTATCTATCCATCTATCCATTCATATGCTATGCTATGCTCCCTCAAGACAATCCTCGCCAGGAGCAGGTCGTCCCGTTTGAAGCGGCCAAAAGTCCCGTGTTTGTTTGCTTGGCCGCTTGGCGGGCCTCTGCGTGGACCTCCTGGGCGTTTCGAGAAACGCCCAAACTGGTTGTTTCTTGCGCTTGCAGTCCGAGGGAATTCTAAGATTCCAACCTGAAGGAAGGTGGTGAAACGGCAATTCCCCACATAAACCACCATTTGGGGTGAGGTCGGGTGAGGTCGTTAGACCCAGTTGTAGTCTTCCGAGGGAATCCCTAAAGAGGTTGACTGTTTGGCTTAGAAGCAAGCAGTTGCCTTGGCAACTTGTAACCACATGCGCATCAATCAATCCATGCAGGTGGGTCTGCTATGCATAGCCTCCCGAAAGGGCAAGTCATGCAAATGTCACGTGTAAGTCCAATCCATCCAGCCCTTGTTTCAGAATCACAACTGGGAAACCATGCACTGCTTGCTTATCGGGGCAGGGTACTTAGTAGGTTAGTTCTCCTGGTTTTAACCCGCCTAAGAGACTTATCACCATGGCAAGCGGGTTGTGCTTACGAAGTACCCTGCCCCCTTAAGAAGGTTTGTCGGTTTGTCTAAGCGACTATTTAGGGCGCGGCTTTCGCAAGGGCAAAGGCTCCGCTCACCAATCTAAACATTGGGGTGGGGTCAGTTACGTGCCCCCTGTTGGGGCTGGCTTGAATGGAAACCCAAAAGGACCCTCGTCCTTCCCCCGCCCTCTAAGGGGTTCCCCTATGTTGCCACAAACCGAACTTGATCCACCAACTCGAGCCCCACTCCTAAAAGATCTACTCCTCACTGGAGTCCGAGCACCACCACCTCCAACCCCTGGCCCCACCTGCGCCCGGTCAGGGCTGTAGGCCCACCTAAGGTCACAGAATTGCCGGAGGGCTCTGGCAAACAAATCGCAGCACGTCTAGACCTCAACCGGCTTCTTGACCTCCATTTGGGTTTGTCTGTTTTGGAGGCACCTCCTTTTTCGCGGTTTTAAGGAGACACCAAAAGGAAAACCCCTTCTTGTTCTTTTTTCTGGTGTTTTGTTTTTGGGGAGGGATCCCTAAAATGAGAGACACCCATGTTACCTTTCTCACTTACCCAAAGGCAGCCATGGCCCCAAAAGGTTGACCTTCTATTTCACGGTCCTGGGGCAAGCGCCCAAGGCGAACTAAAAGGATCCTCGGCGCAAACTCTTCCGGAAGCAAGCCACTTTTGGGGCTCGAGAGGTTTCCTCGAAGTGCTTTCTGGGTTGCATCTTAGGGGCGTACCTCTTGGTGCCCAGAAGAATGTGTGGCTCAGACGAAATTCTAAGCTTCGGGTCAAACTGTCCTGGGGCGAGAAGTTGGGGACGAGCCCCAGTTTTCCACGTCCTCTCTCTTAGTAGCTTAAGGGGCGTTGTCCCGAACGGTCGGGGGGGGTTTGGCTGGATCCTCTGGCCAACCCAGTGCCACCGGATGTAATCTGTGGGCTTCCAGTGGAGGCTTGCCTCGAAAATCGGACAGCCCCCCTTATTTTCATCGATCAGGAGTTTGTTCATCTTGGGTCCAGTTTCTATGCTGCAACAAACCTAGAGTAGCCTGCACACTGCAGGTTAAAATGGCAGCGAAAAATACATCAGCATAGACTCCAATTACTCACTTCTTCCAGTGGATTGGCCAAACGTCATATTTACCACGAAAATGGTCCAAACCCAAAAAGTGCCTAAAGTTCGAAAAAGGGAACTTGGGAAACAAGACTTGCAACTTCCATTTGCTTAAGACCCCCGGAAAAAAGTAAAAAATATCCAGTAGTGACAAATGTCTTTTAAAACCAACAAGGGGGGAAAAAAACTTAACAACAAGGGGAACAACATGACATATTCTTAGGCAATACTTCCGATTTGGCGTCCCAAAGCCGCATGAACTCCTCGCAGCCGCATCGACCGAACCTGCGCCCCTGGCTCGGAGGTGCCCTCTTTGCTCGCTGCGGACAGCGGCCTCCGAGGAAGCTCTCTGCTCGAGGCAGGTTCTAACAGGGAAGCCAAACGGAAAGGCGCAGACATTTCGCTGGACACTTCGCATAAAACTTAGAACCCTAGTGGGAGCCCATTTCGGGGACCCTTAAAAAGCCGTGGGCCTCTCGCATGAAAATGAGAGCAACCCCTCTTTTTTGCGTGTGGGCCTGCAAGATGGCGCTTTTGACCGCTTGCGGAAACGCGAATGGAAGCAGCGCATTTCCATTGGCTCAAGTCCTGTGGGGAAACTCTTCGTTTAAGCATCACCCAACCGGAACTTGTGCTCAAATCCCCTGCGAAAAGTGTAACTTTCAGTGGGACAAATGGAAACCCCCACTAAACCAGCTAAAATCTTTGAACAAACGAAAACAACCCAAACAGAAGGAAACTCAGTCTGCTCGCTTTTTGATTAGTGAAGGATCTCCTCCATATTGAGAGCCATCAGGGGGCCAGTTGGCCATGACTTCCAAGAGTTGGACCTTTAAAGGGGCTGGTGGACATGAATCCCCACCGAATTTGATGTCCAAAGGGTCCCTGATGTTGACCCCAAACTAGTCAACCCCTGTGTATTAATAGGGGGGTGTTCCCCTCCAAAAGTGATGGATTCCCCACTGAATCCACCGACAGGGGTTGATGAATATGGGGTCAACATGATTCAACATCACGCCCACTTATCCTCGGTTCCCGGCACAGTTGCACGCCACTCTGGTTCCCTTTTCGCTCTCCGCCGCAGAAAGCGCCGAGCGGAAGAGCTGCCCTGCGTTCAAACAAGCCGCACACGTCAGCTTCCTTGCAGCTTTAGCTGCCTGGGTTGATCAAAAGGTCTATTACATGGGATGACCATGCGGGAAACCACTCCAAGGATTTGACATTTCAACCACTAAATGGGGAAATAATACCCATGGCCAGTGGTGACGCCATGGGCCGGGAGGCAGGGAGCTCCATCTCCCTTGACCTCGACTTAAAACTTATTATTTTCCACTAAAATGCTCTTCCCCAAAAAGTTTAAAGTCCAGGAACTCAGGGAGTGAGAAACTCATGCTTGTTTGGTCCTAACATGGCTTATATGGGCCTTACTTACTATAACTGTTAAACCAGGTAGTGGAGCCCCAAATCCAAACCACCAACCCAAACCACCAGCTCAGGATTCGAGTTACCTGAAACGGATGATGGACCGCGGTTGGCAGCTGGTCAGTGCGCCGCGCGCCAGCTTGACAGGATCCTGCCTCACGCACCCCCCACGCGCACATTGGGGATCTGTTCAGGTAAGGACCTCCGGACCTTCCCAGCGTTTTCTCGGTTGCTTTCTGCGAAGCCCTGCAAAAAGTGGCTAACTTTTAGCGCTTTAAGGGAAAAACCCATGAGTTGGCAAAAAGTTCAAGTCCTAACATCCCTTGGCAACACGCACCAAAGTGCAAGTCATGGCTAGAGGTGGGCATGGACTGCCAGAGGATCCTGTCCAAGAGCCCCGCGGCTCCACGGCTCATAGACTTCGCGGCACTGCGCCCTAAGACTCCGCGGGAGTGGCGGCCTCGAATGGCGACCGCGAAGGAGGAGGCCGATGGATTGAATGTTGACCCCATCTTGTCCTTGCTGGTGCGATGGGTAGGGAATGAGAAATGGAATGAAGCCAGGCTTTGGTCCCCTTAAAGGGAACCCACCTGTTGGATGGTTTATAGGAGGCATTCCCTCATTGCCTGCTGAGCACCAGCAAGTTTCATCAACCCCAGCTTGTTGATAGGAGGGTGCTTTTTCCTCGAGGCTCACCCCCCTATTTGTAAAACTGGGGTTGATGAAAACATGGGGTCAACATGAGGTGGGGTGAAGCGCGGGGTCAAGTGACCCTGCCAACAGTCAAGCTGGTTGCTTGTCAGTGGCAGGGAGGGCAATCATGCGTCAAGGTGTCAACAAATACCAGGTCCGCCCAACGAGCAAGCAAAGAAGAGTCGGAGTCAAGCCTACAATCATGGAACCTTGAAGGCAGCCTAAAGCACCTCGAATTTCCTAGCGCCAGATGCTTCCGCCTCAGCGTCGACCTAGAGCTCTCAACTCAGCGAGTTTGTCTGAGAACTGGCGTTTCGGGCGTAAAGAATCGGAGGCCCCCCGCAGGCACCTCTCACCCTTTCACTGGGCCGGGCCTTTTAGCTTACAGGACATCCTACAGAACAAAACGCCAGGATGTTCTGTCAGAACCAGAATGTCCTTTAGTGAATCGGGGGGATTTCAATCCTGAGCAGAAAAAACCGTTGACATCTCCACCAGGCTCCTGGCCGCCGGCATCGCCGGCTTCTGGAAGCCTCGGGAGGGCCAAAGTGCTTGAAACTGGCCTTGAACTCAACAAGAGGGGTCCCCCAAAAGGAGTACAACTGGTGCTGTTGTTTTTGGCACTCGGCTGTTCAGCCGCCCCCAGCAGGCGCATCATTTTTGATGTCACACTCTTAGCAATCTCCCAGGCCTGCCACGCGGGCAACAAATTGCAGTTCCGCATTTGGTCCAAGGCGTTCGTTTCGCACGTTCCGCATTTTTGTTGATGTAACATTCGTAGATACCCGCCACGCCTGCAACGCGCATGTCGCTCAAATGCACCACAGCATAGCACATGGTAAGCACACCCGCCCACGCGCATGTCGCTCAAATGCACCCATGCCTGGCACATAGTGAGCACACCCGCCCACGAGCACACCCGCCCACGCGCATGTCGCTCAAATGCACCCGTGCCTGGCACATGGCAAGCACAGCCAACCACGCGCATGTCGCTCAAATGCCGCCGTGCCTAGCACATGATAACCACACCCGCCCCGCCCATGCCTGGCACATGGTAAGCACGCCCGCCCACGCGCATGTCGCTCAAATCCACCCATGCCTGCCACATGGTGAGCACACCCGCCCACGCGCATGTCGCTCAATGGCACATGGTAAGCACACCCGCCCACGCGCATGTCGCGCAAATGCACTCATGCCCAGCACAAGGTAATCACACCCCCGCGCCTGTCGCTCAAATGCATCCACGCCTGGCACATGGTCAGCACACCCACCCACGCGCATGTCGCTCACATGCCTAGCACATGGTAATCACACCCCCGCGCCTGTCGCTCAAATGCACCCATGCCTGGCACATGGTCAGCAGACCCGCCCACGCGCATGTCGCTCAAATGCACCCATGCCTGGCACAATGGTGAGCACACCCGCCCACGCGCATATCGCCCCATGCCTGGCACATGGTAAGCACACCCGCCCACGACGCATGTCGCTCACATGCACCCACATGGTGAGCGCGCACCCATGCCTGGCACATGGCCGGATGTCGCTCACATGCCCGCCCACTCGCATCTCAAATTCACCCATGCCTGGCACATGGTAAGCGCACCCGCCCACGCGCACGTCGCTCAAATGTACCCATGCCGGGCACATGGTAAGCAGACCCGCCCACGCGCATGTCGTTTAACTGCACCCACGCCTGGCACGTGGTACCACGCGCATGTCGCGCAAATGCACCCATGACTGGCACATGGTAAGCACGCCCGCCCACGCGCATGTCGTTCAAATGCACCCATGCCTGGCACATGGTGAGCGCACCCGCCCATGCGCGTGTCACATGCACCCGTGCCTGGCACATGGTAAGCACACCCGCCCACGCGCATGTCGCTCAAATACACCCATGCCTGGCACATGGAAAGCACACCCGCCCACGCGCATGTCGCTCAAATGCACCCATGCCTGGCACATGGTAAGCACACCCGCCCACGCGCATGTCGACCCATGCCTGGCACATGGTAAGCACACCATGCACCCACGCCTGGCACATGGCAAGCACACCCGCTGCGCATGTCGCTCAAATGCACCCATGCCTGGCACATGGTAAGCACCCATGCCTGGCACATGGTAAGCGCACCCGCCCACGCGCATGTCGCTCAAATGCACCCACGCCTTGCACATGGTAAGCACACCCGCCCACGTGCATGTCGCTCAAATGCACCCATGCCTGGCTCATGGTAAGCGCACCCGCCCATGCGCGTGTCAAATGCACCCATGCCTGGCACATGGTAAGCACACCCGCCCACGCGCATGTCGCCCCATGCCTCGAGCACACCCGCCCACGCGCATGTCGCTCAAATGCACACCCATGCCCGGCACATGTTAAGCACACCATGCACCCATGCCTGGCACATGGTAAGCACACCCGCGCATGACGCGCATGCCGCTCAATTGCACCCATGCCTGGCACATGTCGCTCAAATGGACCTATGCCGCGCACATGGTAAGCACACCCGTCCGTGCGCGGATGTCGCGCTTCATCTTCTTCTACGTGTTTGTTTTTCTCCTCTACGTGCTCTTTTTCCTCTACGTGGTCTTCTTCCTCGTCTGCGTGTTCTTCTTCGTCTGTGTGCTCTTCGCGTGCCTTGGCGTCCTCTTTGTGCTCGTGTGCCTTGGCGCTGGTTGTTTATTGTTGGTTGTTTCTTGTTTGTTGTTTGTTCTTTGTTGCGTTGTTTCCTGTTTGTTGTGGTTTCTTGGTGGGTTGTGTTGTTGCTGCCCTTTCATGGTGTTGAAACCGATTTTTCGTTTTGGACCCGTGAAAACCAAGCGTTTCGCTGAGGCGAAAACGCGATGGAAGTATTCTATGTGCGCCGCCATGATTTTCACACTCTTGAAAACAAATATTTAGATATAAAACGCTAAAAAACGCTGGGTTTTTGCATGATCGGACTTAAATCACCGAATTTCGGCGGACAACCCTTGCGGGGGCGGCTGGACAGCCGACGGCCTTGTTTTTACATGTTAATCTGCGGGGGGGGGGGGGGTAATTTTGTTGGCTCCATGTTCATTTGTCGGGGCAATACCCCCCCCCCTCCCCCTGATATTGATGAGGGGGTCCCACCTGGACGAACGGAATTCCCACTACAGGGTAGACATGCTTGCGCTGAATTTGGCAGCGGGTCCCTATATCTCCACCTTAAACATCACCCCTACTAACCTGAAATGGACCCCCTCAAAATGGTCTTTGTCCTTTTGGGTTCCCTTTGAAACCACCAAAAAAAGGGCACCCTCAAAAAAACAGACGGACCTTCCCATTTCTCAGGTACGCCCAGTCGAGCTCGAGGGCCGCGCTCGGCGGTGGAGGCGGCAGCCGCGTGTCCGAGAAGGTCTTCCCCTTGAGGCGCTGGTCCAACTCGTCCTCCAGGCCGCGGATCATCACCTCGCGACTTCGACGCGACTTCGACGCGACGGCTCGGCTCGGACGCGGGTGGACGGTGGAGGGGGAGGGGGATTTTACTTACGGCCCGAAAAGGTAGGGGGCGGTGGCACGAAGCTGTTGTTGTTTTTTTGTAGGCCACTAAAAAGGAAGAGAAGCAAATCATATCAAAACCTATAAAGGTTTGACCCAACAACAAACCAGTAAGCCACCCAACTCCCCAAAACCGTGGGGAATTACGGTAAATTGGGGGCAGGGGGAATCGGGTCCCAACTGTTCCCCTACTTAAAGAATATTGAGTTGGCATCCTCCGTAGCGGCTTTGGGAAGCGACACCCGAAGCTCTGTTTTGGGTGGATTGTTAACAGGGGCAAGAGATCTGGACGAACTCCGGGAGGCATGTTTGGGAGGAACTCTGACATAGATGTTTCTTGACCCTGTAAACCCCTACCACTCAGGGGGTGACTTTGCTTTGGGCACAAGAGGGTGATTTTGAAACGAACCAGAATGAGTCAGAGTGGGGTGATTTCATGCCCCAATGCCATTGGGGCAATTCTCCCGGCATGCGTCCACAACCCAGCGACGAAAAGGGATAGACATTTTAGTATGAGGCACAGAAAGCCGATGAAGCCAGGAATGAACACCATCCCACAAAAAGGGTTCCCCTATGTTGAAACCCGAATGACCTTCCCTGCATTTCCTCGCAGAGGTCGCCGGTTTGATCTTTCCCACTTCGTTCAAAAATAAGGGACTCCTCACAAGGGCACGTTTACCGCAAGCTTGGTTGATTGAGAAATCCAACAGGGGCAAGAGGGACTTCGGCACTATTTGAAAGGGGAACCAAGAGGAAAACCTCAACAAAAAGCGTACCCTTGCTTGCTCTGCTAAAAGACACCTCCATGTCCAGGCCGAGGGGAGTCGAAACCAAGGCCCTCGTCCCAAGCGGCCGTCGACCCTGGGGGCTCGGGCCCTGAGCACCCCGTCCACGTTGTAGGCGCCGCCCACGGGGGTCCAGAGCTCATGGATGACCTGCGCAGGCAAAATCGGGGGGCCCCGTTGGCTGTTGGCTTCGCCCTTAGCAGGGGGGCGTCTTCTCGGGTTTCCCTTTGAACCAACACCAAAGAAAAAGAAAACAAAGAGAAAAAAACAGAAGAAAACAAAAGCGCCAAGCATCAAAAAACGCACACCCCTACCCACCCTTCGAACATCGATCCACCACGTTGATGCCGACCCCTTGCAGAGAGGGGCTCAGTTGCTTTTGCTTGGCGAAAGAGAGGAACATGCCGGAAACTCCAAGAGAAAGGACTTGAAAGGACAAGAGGGTCAGGTAGAAGTTCTGACAACGCAAAGGAGAAAGTCTGAGTGAGGGACCCCTGTCTGAACCATGGCTAGGTCCTCCAGTAGAGAGGATAGAATAAGGGTACCCTTTTTCTGTAGTCTATTTTAGTAGGGGAAACCTCCCCCAAAAAGTTGGTAAAAGGGCACGACTGGGGGACCTAGATGGCAAGGCGCCCGCATGGTCATCATCAGAGCGCCGGCCATGGCCGCGAAGAGCGACCGGCAGAGGCGGTTCTCGACCAGAGAGGGCGTCCTGGGCTGAGTTACAATGATCAAAGACACCCCCTCAAGTGGGTTCCCCTACCTTGGCCGGAAAAAGGGGCCTTGGGGTGTCCCCCGATTCCATTCTAGCATTCTTCATAGGGAAATGGAACCGCAAATGGAATTCCAGGGGTGCTTCCCCAAATCCAGTTTTAGGGGGATGCCTCGAGGGTCCCAAGGCATGTCTCTTCCCCAAGGGTCCCTTTAGACCACCAAAAGGGGCGGGCTTGAGTTGGAACCCGCCCACGAAACGCGAAGCGCGGCCGACCCCAAGGCTACCATGACAACACATGCTCAGCCTTCCCAAAATTGGTGGCTTGGACGATAGGAATGGTTTCTCCCATTTACCCCCCCCCCCCCCCAAGAACCAGCAAGCTCAAATCCAAATCCCAAGCATCACTCCACACCCAACCAAGGGCTGCCTGAAACAAGGAAAACAAGATGAGGTTGTTTACACTGGTTGGCCTCGCGCGGGCTTTCAAACTTCAAGTGCAACCACTGCATAACGACCATGACAAGGAAAAAACCTCCAATTGTCTTTTGGGGGTCGTGGAAAGGCTTGTCGCACTAGCACCCCAACGACTGAACAAGACTTGGAGATTTGGGAGTCGGATCCCTGATTTGAGTCAGTGCACATGGGAAGGGCAAAATCCGATGACATCAAAGTGGTTCAGGCAACAACTGGGCGGTTTAGGGGGAACAGGGAGACACACCCTATGCCACCAACAGGAAAGTGGAGGCCCCCCTTGTTGGTTGGTTTTAAAGGAACGCGAAAGGGAAAACCGGAAAACCGCCCATTTCGTGGGTCCAACCTTAAAAAGACCCCCCCATATGGCGTTCCACGAGTTGAGTTGCCCCTTTGGGGTTGGCCCCAAGTTTTTGCCCCTACCCCAAAATGAATTGGATCCCATGGGTTTTGACAAAAACCGGCCAACTGGCCTTCCACCACGCGTGTTCCCACCACGGTTGGCCATTTTCCACGGGGAGTACGCCCCGGCCGGGTGTGGATCGGTTCGCCAGGCCACTGCAAAGCCAACAGCAGCAAGCTCAGGAGGTTAAAGCCTCCGAATCGACCCATCGGCTTCGCTCTAAAGGTGTTGCTTCGGAACGAGAAGGCGAGGTGAGCCGAGCTGAGGATTGGGGATTCGCTTGGTTCAGTGGGTACTGTTAGGTACATGGTTGATTTGGGGACATAGAAAAGGGGACCCACATCCAAGTAGAAGCTCTGGTTGTTGTTTTTTTTGAGAGAGATGGGCCGCTTCAGGGCCGTGGCTCGTTCTGACGTTCGAGTTTTAGCCGCTGGCCTCCAAGGACGTAGAGTAGCGCCATCCTGAGTCGGATCTCCGACCATCGGGTCTGCAAGGTGCTGACCGCTAACGGCGGTGTGTCAAAAGAGGCGGACCCGAAAAAGCGATATCTTTCCTGGAGGTCTCCCATTCAACCAACCTTTAAAAAAAAACACTCAAACACCACGCATTAGGTCCGTTGAAAAGCTACCCTCCGACAGAACATGGAAGTGCAGTAGCTTCCCAGCGGCCCCAGAAGAGCCCTACCCCAGTTCAGTGACCCGAAAGGCAGGAAGAAGACTTGGAACCCTCTTTAAAACTTTGGGGTTGGCCATTGTTGAGTGGGGAAGCCACCAAACAAAAGGGAGTTCAAAGGGCGACGACTGAACCGGACTACGGGGTGCCCTCTTTATTTCCCCTTGAGACATCGCCCCAAAAGGAACTGCATTCAATTTGGCAACCGAAAGGTGACGATTCTCAAGCCAACGAAACTTGGCCCACATCTGAGGCATGCAGAAATATCTGCTTTCTGGGTCTGATTGAGATTCAGCCCACAAGGGAAATTTGAGTTAGAACCCAACCGGATGCCTACCGACAAAGAACAGATTTGTTTGGTAGGAATGAGGCCGCCAAGTCACAGGCTCCCCGCCCCAAACGCACTCGTAAAGAAAGCAACCTGATGATGGGGGGCCTCAAAGTGGACATGAACACAAAACAACCATGTGCTTGCTTCCTGATAGCTCCTCAGCTCCCGCTTTAAAAACAAATCTGGATATCCCGGTTTGTCAAGTTTCTTGAGTTGGAAACCAACAAACACACTTACCCACCCACTTACCCACCCACTTACCCACCCACTTACCCACCCACTTAACCACCCACTTACCCACCCACTTACCCACCCACTCACTTACCCACCCACTCACTTACCCACCCACTCACTTACCCACCCACTCACTTACCCACCCACTCACTTACCCACCCACTCACTTACCCACCCACTCACTTACCCACCCACTCACTTACCCACCCACTCACTTACCCACCCACTCACTTACCCACCCACTCACTTACCCACCCACTCACTTACCCACCCACTCACTTACCCACCCACTCACTTACCCACCCACTCACTTACCCACCCACTCACTTACCCACCCACTCACTTACCCACCCACTCACTTAGCCACCCACTCACTTAGCCACCCACCCACTTACCCACCCACCCACTTACCCACCCACGCACTTACCCACCCACCCACTTACCCACCCACCCACTTACCCACCCACCCACTTACCCACCCACCCACTTACCCACCCACCCACTTACCCACCCACCCACCCACCCACCCACTCACCCACCCACCCACCCACCCCACCCACCCCACCCCACCCCACCCCACCCCACCCCACCCCACCCCACCCCACCCCACCCCACCCCACCCCACCCCACCCCCCCCCACCCCACCCCACCCCACCCCACCCCACCCCACCCCACCCCACCCCACCCCACCCCACCCCACCCCACCCCACCCCACCCCACCCCACCCCACCCCACCCCACCCCACCCCACCCCACCCCACCCCACCCCACCCCACCCCACCCCACCCCACCCCACCCCACCCCACCCCACCCCACCCCACCCCACCCCACCCCACCCCACCCCACCCCACCCCACCCCACCCCACCCACCCACCCACCCACCCACACACCCGACCCTGCCCTCCAAGCCAAGCCCAGTCGCTGCACCGGCGGCAGCTTACGCTGCACCGCGCCCAGGCGGTCCCCCCGCCGCTGGCGCAGGCTCCTCACCGTCTCGTAGACCTCGGGAGACGCGCCGAGACTCGCCGTCGCCCATTCCGCCGCGGCTTTGGCAGGTCTAAGCTCCCAGTGTCCAGTGATAGATTCACTTCAAAACCAATCCACTTCAGCAAATGGAAGTAAGAAACCGTTTTCTAAAGACAAAAAAACAGAATTTGGGTACCCCCAGCTCCTCGACTTCCTCAAAAAACAGCTAGCTAAGCTGTGACGCCCCCTTGTGCCCAACCCACAGATCAGCTCAGCGAGGGGCCGCCGATGGAACCCCAACGCTCGTGAGGTACAGGATGCTCTCCAGCGGGTCATCGCCTCAGACACAAATCGCACTGGTTCGATAGGCAGGGGATGGGTTGGAATGACCCCAAGAAAACGCATCTCCTATGGTTTGTTTTTGGGAATGGCTAGGTTCATTTGCAACACCCTGAGTCATCCCTCCTGAGCACCAGCAAGATGAGCGCGCAAAACTCGTTGACTTTGAGGTTCTACCACTGAGGTTGTAAAGGTTTATACTCCCCCAGCACTTCCACCCCCGCGAGCAACCAAGTAGTAAAACCGCCTACAACAAGTCGGCAATGGTGCTTTAAGCGCACCACGGCTTCATCGGGGATGGTCCCGGCCCAAGCCTGCCGGGCGGTCTTTACCATTCTTGGTGTTGGGGATCTCCCTGTGCGAAGCATACATCAGCGAGCCTCCATGTCAGGAGGCACCCGGAAACTTGGGCGAATCCACTGCTCAGAGCACAAAACCCCATCGTGACCTACGTATCCTGGGGATTGCTGTTGCACATTCCGAACAACTGCTTCCTGCATCTGTAGCGTTCAGGTGAAACGGGCAAGAGAAAGAACCCAACTAACTATTGTTTGTTTTCGATGCGATGGCGTCACCTGCTTGGTGGTTTTTGGTCATTGGGGCCCAGCCATTCAGTTTGGGGTCCGTCTGCTTCGGTGTCTTGCCTAATCCTACTTGGAAACAAGCCCCAGGAACGCCTGGCTTGAAAAACAGACTGGCTCAGTCGCATCCAGGCAGGATTTACGTATATCGCCTCGAGCAGATCCTTTGTCGGAATCCTGTCGGAACCCTGGCCCGAGATGCTCCAAACCACTCCTCCTCTTGGCTTCCCCTTTCACACCAACCCACAGGGGGGTTTCCCCAAAGACAAAGCGCAATGGAAAACCACCTCCCTTTCAACCGACCCAAGGGGGTCAAAGGGGGCTCCCTAAAGGAAAGACCAAACCCGTGCACCGTAGGGGGGAGAAAAAAAAGAAGAAAAAAAAACGCCGACCCCCGCCAGCATGGACCAAAACACTCCCCAAAACCCGCCGCAGCCGCGAGTCCGCGCGAGTCCGCGCGAGCGTGTCGGCTCTCCGAGGGCGGGGCGGGGCTTGATGGCGCAGAGGATGGAGGGGGGGCGGTCCAGGCGCCTCAAGTCCCGCTCCTCGCTGCTCGGAGCGGTGGAATGCAGGGGAGGCGTGGGTTTCGTTTGTTTTTTTGGTTTGAGGCGTCCGGATTACTTGAGTTGAGGCTGGAGCTCAAGTAGCCCCAGAAAAAAATCGCGTTCGAACAGCATGTGGCGCGGATTGATCCCCTCAGCCGTGTGGAAGAAGAAGCTGGGTGTGTCTTCAAATAGCCTTCCCCCGCCCCCCAAAGTTGTGGTTTGTGCTTTTGGTTTCCCAGTCCCTCCGTTCCCCTTTTTTGGAGAACTGAAAGGAAACAGGGCTCGCTGGATTTCCCGTCAAAAGTTGCAGTTGGCTGGTGGGGTCCATTCAAACCCTTTGGCTGGCCTCTTTGGCCCCTGGCCCCTGCTTGACCAAGCAAGCTTGCCTCCAACTAGTTTGGAGCTATTGGAGGGCAACTAAGAAAAAGGTTTGATACTTGGCACCCAGAATTTGAATCCTCTCTGCCACCGTTTGAGCAAAGGCCGAAAACTTGTGTGCTAAATAGGAGGCGTGGAAAACTTAAACCATTGTCCACCAACCACTTTTGAGGCGGTTCCCTATTGAAACTTATAGCCTCCATAAAACCGGTTGGTGGAATAATATGAGCCGCATCCAAGACTTGTTCAAAGGCCGGAGAGAGAGAAAAAAAGAAGAAGAAAAAACGTCAGACACACGCCGAACCAAACACCTGGACCCAAGGCTCCACGTAGCGGCGGATGTTCTCCAGGGCGGAGCGGTAGAAGGGCCTCCCGCAGAACTTGGGGGCTGGTTCTCGAGTTGGGGTGCTGCATGCTGGGCATTCCCTTGAAATGACCGGCTGAGAGTGTCCTCTCGGTTGCTGCCTGTTGACACCTCTGCCCCCCCCTCAAAAAAAAAAACACGTTTTGTGGGTCTAACAAAGAAAATCCACAAAGTTTCAACCAACAACTTAAAGCCCAAGGAGATCCAACCAAATAGCCATAAAGCTTACTGGCCCGAAAAACCAAATGCCACTTGAAACGGAACTAAGCCTTGCAAGGGGTCGGAGCTTCGATGTGCCAGCAGGGTAGTCATTTTGGGGCTGGATTTGGATGATGAAGAAACCTGCCAGCGAAAAGCAACAAACAGCCAACTAAGCGAAATTGTGAAGGTGGTGAACCTCCATTTGCGAGGCACGTCCCGTGGACAAAGTAGACTTGTCCAGCACTAGACAGATCCCCTTTTAAAAACATCACAGGTGAAGCTAAGAACGAAATGGAAGGGAACAAACACCCGCACACACGGGCCACTCGGCTGCCTTGAGTTTCCAAAACAGGTCGAATCAAGCGACCCCCGGGCGCTTTTTACGCAAGCTGAATCTTTCGCTTGGGCAAGACTTGGCTCTCTGGTTCGACGCTTAGCCCGGAACCTTTTGGGAGCCTCCCCCCCTACAAAAACAACTGTTCTCTTCTTAGGCGTCCTTTAAAACAACAAAAAGTGGGTACCCTCGAGAAGAAAGAAAAAAGCCGCACCCCGTATTTCCCCACCCACCACCATCAAAAATTATGATCTTTCATATTTGCAGGGCCTGTTCGACCCGCTCAGGCGAGGCAAACCACCCTCGCCCATGCCGCCCGATCGACCGTCGGCCTCCCAGAGCAGACCAGCGCGATCTGCTCCATCAAGGCCTTCGCCTCCGAGACCTCCGCGAAGAGCGCGCAGAAGATGGCCTCGCGCGCCGGGGAAGGGGAAAGGGGGGGGAGGGGCGTCTGTCAGAAGAGGGCGGCAACCCAAGAAAAGGGCTGGGCTACAGGAAAAACCTTCTACAAAAAAAAGACAGGGAACAAAATCTACTAAAAGAAACAAAGCCCGTGTGTGTTTGTTTCGGCTTCGCGCGCAGGACTCCCCCTTTAAGGTTCGGGGCTACAATGGGGAATCCCCCAACCTGGCTGTTTTTTTGCGCGCGATTCTTAGCGCCAGCCACAAATGGCTAGCACTTAGTATTTGGCAAACGGTGCCGCGCCGTTAATCGGGAAAGTTGCCAAATCAAAGAAGAAACCCAAATGCCACCCCAAACGCAGTGCTCAAGGAAGGCCTCAAAGCCAAGTTTGTTTTGGGCCAAATATGTGTGTATGTAATGTAATGAAATGTAGTGTAATGTAACGTAACGTAATGTAATGCAATGTAACGTAATGTACTGTAATGTAATGTAACGTAATGTACTGTAATGTACTGTAATGTAAAGTAAGTGTAATGTAAATGTAAACGTAAATGTAAATGTCAATGAAATGTAATGGAATGTATGCATGCATGCATGTATATACACGTACGTGTGTGTGTGTGTATATCCATGTTTATGTGTATGTAATATAGATATGCCAAACACCCAAACACTCCCTCAAGCGCGTCAGCGCTCTGCGCGTCTGCGCCTCGTTTTGGCTGTAGAGGGAAGTGTAGGAGTTGCCCGCCAGGATCGAGAAGAGCACGCCTCGGCTTCTTGACGCTGTCCTCTTTTGGCGCAAGTTGACCGTAGGGATTTCATCGCCTTGGGGGCAAAGCCTGTCTGTGGTGGCGAAATCCGCTGCTCGCACCGCCCAAATAAGCCAGGGCTGAAACCATGAGGTTTGCCATGGTATTTACAGGGGAGTCATCATTCCAGCTTTTTTCGTAATTTCCCATGTTTTTGAGGCTGGGTGTGGTTGGTGAATTTCAGGCAATTAGGGCATCCACCATATGTGCCCAAGTTGGAACCCCACATGCGCACTTGCCCTTCCAGCTTCAGGGGTTCCCTTCGAAAGATGAAGCCCCAGCGGTGGTTTCAGAGATGGGAAAAAGAGAATGGGGAATCAACCCCTCGAAGACTCAGTTGCCTTTTAGGGACCTGGAAATGAAAGCTGATCGCCTGGTTGAAACGACAACACCAATGGGCCAAGGGAAAGCCAAAAGGTCAAAGAGAACCGAGGGAGAAAACCTAAAAGCGGTGCGTAGGTTTGAAGTGGTTTGAACTAAAAGAGAACTGAGGTTTGAAGTGGTAACCTAAAAGCGGTGCGCAAACCAGGCAGCAAGGGGGACACTGTGCAACCCCTCCGTCTGTGCCCCAAACTGGAGGCACAAGCGGTGTATGCGCGTCGCATGACTGTTCCCTCAAGTGTGGAAATCCCTCCAAGTTGCAAAAAGGATTCGGTTACGCACTAATGTTGACTCCAGATGAAAACCAACCCCAGTGTATTAATAGGGGGGTGGGGGCCGCTCCAAAAGTGAGGATTCCCCACATTTCACCCAGGGACAGCCTCCTATTAATAAACTGGGGTTGAGTAGTAGGGGGTCAACATTACAAGGCCTTATCATGCCCTGCTAGCCCCTGTTTGGGAATGGGTGTTTTGGGGACCCAATTTTATTTGGCCTTCGCAGAAACCGGAGGAAACCAACCTTTTGTTGGAGCCCTCGAACGTTGAGAGCAGGGGGGTGATCTTCCCCTGCCACATCCAGTTGAGCTGTGGAAGCTGACAGGGTTCCGAAAGACGTCTAGGCCCTCCATTTTCTCAAGTCCCCCGAAAAAAATGTATCTGGAAGTTATATAGACTCCCATTAAAAAACAAAATGGAGGGGGACTAACATAAGAATCTATAATTCCCATTAAACATATATATCTGGAAGTTAACAAAAAAACAGGGCAAAATAAGACATGGCCTTAGGCAAATGGAAGAAACTTGTCCACTTCCCGAGTTGGGCCTCGACTACGTTCGACCTTTCTTGCGGAACATGATGCCAAGGACACCTGTTTTCTGGCCGGATGGACACCAGCGAAGGAAACTGCACATCAGTATTCCGGTTCCTGGGCTTTTTTGGGGAGTCCACCGCTAGAAGCAATTTGTGAAACCGCTTTTTTTGGACAGCAATTGGAAGCAAACTCGGCTCTGCAAGGCTCGCTCGAACTCTTCTGCCACTTGCCATCTTGTTGCAATCACGGAAGCGGACAAGGGGCATGTTCAAGAGGACAGTAATAGACGGCCCTGGCAGATTCTGAAACAACCAGGTCCACCAGGACTCGCCATCCATTTGTCCACCAAACCCGCCCCCCCCCCCAAAAAAAAAAAAAAAAAAACGGGACACCAAAACAAATCATCCAAAACCGTCCTATCCACTTTGATGGTTGGAAAGGGGAATTGCCACCTCCCCTTGCAAATGATTTTTTATGCGAACACGCCCCAAAGCGTCGAAGGGGAAGCAATAGGAACGTACAAGTTGAAGGTTGCGCAGGCCCCTCCTCAGCCCCATCCCCCCCAAGCCCATAGGCGACCTTTTGGAAAAACAGATGTTGTTTCCTGGTAAATGGAAGAACCCCATCTGAACCAGTGGAACCCATCTGTTTCTAACGAAACTAACCCAAAACGGACACCTATGCCCAAGCCGCTCATCAGCGCCAGGATGTTCCCCACATAGCCCGAGGCCACATCGCCCAGAGGCACCACTTGCTTCGTGCCCGTGAGGGCCACCCACCTCGATCTGCCAATCGTTTCACCCAACGACGTCAGAGCCAAATGGCCATGGGTGTTGAACCATGGCCAAAAAGTGGGTGGACCTATCGAAGTGGTTGGTGTCCATGTGATTGTTTGCTTCCAAGCCACGTCAAAAAAGGGCCTCTCATTTTGAGAAACACCAATATATTTCAATCAGCGCCCCTTTGGATCAGTTTGGTTGAACGTGGGCTGCGCCGCCCAAATACCCTCCTGCAGATGCTGCTGTGAATAGACAAAAACCTGCACCATTTTGAAAGCATTGTTCGGTGGCATTTACAGGGGCATCGTCATTCCAGGGTTTTTTGGGTGCAGGATTTCGTCCATCCACAGGACCTTGGCAGGAGGTGGGGGGAATCCTCTGCAGACACTGGGGGCAATGGTGAACGCGCGTCCTCGACCGGCCGCCAGGCCGTGCCAGGAGGTTGTGCTGATCGAGGTCCAGGGCCCCCAGTCAGTTCCCCCAGCCCATTTCCTGGGCCCCCAAGTCCAGATTCAACTCGCCCACTTCGCCCCTCACGGGTCCCCACTTTGCCGACGCAAAGCAAACCGCTCGAAACACATTTTGTTGTGCTCAGCCCGGGCCAGGCTGCAGATATTTTTTCAAGATGCAGATAGGAAGGGCGGGGCGGGGCGGGGCGGGGCCCCGTCAGCTGCCACATGGCCATGGGTCAAAAACCCGTACCCCGAGTGAACATCCCAATCCCCACTAAAATAGGTTCTAAAATGGTGCCCCTGCCATCACCAATCCCAACCGAAAATGTTGGATCCCAAAAAGGTTTTGACCACAGCCATTCTTGCAAGCCGAGCCGGGGGCCGAAAGCCGAGGGCCGACTGGGCCGACTGGGCCGAGGGGCAGGCACTGCTGCAGGGAGGGGTACAGGAGATACGCCCCCAGCCCCGTGAAGATGGACCACAGCCCCACGCGGCACACCGTCATCTTCACGTTGTTCCGCACGGTCACCCGCAGCTTCGAGTTCACGTCGTCGCCTCCGAAGAACAAAAAAACAAGTCTCATAGAAGTGGGGCCCCCAGCACATTGCGTTTTTTGGGTTTTCTTTTTTCCTTCTGAGTGTTTGTCTCATAGGGGCCGCAGCAAGTCTTGGTTGCGGCTGTTGACCCCCAGGCAAAAAGCGGGTTCAACTTTTTGGGGGGGTTAGTGAAAAACCACTTGATTTCAACCAAAAAGTTAAAGTCTAAGGATCCAACCCAATAGCAGTCAAGAAATGGCGGCTTTCCGGTTGGTTTCGCCGTAAAAGCGAGCCACAAGGGTTCCCCGAAAAGAAATCCACCCGTCAAGCAACCCACCCTTAGATTCCAAGGTCTCAAAAGCCCAATGTAGAAGACCCAATTCGCATTGGTCAAGATCGAATTGGCTTTGGACCCCCAAAAACGGATTCTCCTGGGCTCCGGCAGAACCAACCTGAGCTCCAGACTACTGAAGGCCACGGCAAGGTTTTGCTTGGCAGCTCGACACATCTGCAACCCTTCCGGCGTGCAGATCGGCGCCGGCGCCGCTCTCCCGGGCAAAAGAAAATTATCCAGGCCAGTGGGTTCTGGGGAAAAGTAAAAGTCGGCCACCCAAGCCTGTCATTGGTTGACGTTGGAAGGGGAGCAAAACAAATATGATTCTAGCAGCTAAGTGGTTGGATTTCAACCACCTAACCGCAACAAGCAAAAATGCAAAATGTGTCCAAACAACGATGAAGTGTCTGACACCTGAGCCTGAAGGGAAACCAACCTCTGCGGAAATCACAAGGCTTACCACAGAAGTGGCCTTCCCAAGAAGTGAAAGTCCACACACCGGGAAAGCAACGCAAATCCTCTGAAACCGGGACTTGGCTGGAATCCACCAAAGAAAATGGGATTTGGCGTGCGTCTTCAAATAATGAGATCCGCAAAATGCGGGCTTTTTCTTTGGTTTCCCTTTAAAACCACCCCCCACCCAACCAAAAAGAAAGAAAAAGGAAAAGTGCCGGCAAAAAAGGACCCCTCCATTTAAAGGGAGCCAGGTACCTAGAGCGGGCATCCGTCGGCGCCTTTGGTCTCCTCCGCCTTGCGCAGCGGCAGCGAGCGCTTCCGGAGCGCCCGCTGCGCCTGCGACCGACGAAGCGATGCGCGCGAAACGCGAAACGGGCGGTCACAAAACACGGGCGCCGCTTTTGGGCAGCACCCTTAAAAATGAACAGACCCAAAAAAACAAAGAAGAAAGAAAACTGCCGACAACGGTGAAGGGAAAAAACGGCCCGAGATAAGCACACTGGGGTTGCGGGGTGCTTCAAAACCAAATTTAGTCATGCTAAGGGGCAAACTATCGACTAGTGGTTGTTTTGGCGTCATTGGCAAAATAACATGGAACCAAAAAGGGGGGGTCTCAAAAAAGATACCTCCAAAATACCCTCCCACCAACTAACATAGAACCAAGCAAAGGGTCCCACGAGGGGCCAATCGTCTGTCAGGAACTCCCATCAAGTTCCATACTGCGGATGGTTGAAATCGAAATCCATGTCGCGCCTAAGAAACCCAAAGGAATCATTCGGTTTCCCCTGAAAAAGAAACGACAAACCGCTGTGATTTCAACCATGGTTGCATTCCTTTTTCTCGGTGCGAAATGGATTCTTGCGCATCCATCCACGGCAGGTGGGAGGGCACCGTATCTTTCCATTGGAAGGCCCAACTCTGCGTCGGGCAGAGTCCCGGAACAGCATACTTCCATTTCCTTTTTCGCCCCCTGGAAACAACATATGTCCAGTAGTGAAAATCGGTCCCGTTGAAACCAACAAGGGAGAAATGAACGAACAATGCATTTCAAGCCAATGGAAGGTGTTCGTATCTGTGCGCTCACTTGCCCCTTAGGGACCTGGAAATGAAAGGTTCTATCACCTGTTGGGTTGCCACCAACCAAAAATACAAATAAAGAAAAGAAGAAGAAAACAAAAAGGGAACAGCGCGAGAAAACCATCGTAGAAGCTTCTTGCCAGCCTTAACGGCGCAGCAGCTGATTGCCCCGGCCGCGAGGAACAGCTGGCCATCCACGCCCATTCGGCCGCCCGCTCCGCTCGAATGAGAGGCATCCGGCCGGGCGAGGGGCGGCCGAAGATCCCCGCGCGCCGGCCTGGCGCAACATCACTGGGCCACCACCTGCGTTTAACTTGTTTGAACCAGAAATGGGTGGTTGACTATTAGGGGGTGCCCGCTTTTGGTGGGGACTCGTCGCTTTTGGGGCCAACACCCCGTGTTAATAGGATGGGTGTACTAATCCAGGGTCAACATGATATTGTGAAAGGACCTCCGGCTGGCTTCCGTTTAAAGGGATGGGGTCTGCTTCTTTGAACAAATTCGCCCGACCCTGACAATTAGTCAATGGAAATGCGTGGGTGTCCTTTCTGGATTGTCGCCAATGGGGGCCCTTTTCCATGTCTACCCCGAGTTTCGGAGCCCCTGGATCAAGGAGAGACCTGCTAAAAGTAACTAACAAAACCCAACCACCAGACAGGGATCCGGAGGCATGAAAAACACCTGAACCTTGCAACTTGTAAATGGTGGTTTCCATTTCTTTATTTTGGTGTTGAAAAAGCCACATGTTTCAAGTGGTGGCAAACTGAATTTCTTTTAAGGAGCCCTGCTAAACCAACTAAAAACAACTGAAAGCCCAGGGATGCGGAGGGCTGGGAACCGCCAAGGTAAACCCACTTCTGTTGGGTTCCCCACTTCCGTGCGGCCTGCGCAATTCATCCCCCGCGGTGCAGGATCCAAGGCTTCCCTACCACGCGCCCCTACCATACCCACTTTGGTGGGGTCATCCAAACGATGTCTAAAGAAAGAAAGCTTTGCGGGCCGGGAGAGCCCTATTAACAAGCAAGCAAGCAAGCAAGCAAGCAAGCAAGCAAGCAAGCAAGCAAGCAAGCAAGCAAGCAAGCAAGCAAGCAAGCAAGCAAGCAAGCAAGCAAGCAAGCAAGCAAGCAAGCAAGCAAGCAAGCAAGCAAGCAAGCAAGCAAGCAAGCAAGCAAGCAAGCAAGCAAGCAAGCAAGCAAGCAAGCAAGCAAGCAAGCAAGCAAGCAAGCAAGCAAGCAAGCAAGCAGCAAGCAAGCAAAGCAAGCAAAGCAAGCAAGCAAGCAAGCAAGCAAGCAAGCAAGCAAGCAAGCAAAGCAAGCAAAGCAAGCAAAGCAAGCAAGCAAGCAAAGCAAGCAAGCAAGCAAAGCAAGCAAAGCAAGCAAAGCAAGCAAGCAAGCAAGCAAGCAAGCAAGCAAGCAAGCAAGCAAGCAAGCAAGCAAGCAAGCAAGCAAGCAAGCAAGCAAGCAAGCAAGCAAGCAAGCAAGCAAGCAAGCAAGCAAGCAAGCAGCAAGCAAGCAAGCAAGCAAGCAAGCAAGCAAGGAAGGAAGCAAGCAAGCACACACAAACAAACAAACAAACAAACAAACAAACAAACAAACAAACAAACAAACAAACAAACACACAAACAAAACGGTTTCAAGTTTGCCCACCCAACTTTGCCCACCCAACACGGGCAACATTCCGCCCCACCATCCTCCATCCGCCCGGGCCGAGGCTCAGAAACTGCAGCACGCGCAGCGATGGCGAGGGTTGCGCCAGCATGGCGTCAGCTTCGCTTGAATCGTTTCGCGAGGTGTCGTCTTCCCGGGGGGAGGGGGTGGAGTGGTGGCTTCGCTGAGAATCTGCAGCCAATCGAATCTGGCAGGTTTGTGAGAAAGTGGCCAAGAAATCGGCGGCTTGTGCAACCCGAGCCAAGAGGGCCTAAGGGCGATCCGGGCGAGAGAGTTCCCAAGCGCCAAAATCCAAAGTCGGCAAAACTAAATTTAAAATAGACCAATTCTAAACCAATACTAGCGATTTCTCCTGACCCAAAGTAGTGATTGGGAAGCCCCAGAAAAAAGGGGAGCCCACCTGGAAACAGAAGACGACCGAAGAGAAAGGGACCAGGCACGCCCCCCGAATAACAAAACCTAATTTGCGCAAGGGAAAACGTTCTCTCTCTCTTTTTTGGGGGGGATCGCCCTTCAAGTGCCCAGTACACCTTGACGACAGTGCACTAATGTGAACCCCAGGATTGAAAATCAACCCTTAGCTGATCAACGGTGAAGTTCTGCTACGTCCTTGCAAAACTTCTGGCTAGAGTTGTCCCACCTGCGAGAGGATCCTTCACTTCTCGAACACAAAACCGATCTCAAAAAAAAGACTTCCCCTCCCCCACGTCCTCACTGCTTCGACCCCAGCCCCCCCCCCCCCCGACCTGGACTGCACCGCGGAGAAGGTGGCGCTGGTGGGCCTCCCAATCACTCGCTCGCTGGGTCTCAGTGAGCAAACGGGGGATCCACTAAAACACCAGTGGCACAGAGAACTTCTCCTATTTTCCAGCTCTGTTCCATGTTCAGCCATAGGATACGAGCCTCTGCCGTGGTCAACTAAACCCTAAACCCCTACTCTTTCATGGGTGCCACCCCATCTTTCCGGAAATGCCATAAGGTAGAGCTTTGGCCATAAGGTATGGCCATAAGGTAGAGCCATGGGTAGAGCTATGGCCATAAGGTAGAGCCATAAGGTGCAACCCAACTACTTACTTACCCCTTAAAACTCCAAGCCCTGGGGAAGTTAATCTTTTACAGACATATAGCCCATGTTACCCAAAAAGTTGAAAAGTTGTGGTTTTAAGAGGTAAGCTTATGGCCAAAAGGCAGAGCTGTGGCTTCGGAGACCCTCGCCGGCTTTCGCCGCAGGGAAACCGCGCCTGGAGCTGTGCATTTCCGAGGGCAGCGCCTCGAATCGGACCGGGTTCCCCGACGGTTCCCGGTGAGCTTCCGACGGCTCTTGGGAACGAACCGAGGGCGAGTTGCGACATCTGGGTGTGTCCAGCTTTTTTGAGAGCACCCTTCAAAGGGGTGAAGGAAAAACTCAGGAACCAACCTAGTTTGAGGGTTCCCCTTTGACACAAACCCATCTGGTTTGAAGTCCGATCGAGATGTTTTGTGGGAAATGAATGCAAGAACTAAAAGCTGTGGTCCATATCCCGTTGGTTGATTTTGACCCATACCCAAATCTGCGGCCATGCGTCAAGGTAGGGCCCCTGCCCTGCCCCATGGGTATCTCTGCCCATGAGGATCCCCCAGTAGTTAAGACTCCCTTAGATCCCGGAACTTGATCCTAAAACCAAGCTGTCCACATGCATACATGGGCTTCGATGTCTAACTACTGTTGGACGAAGCCCCTTTCGCGCTTTTCAAAGACCCGTTTTGTCTGATTCGAGTCCAATTCATTTCGTGGTGCGAAATCGATTTCGTCCCGCTTGGGCTTCGGCGCCCCTACAAGGCTACGTGAGCGAGCCCCCCTTGAAAAAACAAAACAAAGGAAATCCTGGGAACTAGAATGGCCAAAGAGGTGATAGCGAGGTGTGCAAGTTGGCTGGTGTCCGACCAAGACTGGAACCCTCTCTCTTCATTCCCCAAAAACTCACGGTTGCCAGTCAAAGTGGAGGTCTCTTAATAGAAAAGCTCTTGGGAGAGAAACTCACTTCCCAAGTGGTTGGCCCCAAAAAAGTCCAACCTTTTGTACCCCACTAAAATGGTCTTCCCAAAAAGTACCAAGTCCATGAACTCGGGAAGCGAGTAAAGAGCCGTCAATCTAGCTGCAAATGGGGTCGCGAGGTGGATGGCGCTTTTCAGAGGCCTGAAAGCCGACGTGTGCTACACAACTGCACTTGGGAGGAGTGGGGTTTTGGGCAAGCCGTGCCACATCTAACCCCGCGGATTAGCCAGGAGACATCCAGGAGAAACCCTCTCACTGGCGAGTGAGGTTGGTTTGCGAGGGTGGTCCCGAAGGATGGGGAGCAAGGGGGAGACCTAGAATCAAGGAACAGGAAGCTTCAGAACCCCAACCCCCCACTGGTGTTTGCCTGCTCACGTGCAAATGAAAGAAGAACCTAGTCAGATGACAACTTCCGATGGTTTCTGGGACCCCTTCGTCGCATTGGGCCGCCAGGACCAAATGCCTATGGCTTCTTGGTGGGGCACCCGCTTTCCGCCAATCGCAGTGGAGTTCGAGTCTTCCGATACCGTGTCGGCTTTCATGCTTGTTGGGAAGAGCGTTGGTTGTATCATTGCATGATTATTGAAGACATATACAGGGCTAAATAACTAGGAACATGTCCTCCCATGATGGCTTTCTCGCACCTCCCCAATCAACCATCATATGTTCCCCTTTGAACAGCGCCACAGGGATGTGAACTTGCGTAACCCAGGGTTTTGCGCGGTAATTAAGAGAAGGGTGCAGCAATTAAGCCCGAATCATTCCCGGAAAAAACTTTTTCACCACCCTGGGACATTTCTGAACAATGGCGACCAACGGAAATAGCGACGACAAACTGTCCAATCTGGCAACACCAATTTGGGCGTTAATTAATGAAGAACGGGCGTCGCGAATGGCAGGGCAGCCAAGCAATTCATCGCGCCTTGCAAGAATGCCCTGAAGAAGGTTACGCGCAACAAAATTTAAATGTAACAGTAAGTATCCAAATTTTGACCGAAACGATGCGAATGCAAAGCATGTAAGGGTTTTTGTGGCGGCAACAACACCCCCCCTCAGCATTCAAGGATATTTCGACCGCCAACAATCCTTAATTGCTGATTCCTTTTGAGCATCCTAGTTGCCGACCTCCGGCCTGCCCCCAACAATTGAGAATGTTTCGGTCCGTTTCCAACAAATTCCTCTGTGGCTGACCCCACCCTACGGAGCAATTAAGGATTTTTTTGGGTCTTGCTGACCCCGCCCCTTAGCATCTAAGGATTTTGCGGGCGACAGGCATAGTTGCTGATCGGCGCTTCAGGATTTATCAGATCACAAACATCTTTATTTGGTAGCAGCAGAGCATATGTTTTTGCCAGTTCTCATCTGCGGCCGTCGCTTGAATGAACCCACGCATCACATTTGAAAGTGCGCTGCTGGAATTGCATGTTTCTGCAGGCAAGTACGCATGCACCTCTGCTTCAGCAAATGAGGATTATTTGGGGTCGAATAAATTCTGAAATGTTCAGGGGGGGGGTTCAGCAAGTATTGATTTGGTGGGGCCGACAAATCCTGAAATGCTGGGGGGGGGGGGTCAGCAGTTAAGTTTTTTTGGGTTGACAAACCATTTAAGAATTTGCGGGGGGCCGCGACGGCGGAAATCCTTGACCCCCTCAGCATTTAAGGATTTGCGGCGGGCCGCGAGGGAGAGGGGTCAGCAAAGAAGGATTAAGGGGGGGCCGCGAGGGCCGAAAAATCCTTACTTGCTGAGGGGGGGTCAGCATTTAAGGATTTGCGGGGGGCCGCGAGGGCCAACAAATCCTTAAATGCTGAGGGGGGGTCAGCGTTTAAGGATTTGCGGGGGAGCGAAAATTCCTTAAATGCTGAGGGGGGTCAGCGTTTAAGGATTTGCGGGGGGCCGCGAGGGCCGAAAAATCCTTAAATGCTGAGGGGGGGTCAGCATTTAAGGATTTGCGGGGGAGCGAAAATTCCTTGCTGAGGGGGGGTCAGCATTTAAGGATTTGCGGGGGGCCGCGAGGGCCGAAAAATCCTTAAATGCTGAGGGGGGGTCAGCATTTAAGGATTTGCGGGGGAGCGAAATTCCTTAAATGCTGAGGGGAGGTCAGCATTTAAGGATTTGCGGGGGGCCGCGAGGGCCGAAAAATCCTTAAATGCTGAGGGGGGGTCAGCATTTAAGGATTTAAGGATTTGCGGGGGTCGCGAGGGCCGAAAAGTCCTTAAATGCTGAGGGGGGGTCAGCATTTAAGCTTTTTGCAGGTAGTTTTCAGCGCATTTTGGATTCCCAATAGGTGTTTTACCCGTATTGGGAATCCAAAATGCGCTGAAAACTACCTGCAAAAAGCTTAAATGCTGACCCCCCCCTCAGCATTTAAGGAAATGGTGCAGCAATTAAGATTTTTTAGCGGAATTTTGCTTTACGGCCCTCACGCTGGATTTGTCGGTCCCCTGCAGATCCTCAATCACTGACCCCCCGCTTTGCCCTCCGAAATACTTGCTGACCGCCCCTCAACAACGAATGATTTTCGATCCCAAAATCCTCAATTGCTGAAACCCCCCCCCTCAGCAACTGAGGATTTTCTGGCCCCCCTTCAGCAACTATTTTTTGGCATCACCCCCCCCCCCCCCCGCCCAGCAAAAAATGCTTTTCCGGCCCCGACACCTGCTCAATTGCTGACGTCCCCCCTCAGCAGCTGAAAAACAATGATTTCTGACCCTAATTGCTGACACCCCCTCAGCATTTAAGGCTTTGTTCAGCCCACACAAATCCTGAATTGCTGACACTCCCCCCCGCCCCAAACAAATTCCTTAACTACTGACCCGTAGTGAACAGCTTGTCGGGAAACAGGGCTTTGTTGGCTAAAAAAGGACAAGGACAAGCAGCTTTATTCAGTGAATAGGATTCTGCAAAGGCAACAACAAGTATCCTGTGTACAATCGTCAGCCCGCCCAACATAGCAATTCACAATTTCTGGCCGACCAGCTCCTTAGTTGCTAAAACTTTGCATTGGATGGACAAACCTGACATTGATGACGGCTGGCAACTTTTTGGCAGACACTCAAGCCATTACCCTTTGTGGATGAGAGGAAGTTTCGGATTTCAAGAGTTTCATCTACCCATTCAGCAATTCTGGAATTGTTGGTCCCAACAATGTTTCTCTCACCCCCTCGCACAGTTAAGGATTTTGTGGGCCTCACACATCCTGACTTTCTGACCCTCGTCGCATTTGAGGATCGTTCTATATCATGAATTGCTGTCCCCTGATTTGTCTACTTCGACCCTCCAAACCGTTGCTTGATTCCAACTTGCTGGAAACTCAGAGTTTGCGACTGGCAGCATGGACTATACACTTAGTGGCTGAGAAGAAGCTATCAAGGATGGTGGTGGCCAAAGAAACTGAAGGACTTCTGCCCCCCCCCCCACTCAGTTAAGAATATGTTGATCATTCAATATTCACAATGGCCCATCCTCAGCGATTGCTGCAACTGCAAAACAGCAAGCAATTAATAAGGCTTTTTGGGGACTCAACCGTCCTTAATTTCTGAGAGCGACCAGCAACGAAGGACTTGGGAGGGCCGCAAGACTGAATCAGCAATGAACGATTTTTGGGGACCGACGACTCCTGAGCTGCTAGGGCGCCCTTACTGACAGGGGGGTTAGTAATGAAAGATTTATTGGGGCAACTAAATCCTCAATTGCGGGGGGGGGGGAGGGGCTGCAATTCAGGATTTGTTGGGCTAAAAAACCCACAATTGTTGATGCTGTTTGTTTCATGTGTTTCAGACCAAAAACTGAAATTTCCCGCTTGGGAACTTTTGCAAGGGCACCGTACCTTAATCGCTGACCCCCCTTGAAACCCAGATGAATTACGCAAGTTCACACACAGGGATGTTGAAAAAACCGCCAAACGTGGATTTGTTTGTGCGTCTTTTATGGGCGTGTCTTTTTTGGGGGGGACACCCAAAACTGTGGCTTCCCTTTTACTTTCCCCTTCAAACCACAAAACGGGGGTGCCCTGAAAAAAAGGACGAGCCGCCCGCATAGGGAACCCCTAGACTACCGGAACTTCCGGGCCCCGGGCCGTGGACGGCATCTCGCTATCCCAGGAAAAGGCCTCGGCGCCGTTGCCAAAAGGCCGAGCGAGGCCTTTTGGCCCTAGTTGGGTGGCTCATCTTTTTTTTAGGGACGCCCCAAACGGGAGGTTTACAAGGGGCTCCCTTGGAAGAAACCACCCAAAACGGTGTACCTTCCAAGAAAAAGAGAGACACACCCATTTGGCCTACTCCCAAGGCCGTTAACCGCTTTCCGTGTGGCTCAATTTGTTGAGGCCCTGCGAAGACCTTTCATCCTCCGGATTTAATCTGTTCAGGCCTTGCTTGAGCCTCACTGAGACTTGCTTGCATTTTCCCTGACTTAGCCTTGCCAAAGCGTAGGCTTTTTGTTGGAGCTGCGGCGACCCTGAGAAACTCGCCAGCCTGGAGTGCGTTGCGTCGTTTTTCCCCCTGGATAAATGAACTTGTCCAGATTCCCCCTTCGACAACGACATCTGTTTCAAACTGAGAGATAAACATGGTGGCAAAAGAATTGGCTGAATGCCTTTGTCTGAGACACCGCAGCCGAAGTTTGGGCAATCGAGATTTACACCCACTGGCCTTAGGGTCAGCGGGAGAACATGGATGGGCTCCGTAGGTGTCAGTCCGGAGCATTCAGTGGAGAGTGGCTGAATTTGTGTGAACCAACCAGCACCAAGTGGCCAAACAACTTCCCCTCAGCCACGAAATATACAATCACTATATGACCTCCATAAAAAATATACACCCACAGTGAGACTGCCATACGATTAAGTTGTTTGTGTTTGGTTCTGCTCAATTTTGGCAGGAGGCTGCAACAAATGTGTCGCTAACGCGCCAAAAAAACTGGAAAGCCGAAAGCATCTTCCACACCCCGAAGACTCCATCCAACCTGAAAGCCCCCGAGGCTCCTCTCCGAGCGCGCCGCGGCGCCGCCCGGCTTGTCCGACCTAGGTTAAAATCAACGCGCCAGGAGAACACCACTGGCCCCCCCGCCCCCAAAAGAACTTGGCCTCTCTCCCAGTGGAGCCCTTCGGAAAATGGCTAACCCCTGCCTGCGATGTCCCGACATATGGAACGCCTCGATAAAAATCGAATTCGCTGGGTTCTCCAAATTCGGCCGAATCCCCTCATGGCGCTTGATTTCCCTTGTGGCTGCCCCCAAAAGCAAGCCCAAGCCTCGTCTGTCACGCTTAAAGGCTTCTCTTTTTTCAGCACATAAATTCGCCAATCCGGAAAGCTGCTGGGCGAAAAGTCTCCGTTGCCCAGTCCAGTGACCCGCCCAAAGAATTGGAACCCTTTCACTCTCTCGCTCTCTCTCTCTGCATCTCTGCCGCTCCGTCGGTAAGCCGTCCAGCAGATTGGGGGGCCCCCGACAAAAGACACGCCCTTTTGGGTTTGCTTCAATTTTAAGAGTGGCCACAACCCAGCGAACATGTTCAGGAAGCTTTGGGTAGAATCCGCTCACTGGGCAACTCACTTCCGATTGAGCGAATTGGTCAGAAAAAGTCTGACGACTTGTTGTGTCTACTGGGCTGCTCAAAGTAATCAACTTGTGGGTTAAGTGGAAACCCAACCGCAAAACCAACTAAAACAACTGAAAACAACTAAAAAAACCTAAGTGGAACCAAACAGCTGGGCAGGGTGTGGAGTGGTCTGTTCCCCTTTCGATTGTCACCCCAAGGCCTCCCTCCCCAAAAAGCAAAAAGCCGAGCGAACCTCTCCGAAATTTGTCCGCATTTGCTCACCAAATGAAACGATCTACCACAAAGCTCTTGATTATTGTTGACCCTAGCCTGATAAACATCCCATTCGGAGGTGTCCCCCTCCAAAAGTGGTCAGAATCCCCACTAAAAGGAAAACAACCCCCACAAAAACAAAAGAAGGGAAAACAGCCCCCCCACAAAAAAATGAAAACAACCCCCCCCCAAAAAAAAAAAAAAACTCAAAGGAAAACACTCCCCCAATTAAACTCCACCGGGGGCGTCTGCTTCCTCCGGGGCCAGCCATGGCAACCGTGACCAACGTCCGTTGCGTGGCGGACCTCGGATTTTCGGATTTTTCAGGGCGCCCGGGCAGCTCCACCTTCCAGAAACCGTGCAGCACCTCGGGTCCAACGTGGAGGCTCTTTCCATGGAGTCAGCCACCGAAAGTGCCGACGCGGTGGGTAACGTGACAAGCAAAGAAAGAAAAAAAGAGTTAGCAAGACAGACAGGCAGGCACGCAGGTAGGCAGACAAACGGAGAGAAAGCAAGACAGCAAGAAACATGCACCTGGCAAACGAATAGGAAGAGTGTTCCCCCATACGTGATCCGATCTTGAATAGGACACCCCTCAAAATCAACCAGACGTTAATAAATCCCGAGTTCCACAATTTCGAGGAACCCCTCATAGCATAAAAGGGTACATCCCACATGCTCCCATTTTCTGTCTGGGTGTCTCTTTATTGAGGGTACCCCGTGTTGAATGGTTTTCAAGGGGAACCAAAATGAAAACAAAATCCATTTCGGGAGGTCCGAAGACACGAGCCACGGCCCAGGTCAAGGACCCGCCGGTTCCAGTCAATGCTCTCCGGGCCGGGCAACCCCGCCGCCTTGCCCGCGGCATCCGGCACGAACTCCGAGACGAGACCTCAGCGCAAGGCGTTTCGAGCGCTCCAGTGCTTTCATCCGTCAGCGCCCTGCCAATTGGTGGTTTGGAGCCGCATCGGTGGTTTGGTCTTCCGGGGTGGTTGCCCATCTACCCTCTGGAAGAACCAGAGGTTCAAAGCCCCCAATCCCCAAGCCACCAATCCCAAGCGAAATTGTGTCGTGAGTCCCATGGTTGTGAAAACTCATGGCGCGTCCCCCGTGCGCCTCCCATTTTCACCATAGACCGGTACAGCAATTTTGACAAGGAGCCTTGCAGGGAGCTTGATAAACCAAAGCTTGGCTGCCATCATTTTGCGAAGGGCAAACAGGTCTCACATGCTACTGAACCGTTGGCCCGGCATAGGAATCCAGCAAACAGGAAACCACAACAAAGACTTACCACCGGTCGTCTCTGACCGAACCGATGGCCCCCCTCGCGATCGCCGAGAAAAGCCTCGAATACGCCACACGTCGCTCCTTGGCTGCCGGGCTGAGAAGCGATCGCCCATGGAAGCGCTGCACGTACCTCTCGAGCGGAGTCCCAAGCTTGGATCAAAAGTTCATCAATTTACTAGTGGTGTCCATTGAAACGACTGCCACTTTTGGAGGTTCCAAAAAGGAAAATGGAGGACACCCTGTTGAAGCGTGTGTGTTTTTCTTCCTGTTGTTGGTTGTTTGTGTGTTTGTTTTTTTTGCGGGGGGGAGGGGGGAGGGGCTTGGCACTGCCCTCTCGGGGCCTTGCATGCTCCAGGGAACCCCATGCCCCCCCCCCCACCCAAAGCTCACAAACAAAAGGTGGAACCCACCCAAAAAGTAGGCCTGTCTATTTTGAGGCTACCTCGCTTTTTGTGGGTTTAACGGACCCCCCCCCCCAATTCTGGGAAGAAACAAACCAAAACCAAATGCGCTGTCCAAATCCTGAAGGGTGCCCTTTTGACTGGAGCCAAGCAAGCGTGCCGTTTTAAGGAGACCAAATCCCCCATGGAAAAACCGCCCACCTTCAGAGCGAGGGCTCCCCCTCGGCCTTGGGCCCCCCGGCGCCACCAGGTGCCGGGACTTGGCTTCCACCTGCGAGGCCAAGGCTGCGGGCACCGGCACCTGCGCGCGGATTTGTCCCCCGGGAGTTCGGCGCCGGAGGTTGGAGAGCCGCGAGGGGTTGGGGGGGGTGGGAGGTGGGTGGGTGAGGGTTGGTTGGGGGTTGGGGGTTGGGGGTTGGGGGTTGGGGGTTGGGGGTTGGGGGTTGGGGGTTGGGGGTTGGGGGTTGGGGGTTGGGGGTTGGGGGTTGGGGGTTGGGGGTTGGGGTTGGGGGTTGGGGGTTGGGGGTTGGGGGTTGGGGGTTGGGGGTTGGGGGTTGGGGGTTGGGGGTTGGGGTTGGGATGGAGGTTTTGAGGGGCGAGAGAGGGAGAAACCCTAGCATAGGTTGTGAAAACCAAAAGGAAAATGGGGTTCGAAACCCATTTTGAAAACCAGGTTGCCCATGGTACCCCAAACCAAAGAGTATAGGGTAGCTTTTGATAGCTAGTGTTGACAGTCTGTTTGCGTCCTGTCCCCTTTCAGCCACTTTCTTCAACTGCATGGAAGCCTGGGGCTGGACACCCAAATCCTCAGAAAACACAGGGCCTCCGCAAGTTGTCAGCTTCCCACGAATTGGTGGTTTGGATTGCTGGTATAGCAATTTGTGCTTCGGGGTGGATTCCTATTTACCCTCTGCAAGAACGAGGGGTTCGGTTACCCGAACTTGCTTTCCAAGCCTTGCGCTGCAACTTCGACGATTCGAGAAGTCGCACGGAAAAAAATGCAGCTGTACCCTTTGCAATGGCCTTCGATGAGGGCGACGCACCTCCTGCGCGGAAAAGAAAAAAAGAAGAAAGAAGAACCGTTCTTCTGCCCGGCTGCCTTCACACGGCCATAGCGACACCTACTACAAGGGTTCCCTTTACACACCAAAATGAGGAACCCTCAAGGAATGACAAACAACGTTCAGAGCGAAGAATCCCCGGAAGCCCATCCCGGACCTCCACTGGGATGGAAAATGCTGCTCCCTGGCCACCGAGGGTCAAAGCATGCTTCTCCGCGCAGTGCTATTCCCAAGCCGGAGATGAGGCTCGCTTGACGGTGGAGGGGGAGCAAAAACTGTGATTTTTAGCAATTAAGTGGTTGGATTTCAACCACTAAACCACAACAAGCAAATACGTGGAATGTTTCCCAACAACCATGAAGGAGCCCCCAAGCCAGGGATCTTCATAAAACGTGAGCTCGTGCTAACCCAGGCAAGCTGATTCTCATTTCTCCTGCTTTTTGTGGACACTCCTACATTTCCCCCTACAAACCTCACCACCGAACTTAGCAAGTCGTTTCATGCTTAAAGCCACCAAAAAAATCGAGCTGTGCCCCGAAAATTTCTGACTTGGATAGGCAGCTTCCCATGTATCCTCGAGAGCCAGGACAGATCGGGAGGCCGTGGAGCCAAGATCCCATCGGTAGCTAAAGGCAACGGCCGTACAGGGGAACTCATGGTTCCAAGGGCTTAATTGGTGCTACGAAATGGATTTCGCGACCAGCCGCAGTGTGGATACCTGCGGCTCCGAGTTCGCTCCTTGCCAGGGAGCGTTGCTCAGCGGATACGCCTCGAATTCGCGCGGGCAAGCGGGAGGAAGCACCAAATGCCAGGGTGCGGCACAAGCGCGCCACTTTGGAAGCCAGGAGAAAACATCAACCGCATAGGTGTTTTTTGCTTTTTTTTGCAAAATGAATGGGTTTCCCTGAGAAACGCAATCATAATCTAAAACCAATCCAAGCCAGTGCCATCTATGTCTACCAACGGGCCCCGAATTCTGGCCGTCGGCCTGATGTTTCTGGGGATTGCGGTTGAGTATTTTTTGCCATCATCTTCAAACGGCTCTTTTGTTGGTGCGAACCCGGGCTGAGTGAAGGTCTTCCCAGGGCTTACCAAAAAGCTTCAACGGCCGGGGTTTCGGAACCTAAGCGCATGACCCACCCCGCGCCTTGTTTGTGCAGGCGCCCCTGCTTGTGTTGCTTTTCCTTCTTCTTTTTTTTTGGGGGGGAAGGGGGGGGGGGGAAAGGGGGGACAGCCACCTTGTTGAATGTTGCGGGGGGGGTCCCCTATAAAGCAGACACCCGTATAGTGGCCCAGAGAAACCAAATGATCAACCCCTGTTGGCTTCCTTGAGCTATGCAAGAAGTAGTCAGCAGCTCCTCAAGGGCTTACCTTGGCCACACACAGGAAGTGAATTCCCCTAGAATCCCATGTCGCAACCATGTTCGCAAGCGATGGGAACCCAATTATTGAAGAATTGAACATGCCATGTCCATTCAAGTGACATCCTCAACCGCGTGGCCAAAAGAATGTTTCTTAACATGGGGGAGCCCCTAAACAAGATTGTATCCTTTTGGTTTCCTTGCAAAACCACCCAACAAGAGTCCATTTTTGAAAAATCCATGGCACTTGCAAATGATCCAAACACCGATCGCAACAGTGACTGAAAAAAGTGATCGCAACTTGGCTATCTAGGGGGATTATGGATTGGGATTGGCCAATACTCCATTTTGAACAGCCCGGAAAAAGGTCTAGCTGGTGAAGTTGACGAGCGGTTGGTTGGAAGGAAGCCGTTGGGGCCCAGTATCCAAATTTGCTGAGCTCAACATGGAGCCTTAATCGGAGCTATCGGAGATCTGGGACATGTTAGCCGTGGGTGTCATTTTCAGGTCGAGTCAGAACCTCACTCCCGTTAAGTGCTTGGACTTGATCGTCGCTTTTTGGGTGTGGTTTCCATTTTTGTGGCGAACATGTTTGCTTGGACTTGTTTTGTGCAAATAGATGGCCCTGGTTTCATTTTGGCCTAATGGTTTTTGTTCATGGAGAGGAGGAGGAGAAAGAAAAAAAAACGGATGGAGAAAACAAAAAAGATGGAGAAAAAAAACGCCACTGGCGATCCAGGCCTCCCTCCACGGGGGGGGGGGGGAGGAAAAAAAGAGCTACACTTCTCTGTTCACAAAAAAAAAGAGGTGTTGGCCAACCAACCCACTCCATGATCCCCCTCTAAAAGAAAAACCAAAACGACCAAAAAAAAAGGGGGCCCAGCGCGAACTCGGACCGAACCGGGCGAACTCGGCTCAACTTCTCTCGGCGAACTCGGCCTGCGTGAAGGCTTGGCCCACCACGTCCCAGGACCTCACCGGGGGGGACTAATCCGCCGACCCCCCTGCCTGCAAGGGGAAGGCGCTGGGGGAGTGTTCGTTTAGCGTTGGAGCGTGACTGTGGCAGCCTTCTCCCTTCCCTTTCGCCCTCGCCCGTTCAGCCCTGTACCTTACCAGCCTTCTTTCTTTCCCTTTTTTCTTGTTCTTCTTCGTTTCTTTTCTTTCCTTTTCCTTTCTGCTGCCGGCGCACTCCTTTGGTTGGTGCTCGCTGTGGACAAACGAGTGCGGCCTGGAAAAGCGGGAAGCGAAGCTTTTGTGGCTGGCCGCTCCCTCTGGACCGATAGCCTTACTGCATATTGGACTCAAACGCGACGTTAGGCATCCGGCCGCGGCGGAGCAGGCTGCCGGCGCACTCCTTGGTTCGTGCTCGCTGCGGCGAAGCGAGTGCGGCCTCCAAGCGCGCTGGACGCGAAGCTGTTCTTGCTGGTTGCGCCCTGGGGACCGAGAGCTTTCTACTTTCTATACAGGAATCAAAAGTGACGTTCGGCACCCGGCCGCGGCGGGGCAGCCGCCCTTGGCAAGACGCACAGCAAACCCAAAGGGAGAAAGACCAGGGATAGGCAAACTGTGACAGACGCAGGCGCACATGGGCATGGACAGGCCGGGGGTTGAACCCGGCCCCTCTCGCATGCTGAGCGGGTGTAATGCCACTACACCAACTGCCCCTGAGCTGAGGAGGCCGAGAGTGCTCAACTACCTGCTGGGCACAGCTTTCAGCGCTGAAGCTCTGTCACGGCCAGCCCGTTCGGCCTGTTTTCTTCCTATCTGCTGCCGGCGCACTCCTTTGGTTGGTGCTGGCTGTGGGCAAACGAGTGCGGCCTGGAAAAGCGCTCAAGCACCTGCAGGGCACAGTTTCGCCCGTCCGGCCCTTTTTCTTCCTTTCTGCCGCCGACCAGGGATAGGCAAACTGTGACAGACGCAGGCGCACATGGGCATGGACAGGCCGGGGATTGAACCCGGCCCCTCTCGCATTCTGAGCGGGCGTGATGCCACTACACCAACTGCCCCTGAGCTGAGGGGGCCGAGAGTGCTCAACTACCTGCTGGGCACAGCTTTCAGCGCTGAAGCTCTGTCACGGCCCTTTTTCTTCCTTTCTGCTGCCGGCGCGCTCCTTTGGTTGGTGCTCGCTGTGCGCAAACGAGTGCGGCCTGGAAAAGCGCGGGAAGCGAAGCTTTTGTGGCTGGCCGCTCCCTCTGGACCGATAGCCTTGCTGCATACAAGCAAGCCTGAACCACGCTGCCAGAACAAAAAAAACCTGGGCTCCCCAGTGGAGGGGTCGGCGGCACCGGGCGGCAGCCCTTAAATTACCGGGAACGACCCAGGGCCGAGTGTCCCGGTGTGGTGTTTCGGGGCACCGGTTTTGGCGGGAGACCCGAGAAAAAGAAGGAAGAAAAGAAGAGGAACCCAAGCGGATGGATGGTTTTTGCAGAAGAGGGGTCAGTCCGTGTCTCGTTCCCTGCTGAGAACCAGCAAGGAAATGGATTCTCGGCGTCCTGGAAAGAAAGCGGTGGAGGACGCAAGTGATTGCCCTTTTCAAACCGAAGAAAAAGAAAGAGCGACCTTAAAAAAAGCGAGCGCACCCAATTGAGGTCTGAGAAGCTTCCTGATATAAGGGAACCCTTTCACAGGGGAGCGATTCTCCGCTTTTCTGTGGTGAACCCCCCCCCCAAAAAAAAACAAAAAAAAAAAAAAAAAAAAAAAAAAAATCGAGGACCGAGTTACAATCCCCAGCACCCAGTCACACCTTCGCACAAAAAGAGGAACCTCATGGTTTCCTCCATGGTTCGTGAGGAACCCAAAACCAAAATTCTCGGGGGGCCGGAATCCGCTGAGAGCCCGGAAAAATGGATCCGCCGTGAAAGATGTATCTTGAACCTCTCAAAAAATGTGGGTGTGGCCCAAAATTAACCAGGGAGGGGTTACGCAGGTTTTGGTCCATGTTTCCACTTGCCAGGGTTCCATTTTGGTACCGGTTTGATGAGCCACAGCCATGTCTCAACATATGCCGAGGGCCCCCCCCCCCAAAAAAAAAAAAAAAAACTCCCTACCCAATTGGACAGTTACAACCTTCACCTGAGTTAAATCACAACCCATACACGGAAAATTCGCACACCTTCATCGGCGGCAATGCTGCTGCCCAGCTGCTTACAGCTTCCATTGTGACTCCTTTGGCCTGCGGGACTTTGCAGGCATTTGGCATTTGGCTTCTGGCAGCCCAGCGGGCAGCTGACTAGGCGACGCGCCATCTCAAAAACCTGGCCCCCAAATGAGCCGAGGCACTCGTCTCCGTTCGGCTCACGGGAGTATACGCTGACCTCAGTGGAAAGGTCCGGATGGAATTCGATCAAACACCCACATGCACTCCTGCCATGAGTCGCATTTGTGCGGCTCCGCTTGCCTTCCATTAAGTGGTCTCTCTCCATTTTCAGATGTTGAAGAGCTCGGCCTGAGCCAAGACTTCTGGACCAGGTGCCCCGCCGGCCAGCTTGAGCACTGACACCAGCATTCAAACGGGAAAGGAGCTCTTTCGCAATCCCCCGCAGAGAAAAAAAAAAAAAAAAAAACGTGGGAGCGCAACATAATGTTGTAGAGCTACCCTCCCACCAATCAACGTGGAACCTGCCAGGGGGGGTCCTGGAAGACAAGTTTCCTTTTGAAGGGATTTCCTGTCAGGTTCCATATTTCCTGGTGGGAGGGTATCCCTTTTTGAGGGCAGCTCCATGCTCAGGAAACTGCCAAGTCTGCAACCATCCGTCCTGATGGCTCGTCTGGGACTTCACTGTTGCAGCATTTCACTTTTGCAGCTGCACCATCTCAGTCCAATCGAAACATGGTATCAAAAGAGTCCACCAAAAGCCATGTAAACCCGTTGCCGCACCTCTTCATGGTGTCCCTTACTGACCTGAAATTACCTAGATGTTCATTCTGGCAATCCCTCGAGGAGCAAAAAAAAGAAACATTGGGAAACGCAGCTAATAAAACCCCGAACAGGCTGCAAATTGAGGCCCTATCAGAAAGCCTTGGGAAAGCTCATCACCCATTCCGTTGGATTCCTTGGAGTGTCTTTGCGGAACTCAAAAGTGCTTCCTCTAGTCACTTCCGATCGAGCGGATTTGCCTACCACTATAGTGGCCTTCAGCATCCGTTGGGTCCACGTCAGGTAAGTAGCTAACAACCCGAAACCCAAGTGGCTTGTATGAAGGGAACTCCCACTATGTGTCTCAAAATACGGTCCCCAAAAAAAAACTCGTCTGTTCCACTGGTGTCCCTTTAACACCACCCCAAAACATATGGGTACCTTCAAAAAAGAGACACCCCCCAAGTAGACTGACCTCCTCTGGAGGGCCAAAAAAAAAGCCAACAGCTGACCCACGGGGCCACCGTCCGGGGCTCCGCGCTATGCGGAGGTTGCTGGGTGGCAAGACCAGGGACTGCAGGGACCACTCCTGCCGCCCGTCCAAGTTGGATTTGCGTCCGTCACGCAAGCCGTTTCTCCATACCGTGGATGGTGGCGAAATCCGTCGCACCACTTTGAAACCAGGAGAATGCATGTTGGTTGGCATTTATAAAGGAATCGAATCATTCCAGGATTTCTTAGGTGGTGCCGGATTTCGTCCATCCACAGTAGGCGTCCTTTGGTCGAATAGATGGGCTTCCCTGGTAAATGGAAACCCATCTAAACCAGTCACAAAAAAGGGCACTGGGCTGTCCGCAAAATTTGATCCCCTGCTAAAAGTGGACAAACACGTGTGGGTTAGATGAAATCACCGGCCCAAAGCGCTCCGGGCCTCGTCGTTGGAAACCCCGGATCTAAGTGGAACCAGGTTGATGTTGAATGGAGGTGTCCCCGTTTTGTGGGGATGCGGCACGTTTGGAGGAGAACACCCCCTGTAAGTATGATGCTTCCCTAGAAGCTTTCCCAACCAAGGTCGGCCTTGAGCTTCGGTTTAGTTGGCTCTGTATTTGTTTTTTACCTCTAAGAGTTTTCTTTTATGATTGCAACAAATTACTCCAACTAGTCATTAAATAATCGACCATCATAGGCCGACAGGTCCCCCCGCCATCTCAAGAACGACCAGAGGCTGTTTAGGCGACTGTGCTTCAAACTACCCCGCCAGGCCTTCGATCCGCCAAAAAAGGAGACCCTTCACAAATGCGTGTTTGCTGGGCTCTATGTTGGTCCCTGTTTCGCACCCATCAGATTCCACATTTTGGGAGGGTGATGGTGAAAGTAGATGGAAAACTTTGTTTAAGTGGGTAAGAGCAATGAGAAACTCAAAACAAAAAATGGCTCGAATTCAGCCATCTACTTTTTCACCCTAGTGGGGATGGACCAAATCCTGCACCGGAATGATTCGACCCCCCCTTGTAAACACCAACAAGCATTATGGTTTCAACCATGGTTTCGTTTCGGTGCTGGAATTTGGCGGATTTCGCAACCATCCACAACATGATTTGACGCATTTCCACACCCAAGGCCGACCGCTGGGTCTTGGGGGAGGAACGACCCCCCCCCCCCCGCCGCCAACCCGACAGACCGGTCGCTCAGGAGTCGGGAGGGCGGCCTCCTCGCCCAGGTGCGGGAGGCCATTTGCGGCGCGCGGCACCTGGCCCCGCTCCGTCCTGCGCGTGTTGTCGCCTTCTTTCCTTGTCGCTTCGCTGGGGGTGAGAACACCGCGTGGGTTGGTTTTTTTCTTCTGTTTTTCTCCTCCAACAGCTGAAAGCTATGGAATCTCTGTGCAGGGCTCTGGGGTTGTCGTTGTCTGGGCCAGCTTTCAGGGAGGGTTCTGGAGGGTTCTTAGGGTTCCGGGGCTGGATGCCAGCCAGGCAATTTTTGAGGAGACTGGCTTCAAAGAGAAGAAGCTAAAACAAATCCAACCATGAGCTCCTTAGCTCCCTCTTTAGAGGCACAGTCGGATTTCGTAGGTGTTGCCCCTCTTTTCCCCCCTCGTTTGTGGAACGATCTGGGTTTTCCGTTGGGTCAACCTTTCAAACCGCAAACACACAAAAAAAGAGTCCATATGTCTCCTTAGGAGAAATACATCTGGGGTCGACATGGAGTAACCTCCCCACCCTTCCCATCCACCCCAACTGCCCCCAACTGCCGGCCTTTCTAAGAGCTCCATCCTGAGCTGAGCTGGGATCGAACATCTGGTGGGCTGGAAATTGGCCTTGAGAAGTTGGCGCATTTGACTGGGCTGTCCGTTTTCTGATTCTGCTACAAGTGGACTTAAGACTCCAGCCAAAAAAACACCTTTGTTGCCTGGCTAGTGGAAAACCAAGGAGGCCCCAAAAAAGCAAAAATTCAAAAAGGGCGGCTAATTCTGGGCAACGAAGACTCGTGGATTAAATGGAAACCCAACTACCAAAGCAACTGAAAAGCTTAAAACCTAAGCAACCGCACGGCTGGGTCCCGCCAAGATTGCTAAAGTTCATGCGACTGGTTTTGGTACCCCGCGATTTTTCACGGGATTCCAAACGACGCCATAGAAGCAAACGTGTTTACTGTAATGGGAGGGAGGGAAGGAGGGAGGGGAGGGAGGGGAGGGAGGGGAGGGGAGGGGAGGGGAGTGGAGGGGAGGGGTCAACTCCAATGGTATCCTAGAAAACGGACATCGGACAAAAGGTAAACCCGACCTGGGGTCTTCAGGATCCGCAAATTGAACTTGCTCAGGAGGGAGGGAATGACCTAGACCAAGTTTTAATGAACCCGGTTTTGGCGGGATTTCCTTAAGGAAACCCTAGGTCCTCCAGTAGAGAGGTTAGAAGAAGGGTACCATTTGTTTTCTTTCTTGTCTATTTTAGTAGGGGAACCCTCCCAACCAAAAAAGGGGTTAAAAAGGGCACCTAGCTGGGGGACCTAGAAACCAACGACCCCAGGTTTGAGAATGAACTATTTGGGGATTCCCTTAAAGGAATGAACCGGTCTTGGCGGGATTCCCTCAAAGCAAACCAACTCCGGGGGATGGGTTTTTGGTCCAAATCCAAAACCAACAGCCCTCCTTCCCTGTGGCGCGGCCGAGGGGCAGCTGGGAAGCGCTCAGCACCTGCGCCTTCGGCACGCATGGAGCGCCTGGCAGGTGGCCACCAGCGGCCGGCCCCGGCCTCCCCGTCAAGGCTAACCTTTTCGGATGCCGGACATGGCTGTTGCTGTTCGGGCAAAAGGTGGGCCGAGCCAAAGAGCCACCAAGGCCCTGGAAATGCCAAAACAAGTGCGAGCCATGAGTACATCTCCAAATGGATTCCCACTGACCACATTTTGCCTGGTCAATGCCTAAGAGACTTGACTGCGGCGGAAGAACATCGTGGCTGTTGGCGGGTCCTTGGCGAACCTCCTCACAGAGTTTCTGTGGCTCTCTTTGATGAGTGAGGGCCGCCCTCCGTTGCCCCGGGTGACCCTGGTAGGGAGGGTTGACGTTTTGTGTTGGGCGGGGAACTCAGCAAAGCGAAATGGAATTTGAGGTCGCGCTGCAAAACTGAAGCGCGAATGCGTTTTTCCTGGCCAGATTTTGGCCACCTTGCATGTTGCTGGCTAGGCGGAAAATGATGGATCCCCAAAAGGGCAAAAAGGGTAGCTCGGTGTTTCTCAAAATAGGGGGGTTCCCTTTTTTGATGGTTTCCAGGGAAAACGAAAAAGACACCAACGTGGTTTCTATTTTTGAGAATCGGGTATGGGGGACCCCCCCAAAACGTTGGTTGTTTCCTTTCGGTGTCCCTTTAAAGCAACCCCAGAACGGGTACCTCCGGAACAAAGAAACTGACCCAAACACCCACCCTATTTTTTTTGGGGTCCTCAACATGGGCGGAGGGGCCTTGGGTTCTTCATTGGACATTGTAGGGGCCATGAGCCTTAGGGCAGTTCAGTCTTGCCACGTTTCCGCGCGTTCGTTGGCTCAACCTCCGCGCGCCTGCGTGGTGCCGCAGAATCGCCACCGGCGTCTGTGCACCTTGGGAGGATCCCAGTCCGGTCACCAAAAACCAAAAACGAGTTGACAAAGGGAAGCGTCCCAATCGGCAGCGGGGTGTTCCAACCCCTCCAAAGGTCTGCGAGCGAAACATCGGAGGTTTATAGAAAGGGCCTTCATACGGTCGGTGTGCAAAAATCCTGCACCAAACGGATGAAAGCCCATAGATAGTCATCAAAACAAAACTCCCACCAACAGCCACGAAGTGGATTTCGTACACTCCTTCTTAGCCAACCTCAAAAAAGGTGGCCTTCATGCTGTGGATGCGCCAACAATCCTGCACCAGACGGAAGCATCATAGAAGAAGACCACTTCCCGGCGGCTTTTTTCTTCCTCCGCCGCCCGCGCGCCCCGGGAACCACCGAAAACATTTTCCCCACGGACTCGGCCCCCGCGCAGAGGTCCCGCGCGTCCGCCGTCTTCGTGGACAGCGCCAGGAGCCGGTCCAGCAAGAACTGAAGCCCCCGCGCCCGCGCCCGGACGGACGGACGGGAAAGCGCCGAGGAGTGCGGCCGAGTCGGGCGCCCAAAAAGGAAGAGAAGAAACCGCTAGGTCCTCCAGATTTGAGAGGCTAGAATAAGGGTACGGAACCGTGGAACCCTCCCCCAAAAAAGGGGGAAAGGGCACTACTGGAAAACCTAGTAATGACCAATTCCCTGAAGGGTGGCAAGGGGTGGTAGGTGTGTGAACGTGCGTTGATATCTTTATCTACCTCAGTCAAAGTATGATGTTGGCCTCCAAGGGTTCCGTCGCTTGACCTGCGACCGCACTGGACCCACCCGGCCCCATGTTCCCCGCCCGAAAGGCGGGGGCTGGCTGACACTCTCGTTTGCCATGCAAATTAGCATGACGTCAACAAACCTTCGGCTTTTCGGAACGGAATCTCCTTGGGTGGGAAAGGGTCCGTCTTGGGGGGTCCGTGGCAGTTTGCCGGGGCATGATATTCTGCTCCGGCGGGGGGGCATGGTCAAACAGCTCCGCGAAAGAAGCCAAATGAGTGCCCCTGCAACAAGCTGCAACTGCTTACTCGTTCAAGACGCAGGAAGCGCCCAAAAGGGCAGCAAAAGCCAAGACCAGTCAAATCATCGTTGGCATCTTTGGCAATGCCCAAGATCGATAAGCCAACCCCCCCCCCTCCAAAAAAAAAAAAAAGGGGGGGGGGGGGGGGGGAAACAAACAGAAGCACCGCAGCCCATGGCTATGAGCCCGCATCCCACCCCGCCTGCTTGCTGCAGCTGGCCCGCTTCTGGAGCAAGCCCCGCCTATGCTCCGTGCCCCAAGGAGGGGAGTCGAGGCGCCTCTTTTGGGTTGAAAGGAGAATCCAAGGGAAACCGAATCTAATTCCCAAGGAACCCTAAGCCCCCCCCCATAGGGAACCCTAAGCAACCTCAAAGGGAACCCTAAGGAACCCGAAGGAACCCGAAGGAACTCCCAATGAACCCCAACAAAACTCAAGGAATTGCAAGGGAAACCGAATCCAATTGGGGAGTTCCCCCTTGAGACAAACCCATGATGGACACGCCGAACGGGTCCAATGCCCCAAAAGGGTTTTAGGAGGCGGGATTAAAGCGGCGTCGCTTCACGGTGTGTAAAGGGGCTGGACACTTGGAGGCCCGGTGCATTTCACCACCTTCAAAGTCACGCCCTAGACACAGCTGGACTCCATGGTAGACGTGCTTCTGCCTATCTTCTGGCGAGCTCTGACTTTGATAACCCTAGAAAAGCAAAACATGGATCCAGGGACAAGGCGACGAGCTGGATAGTTCCTCACATTACCTGGGTTGAAAGGGCAAGTGCCAAGGACGCCTCTCACTTGTAATGACAGCCTGCGCTGGGTCAACCCCTCAAGGATCTAGGGAAAAACCGCCCACTGACCATCTGCCAGGTTGATCAATTCACGTGGTTTATCACGTTGGGAAACACGACATGTTTTGGCAACCTGCTTGCAATCGCGCTGCGAAGGCGCCAATTGAAAGGGGGCGCGCCAGCCACTCACAGCATCCGACCTTTCTGTGGATCCAACTTGACATGAAGAACTCAAGTTCCCCTTTGCGAGAGGTCCGGTGGCTCATGGCAACGAAAAAAACTGGGCCACTTCGGATACCCTCCCCGAAACATGAGCCCCACCAGGCCGGGGTGAAAACAGCCTTCCTTCCTGCCTCACGCCCCGTTCTGAACCAGGGGCCCGGGCTGATTCGAATAAAATCCGGCCAGAAGGGAGCACCCGCCTCAGCGCTTCCCGCCAGCTCAATCCCCCGCTAAAAGTGACTAACTTGTGGGTTAAATTCGGAAACTCAACCGCCAAACCAAGTGAAAACAGCTCAAAGCCCAAAACGAGGAAAGGGAAAACCAAGCTTCCGTTTGGCTCAGACCCCTGGAAAAAGAATTGAGAAACCTGTGTCCAGTAGTGAAATCGATCGATTCCCTTCAAAGCCAACAGGTAAAAAATACAAAATCTCCTTGAGCAAATGGAAGGCAGGGAATCCAAGCTCGGCCCCCGTGCGGAACAGCGCCACCTCCGGGATCCGCTGCTTCAGCCTCTGCACGTTTTCTGCACGTCGAATTGCCTCCCTCGAATTGCCCGGATCGCCCGCTGCGACCGCTTTCGTTTTTTTCCCATGAACCGTTACCATCCCAAAAAACCGATCGCGGCGGCGGCTGGAAAAAAGCGATCGCAACTTGGCGATTTCTAGGTGGCTTCTTGTTTGGAGCACCCGGTCGTTTGGTGGCCTTCCGAAGTGGGCTCGACGCCCAAAGGCCACCAGCGACCCAATCGACTCGGGCGCAACTGAAAAGCGGACCCGAGAGTCGTCCGCAATGACTTCTGGGCTCAAAACAGGGGCCGCGGGATTTCCCCCAAATCAAAAGTGGATCAACTCACTGGTGGCGTCCATTGAAACCAACGGTTTCCACTTTCGGAGGTTCCAAGATTGGAGGTTCCAAAAGTATAGCCCAGTTGCGATCGCTCTTTTCCAGTCACTGTTGCGACCGTTTTTTTGGATAAAGCGCATGGAGAACACGAAAACGATCGCCACTGGCGATCCAGGCTCCCGGGTTGCCCTTGAAGCACCGGCTCGCTCTCTCCGGGGCGCGGGCGGGAGCCCGTCGGCGTCCGGCTCGGTGAGGAACCGCCAAAAGCCCACCTCCGCCGCTCAGTCCGCCCCGGCGGGGTTTTTCAAACGTGGATGTCTCGCTTCCGATCGGATGGGCAAGAACCGAGTCTGAAGCTTTATTAATTACCACCTAAATGGTCCAAACACGAAAAGCTCCATTATTTACCCCTAACATGGTCCAAAGAATCGAAAAGTGTTTAAAGTCCCCAGGCTAATTGACATGGAATCTCCCAGAACCCGCTGGGAAGCAGGGCTCCCCATGTGTCCCCTGAAAACACCGCGCCCACCAAGGCAAGCTCACCTTAAATGGCCAAAAACCGGTGATGCTTACAACCACTAGCAGGGGACAGATCTGGGCCAATGTGTTTGTAATTCAGCAGCCGCGAAAAAAGCCCTAAGAAACCTTGTCTTCGCAAAACCCCCCGGAACCATCACATTTTGGGTGCCTCGCAAAAAAGAAACGCCCACATGAGCCATGATCAAAGCTCCATATATGGCCTATGACCATGGCTCCCTTAATGGGATTCCTTCCGGTCTTTAAGGGTCTGCCAGGTGCATCCCCAAGAAAAAGACCCGGTCTTTTGACCATGCTGTTGGACGAAACCCATTTCGCACCTAAGAAACCATGGCTGAAACCATAACGTTGGTTGGGCATTTGCAGGAGAAACAACATAAACCAGGGTTTCTTTAGGTTGACCCCACATGAATCAACACCAGCTTATCAAACCAACGTCATGGGTTCAACCATGGTTTCCTTTGGTGGTGCGAGAAGCGGATTTCCTAACCACCCACAGCATTTGCAATCCAACTGGCAGGGACTCCTTTGGTTGATTCTTAGGAGTTCCCACCCTTCGCGGAAGGAAAATCAAAGAGAATCCTGGTGGTGTCCCTTCAGAAGAGTGGCGAGAATACATCAGGTGGGGTCAACATCCGGTGGCGCCTTGTGAAATTTAGAACCTTCCACTTGCTTAAGCCCCCTGGAGAGAAAAGAAATATTTCCAGTAGTGATAGATTCCTGTTATAACCAGCAAGGGAGAAAAAAAAGTAGTGCTAGGTTCCCTTTGAACCCCCCCTCCCAAGAAAGATCCGGATCGTTGGATAGAATGGAAATGGAAGGTACCCCTAGAAGGTAGCCCATCAAACGCGGTGGTTTGGATTTGGATGTTAACATATCTTCTTCTTCTAGGGGCCAAATTTCGGTGCCCCTGAAAGTCTGCAGTTTTCCGTTCCCCTGGAAAGTCAAAACCAGCCAACAAAGGATGCCCGTTTTGCTTTTCCCCCTGGCAATCCACTGGGCATCTGAGATATGAAGGGTCAACGTCAGGCTGCGCCTTGCGAAATCTTTGGAACCTGCCATTGCTTAAGCCCAATGGAGAAGGAAAAAGAAAACAAAAACAATATTTCCAGTGGTGATAGGTTCCCTTTAAAGCCAGCAAGGAGAAAAAAAGAAAAAATCCAGTAGTGATAGGTTCCCTTTAAAGCCAGCAAGGAAAAAAAAAGAAAAAATCCAGTAGTGATAGGTTCCCTTTAAAGCTAGCAAGGAAAAAAACAAAAAATCCAGTAGTGATAGGTTCCCTTTAAAGCCAGCAAGGAAAAAAACAAAAAATCCAGTAGTGATAGGTTCCCTTTAAAGCCGGCAAGGAAAAAAAAACAAAAAATCCAGTAGTGATAGGTTCCCTTTAAAGCCAGTAAGAAAATGGATGGCACCGAAGAAACTTCCACGCCTCCATGGCTGCGCGGAGCCGGCCGAGCCCGAAAGCGCGGGCTAAGAGGCCATGGGGGCTGAAAGCTGCGGGCGGGTTTTAGAGGGCTTTATGGGTTTGGGGCGTCTACGTGTTGGTTTTTTGTTTTTGGGTTTGGTTGGTTTGGGTTTTTTGGTTTTGGTTGGCTTTTGGCTTTTGGTTTTTTGTTTTTTGTGGCTTGTTTTGTTGGGGGGGGTTAAACATTTGTATGGTTGTTTCTCTGTTTCTTCTTCTGTGGGAGTGGGGGTGCCCCAAAAGAAGGCACAGCCATTTGTTGTTTAATTTTGTTTTTTGGGGGGAGGTTGGGGGTTGTACGTGTTTTTGTTCACTTCCGAACATGCCTGTTCCAAACTTGGGCGGGGCTACTGATGGACCAAACCCCCGGCGATCGGCACCAGTTGGGACGGATAGATAACAAATTACCAACTGGTGCAGGAGCTTGTCCAGTAGGTTCCTTTTTGGGCAACTAGATGCCGAACAGAACTGGGATTGCGATGTTGGGAGATTTTGCTCGAAAAATCGTGCAGGCTTTGAGTTTGCCATCCTCGGGGGAATGCTTCAGTTTGAGGTCAGCGCTGTTCTTGCCAACTTAGTGGTTATTGAGATTTCCCTTTAAGCCAACCCCAAAGAGGGAAGTCTCTGTCCCACTTCCATGGTTACTGTTGCACGGAATCATGAAGGCTCTCCCGCCCTTTCGAAGCCTGTTTGTTGCTGCGTTCCTCCTTTTGAACCTGCTTGTTTGTTTTTCACCACCACATTGGCTTCCCAAAAACGGGAGGGAGCAAGAAAGCAATATGCGTGTACGGCCACCGTCACCCCGCATGTGCCTGCGACTGGTTCCCTAAATGCTGCAAACGGGCTCCAATATGTGCCATTTTACGGGGAAACTCGGTCATTCTATCGATGTTCTTGCTTCGCCACCCAAATAAGAAACTCGACCAGGAACCGGGAATCGGATGCCAATAGCTGCTTTTGGTCTTTTCGAGCACTATTACCGAACGAGACCATGTGCAACAGCGTTTTCATTGGAAAGAATGACGTTCTACATGTTGCAAGTAAAAAAACCCAAAAAATAACATGGGATTTACGGTTCCCTTGCATTTTTTGCTCGGCCGTCCACCGTGCCTTTTGCTCAACCCCCCACAGCCACGGGCCCTTTTCCAGGTGACACCCTGCAGGCTTGCGGATCGATGGCTCGCAGGTTCGCGAGGTTCTCGAACTTCGGCTCGCGAGTTAGAGGGGCGGCACGCCTCTGGGGGTTTTTGTACTACACCCTGGAATTACCCCGTTGTGTATTACACTAGTTTTTGTAATACAAAAACACCCTTGTTTCCAGGATTGCCTCTAGTTGTGGTTGTACTACACCCTTGGGGAATGACCCAGAATCGCTCGAAATAACACGGTTTTATCCGGAAATGTGCCCAAATGGGGTCAAAACCCAGTGGGTGTCCCCCCCCAAAAAAAAAAAAAAACTTAGAAAATGGATCTCTGTCTCTAAGTGGGGTACCCGTCCTTTCACCAGAAGAAGGCATTTGTGGGAGGGTGCCTGGAAGATCATTTTCCATGTCAGTGGGAGGGAGGATACACAAAATGGATGGTTTACTGTTTGGGTTCTCTTCGAAACACAGAGTATGAAAGAAAGACACATTATACAAACAAGGAACCAGAAGCTGGCTGAGGTGGTTGGCCGCGATCCAAAAGCTTCTTATTCCCCTGGCCACGAGTTAAGTCAAGATTGCAGCCCATGCACTTGCTTTACCTGGAGGGGCTTCTTCTTAGTGGGGGGGGGGTAAATTGTTGATTCTATCAATTATCTCGCCCCAATGATTGACAGAATCCATCAGTGGGGGTGCCTAGAAAGTGGCGCCTCTTGTCAACCGCGTTTGTTTCCCGTCGCGGCTGGCCACAGTCACAACGGCCCCCCTCTTCGACGTTCCTTCTCTCCCTCATGGTTGAGGCACTATCATCGCCCAGCATCTTAGATGCGGGGGTGAAAAGGGTTCTGCAGCGCAGGCCGTGAATCCAAGAGTGAGCAACTTCTCCCATGCTGGAATGCCCAAAGGCAAGCCCTGAAAAGACTCTATTGACTGGCGCGCATGTTTGCCCCCGATTGGGATCGGCAATTTCGGGCATGTTGATTTGCAGGCTTGCGGGTTAAGACTGCCTCCGTTTTTGTCCCCCCACCGTGCTGCGAAAAGGGCACCACGGCGCTTGCCGCGGTCTCCATTCGAGGAGATGCGTTGCCGCGCGATCAGGCGAGACAAGCCAACCTTGCGGGTCGGCATGTTCTAACCCAAACCCACTACGGAAGGGGGGGTTTAACAGGGTCTACAGCCACCATCATCGGCACGAAGGGCATACTGTGGATGGACGAAATCCATTTCGCACAAGAAACCCTGGAAGGATCATTACCCTGTAAAAACCAACAAACGTCCTGGTTTCAACCATGGTTTCCATCTGGTGTGAACGGATTTCGCAGATATCTGCAGTATGTCCCCAATTTGCCCTGCGGGATCCCTTAACCTTCACAAAAGGGTCATGACCTCAAGAGACTCAAACCCCTCCAGGGCCTTGCCGCTGTGTCGCTCTGTTTTGGGGCCCTTGGTTTTCGTTGTCTTAAAAGGGAAACCAATCCAGCGGTTGATTCCTTTTCTGTTCAGAAATCAGCCATTGGAAAGAATGGTTGGACGCTACCCCTAGAACCAAAAGGAAAACCGTTGCGCCATGTTGGGGGTCCACAAAAATCGAGCCGCCCTGGGCGAGGAAAACTGTCTGAACCCCAGGTCTTGCTTGGCCTCGGCTGCCCGTCTGCCGAAAGGTACCTCTTAGGGAAACCCCCAAAATGGCTCGGTTCGCCCTTAAGCTTTCCATTTCAAACCATGCAAACAGCAAACGAAAGTCCACACCCAGCGAAACTGGCTACGGTTTCCTTTTGGTGTCCCTTTAAAAAGAAGAAAGAGATGCAACAAAAAAAGCACTCACACGCCGGTTTCAACGTGCCGTTTGCCAGGCGTTGCCGGGGCCAACTTGGGGCAACTTGGGGCAACTTGGGGCAAATTGGGGCAACTTGGGGCAACTTGGGGCAACGTGGGGCATTTTAGCTTCCCATTGACCATGCCCAATGTGGCTTGTTGTAGCCCAAGATGAACAGTCAAAAGAATAGATGGGTGTGTCCGTTTTAGGGCACTCCCAAAATGGCGCAAAGGTGTTCCCCTGTTTCCCTTCCAAAACCCAAGACAAATGGTTCCCTGGAAAAAAGACACACCCAAATCAAAATGATACCCACCCTGGCAAGAACAAATGGCTTTTGACAGCCCACTCGCGAACCCAAGAAATCGATCCAGACACGGCGAACCCCCCCCCCCTCCGCCGATCGCCCGTTTTGGAACCAAAGCCGTGGCTGGCAGTCCTGTTTCTGTGCGTTATAACCATCGTTGCACCTTCCAAACCTGCCTGTTTAAGTAACCCCCCCCCCCGGAACGAAAACATTCTTCTTCAACTGCCCCCAAGGAAAACATTGAACCCACTTCTTCAAACGCCGAGGGGACCCCTTGTGCTCCAGCCTCCCCCCCCTCTTGCCTCACCAGAACCCAGAACCCAGAACCCAGAAACCGGCCGAGCGACTCAGCGATCGCGCAGCATCGCGGTGATGCTGTTCAGCCCCATGTCCAGCTGCGCCTGGCCCAAATCCCCAATCCCGCCCCGGGCCATACTGTGGATGGTTGCGAAATCCATTTTGCACCACCTAAGAAACCATAGGAAACCATTGTTGATGGGTATTTACATTGCGGAATCGACTCATTCCAGGGCGTCTTGGGTGGTGCGTTTGACGGATCTCGCAACCATCCACAGTATCATCGCTCGCCAGCCGGTCGCGGGACATTCCCGTGCCCAAACCTCCCAAACCAACCACGACAAGAAGAAAACACCCGCGCCGACAAGCCTGAAAACCAGGGACGCATTTAAAAGCAAGCCAGGCACTTGGGGTTGAGGGCACCCGCCCCCATTGAGAACACCACAGCATCACCCAACTAGAAACACCAGCGGCAAAAAAAAACGGAAAGCAAAACATAGCGCGCCACAAGCTCGCAATTGCCTCGGGGGGTATACACTCATGTACATATGCGAATCTGATCTTGTCAAATGATGCACGTACTGAGGACGTGGATGACAGCGGAAACTGCTGCGATCTCAACACCGATACATCCGCTAACTCTCAGCACATGAAATTATTGTTTTCGAACTGATGGGACCTGCCTGCAAGTGCCTATGAGCGTCCGAGGGGCACCAAGAGGCTTGAGTGGAAGCTGGAACCACTCCAACCTCCGGGGGGGGGGTATGATAAAAACACCGAGGTCTGCTTTGCCACCTTCTTCCTGGGCTTCTTATTTTCTTGAGCTTCTCCGCTCTTTATGTGTCCATGGCTCCACCGGGAAAAAGGGGGAGGGGGGGAAGGAGGGGCACCGGACCGGAGGACCGGGGGGCCCCCGGTTCCGCGGCTGCCCGCGCCCGGAGGCTCTCCAAGTTGGACTCCAAGGAGTTGAGCCGCTTCCCCGAGCTGTCCTCGGCGCTCGCTCGGAGAAGCGCGCTCTGAGAAACGCGGCGGCGAGTTCTCGTGCGGCAGGGGTCCGAATCTTGGGACCGGGGGTACAAATAAAAAAACCTGCCTCCAACTCACCTGGCACCTCACAGAGGGTCCCTGAAGGGAGGCAAATTGATCTTTACCCTCCAACAGGTGCCATGTTACTGGGAGAGAGGGTATCTCTTTCTGAGGGGGTCCTATTTGGGCGTGTCTTTTTTGGAGGGTAGCCAATATTTGGGGAGTGGGTTGGTCCTATATGGGTGTGCTTTTTTTGGAGGATACCCAATTTGTTGGGGTGGGCTTTAAGGAGAAACCAAAGCAAAACCGAGCCATTTTTTTCCGGGGGGCCTTCATTTTGAGACACCCTAAGATGGACCTGTCTTAAAAAGCGGACCCATGGAAATCATGAATTGATATCCGTTGGAAGTGTTCCTTTTCAAGCACCCCAAATTTGGGGTGCCATCTCAAGAAGAGACGAGCCAGCCTATGGTTGCCCTGATCTCATCACCCCCGAACTCACCGTTTGCAACCACCAAATGCTTGAAATATCGTCTGAAAAAGTCCTGGAAGCCGATTTGTCGACCATTTCTCTGGTGGTTTCCAGGTTGGTGGACAGGAGGGCAACTGAAAAATGGTCGTCCTCGTCTTTTGACGGTTTTCACTTTAAGTCCCATAGAAGAAGCCGGGCTGGGAGTCACCATAAAACATCAGGTTACGTTCCCTCGTTGCCATGGCAAGTGGGGAAATTGTAGCAAGAGGAGACTGGTCTTCCAAGCACCCTCCCGGTGCCACATTTGCGAGTGGAAGGGCGGCTGTTGCATTTTCAAACCTTCCGGAAATACAAGGCAAACCTTTTGGGGCCTTGACCAAATGAGATGATCCAAATCCGAAAAACCAAAGATCATTTCAGGTCGACTCGCTGTGGTCGCAAGTGCTCCCAAACCCAGGCGGGCAGAGGGGGGGGGGAATTGAGAATGAACTGGTGGTTGCCAATTGCCTGAATTGGGGGGGGGGAGTAATTGGAGGTTTGCCAACCCAACCGAGGCTTACCTGCAGGTTGCTCGCCACTTAGCAAACTTCGGAAGCGCAAGGCACAAAGCTCGCGTTGCCGAAGCCGCGCTCGTGCGACTCCTGAAGCTGTTTGCTTGCGTCCAAACTTTTGAACCCTTTGGTACCAAAACTTGCTAGGTTTCAGCAGGAAACGAGACATAAAATGAGCCCTGTGAACCATTTCCTGTGGTCTGCGTTCAGGGAATCCCTAAGGTCCATTCCAAACACCCGCGGCCATTCCCTACTGAGCACCAGCAGGAAGAGCTGTGTTTTTTGCAACACCCCCCCCCCCCCTCACCAAAATTGTCAGAAACCAAAACTAACCTAAAGCCAAAAAACATGCCAACAGTGAACCAAAGTGGGCCCTGGCTTCTTTCAACAGTCCTTAGTGGCTTCCATCAAGCGTTGGTGACACAGAAGGAATTTCAAGATCAGCGTCCATCGTTGCTTGGTGCTATGGAGCCGAATCGGGTTTGGTTCTTGGGGCGTCCCATTTCCCCCCACAAGAAAACCACAAGTTAGGGTCAATCTGGTAAGAAGCAACCCATTGGCAACCAGCAGAAAGGGCGCGAAACAGTCCATACCACGGCCAAAGGGGAGAAAAACACACACAAAAAAAAAGGAGAAAAAAAACGCTTCTGGAACTCGACATCACCCGGAAACATCCGCAAAAACACACCACATACTTGCTTTCAGCCAAGACAGCAAGCTGGACCAATCCACTCGACTCACCAAGCCCCATCACCCAGGCGCCACACATGCCACACATGCCACGCATGCCACGCATGGGTCGCTTCGGTCGCTTCGGTCGCTTCGGTCAGGTCTCCTGATGCTGCCGCTCCACCAGCTTCTCGTGCATCTCCCGGATCTCCCGCCGCAGCTCCGTGACCTCGCGGCCGCTTCGAGACTTCGAGGCGAAGGCGCGAAGCGGTGCGGTTGGCGATCTCCCTCCGCCGAAGTGGTTTCGAGGCGGAAAAAAGCTTTGGGGGAGTGGGGGGGGGGCTGCTTGGGGGGGGGGGGGGGGGCAGCTGCTTGGGGGTTGGGGGGGAGGGGGGGGATTTGGTTTTGGGGCTGGGCTGGTTGATAGTGTTTGTGTCTCTCGGTTGTTCGGTTCGTTGGTGTCTATTATGTGAAACCATTGTTTGCCGCTTTTTGCGGGCGACTCATCATTCCAGGGCGATTTGTTTAGGGCTTCAATGATAATTTGCAGGAGGTACTTGACGTGGGGTGGTCAATTTCGAATCGGACCTTCTCGTGGACGTTCATGGCATCCTGGTCGTACTCGGAAGTGATCTCCCCCCAGCTGGAGGGGTCCTTGGGGTAGACGAACCACACCTCAGGTGCTCCAAGTGAAACGGTCCTTCCCCGAAAAGGGGCGGGTGTAGCTTTTCAAAGGGCAGCTTTTCCTGGGTGAAGGTTGAAGGGGCTCCAGAATGCCCGTTAGAGCCCAACTTTGAGTCCCACTGCTTTTCAGATCTAGGGGGAGGTTAAAGCCCAACTGATCCGATTTAGGTCCCAAGTGCTCCAGCTGATATTCAACCCACCCTGGAGACGCAGCGAACCTCACAAGTCTCAAGGTTTTGCTGCGTTTGGCCTGCCACAAGTAGCCCGGCGAACTGCCTCGCGAAAAACCAGGTGGAGAGTCAAAACCAATTCCACGGTTGGCTGGGAAACGGAATGCAGCCTTGGTTAACGTTGGAAAGGGGGCAAAAACAAACTAAATTTTAGCAGCTAAGTGGTTGGGTGCCAACCACTGAACCACAATAATCAAAATGTAAAATGTTTCCCAACAACAACCATGAACCATGAAGCACCCACTGCAACTTAGAGCATTCTCATCTCACGCAAAGCGGCCCCTAGCCTTCCACCGGCCCATCACGTCACATCGGGCGGGTTTTGGGGGTGACCCCTCCAGATCCATTCCGTCCGCTCAGGAGCTCATGGAGGTCCCATTTGGGTTGGGCAAATGGTCTTCCAGGACCCGTCGACAGATTCCGGTGGTCAGGCTCTACAGGAACCAGGAGTTCAAATCCCCAAACCCACCAGCCTGAAAAATGTCCGACAAAACCCCCAAAACCTGAATTAAGGGATCTTTAAGCAAAGGACCTTTCTCATGGTAAGCTCCTTGTACCCCCACATAAGCTCGCCAGACCCCAAAAAATCTCAAAGCAGAAACCCATTCATAGGGCGTTGGCGGATGGGACCGTTGCAAAGCACCGCTTTTGGCCTTTGGTTCTCCGCTCCAAAAGGCCAAGGCACATAGGAGTCATCCTCCTCCCCGTGCACACGGCGCTTGCCTTGGGAAGCGCTGGGCAACCCCCCGGGCCCCCTTTGGGTGCAATCGATCCCTCGATCCATCTGCGGTCTGCCGGCAGATGCAGCAGCACCGCTTCCAGCCCGCGGAGGTGGTGAAGTGCTGCAGCACCAGGCGGGACCGCTCCAGCAGGAACAAGCGCTCGCGGTGCTCCCAGCCTCGTAAGAGGCAAGTGGCAAAGGCCCCGTTTCTGTTGGAAGGGACAGGGGGATGGGAATCTAGGGAAAAGCCAAGGAATAGCAAAGGAAAAGCCAAGGAATAGCAAAGGAATAGCAAAGGAAAAGCAAAGGAATAGCAAAGGAATAGCAAAGGAATAGCAAGGGAATAGCAAAGGAAAAGCAAAGGAAAAGCAAAGGAAGAGAAGAGGAAGAGCAAGGAAGAGCAGAGGAAGAGCAGAGGAAGAGCAAAGGAAAAGCAAATGGAAAAAAGCAATAATACAAAAAAGGTGCGCGTGCAACCGTGGAGAACGATCCGAGGCGCCCCTGTTGTAACTCTCCGCAAGCACACCGATGAGGATGTTCATGAGGATGATGGACATGCTCAGGCCCATGAAGACCAAAACCACGTCAACCTGAGTTGTTGGTGCCCCCGAGTTTTCCCCCACCACAAATCAACGCTGAAAAAAAAAACACTCGACGCAGAATTCACCGGTCTTTGCCGGACTTTGAATTGAGCCTCCCGCAAGGCAGTCAGCTTCCCTCTGGTCAGAACTGAACAGATTGGGGGAAAAAAGTGAAAGAATCCATCTCTGTCTGCCTGCTGATCTGCTTTCGCCAGTTTTCTGGATGAAGTGTGGGACATCGACTCCTCGGAGACAGTTGTGGGCTGTGAGGGAAGTTGCAGGTGGGTTTTTCAGCAAACTGAGGGTGATGGAGGTTTTGCGAGGGGCCTCGCATTTGCACCCATCACGAAGTCAGAATGGCACTACGCAGCAACAGAAACCAACCTTACACCGACACCACAAAAAGTACCCAACCTTAAACCAAAACCTCAAAAAATATATAAGCATAAGCCACAGGCAAACCCACCAAACCAAAAAACGGACCGATAAAGCCAACCCACCGGCTCCCAAGTCGCAGCTTGCAACCCACCCCACCCCCGCTACCCCCCCCCCTTTCCCCAGACCCACCCCACCCACCCCATCCCCCCCTACCCCCCCTACCCTTCGGACACCGCAGCGTCGCCTTTCAAAACCCCCCCCCTCGCTTCGGATGGATCGGAAGCCCCCGGCCGGGCCGCCCAAAGCTCCCAGGTCTCGTCCACGTCCACCGGCGCCATCTCGTTCCGCGAGAAGTCTGCCAGGAAGCCTCCCATGGAAAAACCCGGTCGCCACGCGCGCCACGCGCGAGCCACGCGAGCCATGGACAAGCCGAAAAGGCTTGTTCCGCACCGAGAATTGAGCCCTGGGTTTGGAGAATTGACCCCTGGGTTTGGGAAATGTACGAGTTGGCCCCTAGCTTTGGGGAAATATAGAAGGGCTTGGAGAAATATCGGACTTGATCCCTTGGCTTTGGGGTCAAACTCACTGAAAAGCGTCTGGATTGGTTGACCCGGACACTCATCAACCCCAGTTTATGAAGAGGGGGTGTCCATTTATTTGGAGGTGTGAAATTAAAATTTGGTCAGAATCAGCTTCCCACTGTGGATGGACGAAATCCAGTTCGCACCTAAGAAATCTAGAATACGGCTTGGATGTGACGCCTAAAGAATCACTCACTTGAAAGCGCCTGATGTTGACCCCGGATTCAGCAACCCCCGAATTTTCTAGGGCGTGAAGCAAGGACTTCGTCTGTCCTTGAATTTACACTTGCCACTAGGAGTTCTTTCAAGCTTCGTGGCTAGATGTGGCTGGTGTGCTTGCATTTTTGGTGCTCCTCTCTGGCAGCTCCCATGGAGCCAGCTATATCTTCCCCTCCGGTTTCAAGGGGAACAAACCCTTCATCCCATGCTGCCAGTTGACATGTTCCCGGTTCCTTGGCAGCAATCAGCTCGCGCGAAAAGAGAAAAGTCCAGCGAGCCCAAAAACCAACTAACAGTACAAACTACTGGACTGTCAGTCCATAGCCAAGCGCCAACAACATTGAACGCATGCCATTGAACCCCGGTCCCAGCCGGGAAGTTTTCTTGAGGAAACTCGGCTTTCACATACCCCTCCGGCCTGCGCTCCGAGCTCCCCTCTGCAAATTGGCCAGCCCCATTTTCCGGGGGGGGGGGGGGGGTACCGGGCCCCAGGCATTTTGGGGGAGGAGGTAAGGTACGGGGAGGGTACTTCGTTCCCCCGACCCGTCCGGCCGAGGAGCCCAGGCGATACATGATCATGCCAGCAGTCCACCACTCGGTCAAGCCGAAGGAGTAATACATGTGCATGAAGCCTGGCACGTTTTTCAGTGAGCCTCCCACAAAACAAAAGCTGCCGCGCAGAAAATAAACATGTCTGAGTTGGTGGCGTGCATCTTGCCTACTAAGATCGAGGAAATGGTTCAGGTGGAGACCCCGGAAGCTGTCCAGCTGTCCAACCGGGCAGCCCCTTTACAGGCCACACGCGGAAAATTGTGAGCAACGTTCCTCATGGTATTCTGGCGTGGGTGGCCCAAAGATATCACATGGGGGAAAATGGAAGGGCTCCCTCTGATACAGCGCTTGGTTCCCAGGTGTCACAAGAAGGTTCCACCGAGAATGTGACATGTGAAGAGTGAATGGGACCTTGTGGCTGGTGTCGTAGGTGGTGGGTGGTGGGTGTGGTTGAGGGAAAAATTGGGGGACCCCAAAATGGAGGACCTTTAAAAAAAGGTAGCCTCACAAAACGCAGGCCCGTATCCCCCCATGGAGCGACTATGCCCGGCGGATTGGCGTCGAAACTATTGAATGACAATGGACCCACCTACTAAAATGGCCAATGAGGACAGTAGCGGTAGTGTAGGGGTGTGGGTGGGTAGGCAAGTAGGTAGGTAGATTCTAGCAGCAGCAGCAGCAGCAGCAGCAGCAGCAGCAGCAGTGGCTTACCCACTGCAAGTCCCGCCTGAGAACCAGCAGAAGACCACGAAAAAGAAGGGCACCGTGGCAGGCACTGCCTCAGCCGATTTCAAGCCACGCACCCCCAACCCCCCCCCCCCCCCCGCGCAAGCCGGCTTGGAGCAATAAGCGTCCAGTACTTTTTCGGTGACCCATTGCATGGGTTCAAACAGAATTGGAAATTGATCCTTGCTAGATACGACACCCATGACTTGCTGGTGCTCTGGGGACTTTGGGCTTGAAGCTACAGCTTCCCTAAGGAAAGCGTAGGGGGATTTTGATTTTTTAGGGGTCATTCCAACTCATGCCCTCCCTATTGAACCAGCAAGATGAGTGTCCTTTGGCGTAGGCCTGGCGATGAGCCCGCCCGCCGTTCGCAACGCGAGCCCGTTTCGGGCCGAAGCATTGGGGGACTGGTTGGAGTTGGATGCCGCACCTAGGGGCCGAGCAAAAAGCTGAGCGCTAAAAAGGTCTACCTCCCACCAACCACCAACTAACATGGAACCTGACAGGGGGGGCCTGAGACAGGGGGGCCTGAGACCATGTTCCTTTGAAGGGACGACCGAACGTCAGGTTCCATATTAATTGATGGGAGGGTAAAGAGTGCTGGATGAGAAAGTCATTAGGACACATGCGCAATTGCGGCTTCGATGTGCTCTTGTTTCAGTCTGTCAAGCCTGAGCGCATCAAGCCCCAAACATGTGCATCGTTCGAGCTGAATATTATGGTGAGCGCAAATCAACTGGAAAGTGCTCCTGACCGTGTGCCGCCCCACCCGGCCCAGTCGAACATGCAAATGTCACCAGTCAGAAGCGTCTTCCAGCTATCATATAATCCGCAGATTGTGACTGCTATCGTTCAACTCGGAACTGTCAAACATCGTGTGTCTCAGAAAGACATGTCCAAAGCTGCTGGGAGTAGTTGTCAACAAGCCTGCCTGCTAAGTGCACAAAGCGCCGCGATACGAACACAAACAAACCGGGCCCTCCAACATTGCCCTGCACCCAGAGGAAAGCATGCGGCCACGTCTGCGCGTTTCAATACGTAACACCCGAATATGCATGGAATATACGAATACAATTGCATCGGCATTCCGGCAGGCATGCACCACACATTTACATATGTACCCATAAATTTATAAACACGCATACAAACATAGATGCGCATTCATTCCTGTTTTAGCTTCATCCAGACTCTGCCGAATTTGCGGCCACTTGCATCCCCCGACCCATCCACCCACCCTGCCGATTCGCCTGTAGGATGGGCAGCATGGGCTTGCCCGTGCTCTCGAAGCCCTTGAGGGTGTTCAGCACCCTGGCGGCACGGGAGCTAATTCTTTTTTATTTTGGGGGATCTCCGGATCACTTTGCCGAGAAACACCTGATTCATCCGAGAAGCCCACTTTACTCACCCGCCAAAAAAAGCTGCGAAACGTTGGCATTTCAGCTGACAAGCAAGAAGAAACCGAACGAGGGAAAAACCTTGTCAGCGAGCTGACATATTACCCTTGGAATGCGACCTGCGCACGCCGCTTGGCACGGAACGGTTGCTGGAAGTTCCCAAAAGGGTCCGGTTTTTTTCGGGCTCGTCCGGGGGCTTTGCAGATTTGCCGGGTTGGCCTCCGGATCCGAACAGCTTCCGTTCGAGGTAAAACGTGGAGCTGTGGGCTGGGATCCCGGTGGAAGGCCACAAAACCAAGGAATCAAAGACTGACTTCCTGGGTGGACTGGCCAAAAACCATCCGAACGGTTGGTGTGCCACTAAAATTGTCTTCCCAAAAAAGTGACTAAAGTCTATGAACTCAGGGGCCCTAGGACTTTTGCACATTGTTTGCCCCAAATGTTTGTCGCATGTGTGAATCAAAGCCCCCCCCCCCCCCCGCCCTCCGCAGCATGTTTGAACTCCCCCCAGCTCGCAGAACGGCATCCCCAACTTGCCAACCCCTGCCCCAAACCACCAAACCATCGGTCCCCCAAAACGAAGGCGCCTCAGCCACCGCACGAAGCCGGTGAGGGCGAAGATCACCCGCAGCACCTGGTTGCTGCCGAAGTCCGCCCAGTTGGTCCTCAGCCGCCACGAGAAACGAGGAGAAGAAAAAAAGAAAAGCGCGAGCACGCGCCGTCTTTTCTTTCTTTCTTTTTTTCGGTGGAACTACCCGCCAAGGGACGCGCTCACCTTTTCTTTCCTCATCCGCTCGCTTTGGCTCATGCCCAGTTTGGGCTATCCGCTTCCTGCCCGTTCCGTGTCCCCAGCCAGGCCAAGCGTGAAAATCCCTTAAGACCCTTGGTCTTCCACAAGGGGCGGGCGCACTTCATCTGGGTGGCCCCCAAAATGAATGTTGATTTTTAAAGCAACCCAAGAAAGGGTTCCCTCAAAAAAAGACAGACCCATCGGGGCAGAAACCTCCAGCTGAAAGCAGTCGCTGCATGCCAATTCGCCAATTCGCCGAGCCGCAGGAGCGCAATCTGGCTGAACCCCGTCAGCAGGATCCTCCGCCAACCCAGGGCTTTTGCATTTCCGGCCCCAAGCCTATAAGTACTAGCGGCCATACTGTGGATGCACGACATCCATTTACCTCACTGAATGCGAAAGCTACTCATGGTCGTTTGGGGACAAGGAATACCACATGCATGGAAGAAAACACCATGTTCCTGGTGCGGCTTTACGGGCCAGCCAAAAAAGGAGACCGCGACCACCTGTTCCGGTAAGTCTTGAATACCCACGGCTTTCACCCTTAGAGACCTCCCACTACCCCTAAATTATTGCAAGAAACGCTAAACCAGCTGTATACCTCACGTTTAATGGTTCAAGAGTTGGTTGTAAACCCAAATTTCCCCTGAAAATAACCACGTTGTCCCTTCCGAAGCCTGAAGTTAGAAATCCCCGAGTAAACGACCTAGCTCACAGTCTCGTTTGTTTTTACTCATTCCTCGCATTCTCCGGGCGGTAGCTCCGGGAGGCTCCAACACCGCTCTGAGGGCTCGCCCGGCCGCGGAACCCGTTCCAACCAAGAGCAGAAAAGCGAGTGAGAGACTCGGTCGCTTTCTGCTCCCTGCTAAAAGATTAACTTTTAGTGGTTGAATGGAAAACCCTTTAGTTCGCAAAAAGTTAAAGTCCTAACATCCAAGCAAAATGCCGCAAAGGAGTGTCTCCTGATGGCATCCAGCAAGTTCTCATAAGAGCACAAGTAGTCCCAGAGCCGGCCGTAGGCATGGAAGCCCATACACTGAAGAACCTGCGCGACGCGTCGCGCCCGAGTCTCGATCAGACCCCCTAGAAAGCTGGAAGCCGGTTTGCAGCGGGTGGTTCGTAGCGCTTTGACAGTAAGGAAGCTGCTGTGGATGGGGACGCGAAATCCATTTCGAACCACCTCAGAAATCCATTCGATTCCCCAACGTACATACCAACAAACGTTGTGGTTTCAATCATGGTTTCATTTCGTGGTGCGAGAAGCGGATTCCGCAACCTTCCACAGTATGGGTGGTTTGTAGGGGTCACCCCTCGCTTTCCTTGCTTTTGGAAGCAGCAAGTTCAGACTTCAGCGAGGGAGAACAGGGGGAGAAGGGGGAAGGAGGGCCAGAAATATGGATAGGTGGATTAAGTGCAAAGGGATGCCGGTACAAGGTGGGGCACTGATGCATGTTTAAACCGCCCTGGCTGTTTGAGCAATACTGGCTTCAATGTGTTCATCCGATTTAGGACGTCTCAACGTGGCTAGACCAGTCGCGGATGTTCAAACAATGCTGGCCAGGACACCTCGGCCCCCCCATACTCCAAGAAGGGTTCTGATCGAACCTTCGTAGAAAGGGGTTCTGACTCCTCTCGTCGCAGAACATCGTCCATTTTGTGATGCTAAAGCATCCCATGACTCTGTCAAGGGCGGCTTCCAGTGGTACTGTGGATGGACGAGATCCCGCACCACCCAAGAAACCATGCTTGAAACCATTGCTGGTATTGACGTGGGAATCCCCTCAGACACCAGGGCTTCATGTTCGGTGCGTTGGATGTCGCAACCTCCCGCAGTATCTGAGCACTCCAAGTTTTAGAATAGAACCCCCAACTGGAGAAAAGAAGAGAGAGAGAGAGAGAGAGAGAGACTGTAGATGGTTGCGAAATCCATTTCACACTACCTTGAAACTATGGGAAACCATATCGTTTGTTGAAATTTACGTTGGGGAATCGAATCATTCCAGGGCTTCTTAGGTGGTGCGTTGGATTTCGTCCGCCCACGGAATCACCACCATTGTCGGCCTAAGGAGTGTCATCATCCAAATTGGGTTAAGTAGTCTTTTAATGTGCCTTTTGGTTTCCTGATTTCGTCCATGTGCAGGATTGGTTTCACAGAAATTGGCCCCACAGCTGTCCACTTGGCTGGCGCAAGCCCCCCCCCCGCCCGCACCGACGGAAGCGGCTGAAAGCGTCTTGCCTCCAGGAAACAGCTCCGGCACCAAATCCTCATGGCGATAGGACATCATTCTCCCCCCAGGCTCGGTTCGGGTGGGAACCTAACCGAAAACAAGATCAAACAAACCTAAAACCAAACCCTGAAAAAAGAAACTAAAGCAGTTAAACCAACCTACAACAAGATCACACACCCCTAAGCAGACCAGGTTCCCCAACCCCACCAAACAAACCCCCCAAACACATCGCCTTGGGAAAGACCCCATAATTTGGGAGGGAGGGGGGGGAGGCACTCCTCAAGAAGCTCCATACTCCATTTTCCCTTGTAGCTTGGTGTAGTGGGAACCTTCCATTTGCTTTTTGGCACCCCGGGAAAAATGACGAAAATATGTCCAGTAGTGAAATCCATTCCCTTTTAAAACCAACACAGGAAAAGCAAACGTCAGGAACCCAGGCCCCTGATTTGATGGGGTGGGCATCCCAGTTGAAGCGGGGGATCCTTCGCTGTCGGGGGAAAACTCCTGCCATGCCAATCCAAAGGGCTGATTAATCCGGGGTCGACATTGTGTGCCAGGTGAGGAGGGTAGCCTCAAAAACTCACATATCCATGTGCATCAAACTAACAAAGCAAATGATTCCTCTGAAGAGATTCAGACTCTACATCAGCCAAGGACACACAAAGTGCCTGACGCCGCTGCACGGCAAACGGCACAGCGCTTTAGAAAACAATCCTTTTTGACATCAGGATCCACGGGAGCTCGCAGAAGAGCAATCGGAGCGAGTTTCGCGGGGCGGGCCCTCGCTTGGCATCCCATAAGAGACGTTGCCACCTGAGAGCGATTGTTTCCTCACTTCCTGAGGAAACGGATCAGCCAAATAAGAACGTGTCATTTACCACTAAGATGATCTCTCCAAAAAGTTTAGGAAGTCAGGAAGTGAGTCAGTGGTGAGTTGGTGACTAGCAGGTGTCTCGCTTCCCAAGTGGCTTCTCTACGAAAAGTCGCAACCTTTTGTGCCCAAAAAGAGACCAGGAACTCCTCATTGAGGCTTGCTTCTTTGCCATGAAGGGCCATACCCCGTCCCACGGCTCCCCCGCTATAGGCCTCGTAGCTCTCAATCAATCTTCAGTCCAAAAGCGACGGAATTGACCTCCTGCTTACAATCCCTGGTCCAGGCTGGTCATTGGGGGAGGGGGCCAAACTCTGCCGGGTGGCATGTTCAGCACCACCAGAACCACCGCGCGCAAAGCCGCCGCGTCCTAGCAAAATAACGGATTTTGCACGCGTGCCCGAGCCATAGTTATCTGCAAGGGACAGATATTCTCAACATGACCCTTTTTGCTGGATTGTGGTGCCATAAGGCTCCAATTCAGCCCCTTGAACTACGTGGTCCTGATGGCTGGCCATCATCCTCAAGAGGAGGAAAAAAACCACCCCTGGACACTGACTGGGAATCCTCGCCAGGAACACCAGAGAAATGGTTCCTAGAAAAATAGTCCAAACCAGGACCACGAAACGTCAGGTTCCATAGCAACGAAAGTGGGTGTCTCACTCGTCCAAAAGACCAGCAAAAAGCTCAAGGTGAAATCATCTCACTTCCTGAGTGGCGAAACAAGTCCAAACTGCTTGGTGGCCACAAAAATTGGCTTCCTGCAAAGCAGAAAAAGTCCATGAACTCGGGAAGTAAGTCACCTTTCGGGGCCACCAAAAATGGGTACCTATTCTATGGATACCCCTCCCTATTCTACTAGAAATATGTTTCATGGAATCCCAAACAAGGGAAACCAAAAGGTCAGATTCGGTCGATCCGCTTTTGGCAGATGCCTGGGAAGCGCCACTCCAAACGGTACCTGGCCTGAAAAAAAAGAAGAGCTGATTCGTCTTTTTGGGGGTGGGTGGGTTGTTTGAAGGGATACCGCTGATACACATGCAAAACACGAGGCTCCTGTGCAAAAGTGGATATGAAGACATATTGGAAGCAAACCAACTGCAAGGCAGCAATGCCACCCCCGCCTCGTTTGGGGTCGACAAGAATCCGTACAAATCCAGAAGCCATGACCATTTGCGCCTGGCAGGCCTCGAAAATGTTTCAGCTTTCCAAGAGGACCCTGGAGGGTCTGGGGAGGGGAGGCGCTGAGTAAGGCCTCAAGCCCGTAAGGTGGATGCTCGGGCCTCATGTCTGCCCCCATTGAAACTGATCCCGCGGAGCTCCTGCAAGCGGCGGTCGTTCAGCAGGAAGGCCAGGCCCCAGTAGAGCACTGCCACCGAAAGGTCCTATGTCGGTTGCAAAATCCATTTCGCACCACTTTGGAACAATGGGAAACCCTTGTTGGTTGGTATTTACAAGGGAATCATGATTCCAGGGTTTCTCAGGTGGTGCAGGATTTCGGCCATCCACAGAGTTTACAGTAAGATCGGATCATTGGGCTTCTCAGGTGGCGCAGGATTCCACAGCTCCCGACTGTGGATTCCGTTCGCACCGCGTGGAAACCATGGTTGAAGCCACTACGTTTGTTGGCATTTACAGGGGGCTCGAAAATCATTCCTGGGTTTCTGAGGTGGTGCGTTGGATGGACTGTATTTTTGGCTGACCATGCTGACCACTCAGATTCCTACTAACTGGCCCACAAGACGTTCAAATCCAAAAACAACCACCAGTCCAAACCACATACGGGTGCCCAGAAAAATAGTCTCCAGGAAGTTGGGGACTTCTTAGCCCATCCCGGGCTGATTTGAAGTGCGCTAACTGGACCAGCGAGTGCCGGAGGTGAAGCAGGCGAAACCAAAACACGAGGACCCAACCACAACCCATCAGATGGCTGCTGCTTGGTCTCCCACTTGCCGGGTGCCGAAGCCATTTCGCACAACACGGGCCCGGTTTTTTTCCGAGACGGCGAGCCCCCGTTTTTGCCAGCGCCACCACAAGGGAAACCTCGATGTGGCATAAGGATTACTCCTCCAAGTGGAAGAATCCTCCATGTGGGTGTGTCATTCTTTAGGGGACCCTTGAGAATGGTGGTTTTCTCGTTGGCGTCCCGTTGGAACCACGGAACCACAAAAGAAAAGTGCCCTTAGAAAAAGACAGACCCGTGTGTGCTTCCTGGGTGCCATCCCTTCGTCTGCAGGAGCGTTAGGGGGCAAAAAGACGGGCTGCCATTCGACAAATGGAATCCGGCATTGGGTACAGACAAACTTGCAGCCCTGGAGCCGAGCGGAAACCTGAACAAAAGGGAAACAGCTTACCCTGGGAAGCCCTCAGGGTTTCCCGAAGGCTCCCAACTATCCCACCATTCTTGTTCAACAAGAACCAGGGACCCGTTCAGATTCACAAAGTTGCCAGGCTCCAGCAACCAAGGGTTAAACGGTTAACCTGTTGGGAACACGGGACTCCAAAATTCTGAGAACCAAAACGTCACTTTTGAGGCGCAAGCGACGACCCGAAGGGACCCCAAACCACGGAACCCACCCACAGGCTAGTCAAAAAGATCCCTCCAGACCGTGCACTTGGCGAAAGGTTCTCTGTAAGTCCCTTCCAATGTGGGAGCCCCCCCATCAGAACCCACACACCCACCCACCACCCCCACCCACCACCCACCCACCTGCACCCACCCGCACCCACCCGCACCCACCCGCACCCACCCCACCCACCCACTCACCCAGCGGAAACCACCTGACAACCACCTGACGAAACCACCGGAACCCCACAAGGCAAAGCCAAGCCCAACCCAACCCCCACCCCGTCCCCCCCCCCCCCCTCCAAACGCTCTACCCCGGCCGCCCCCGCCAACCCAACCCAACCCAACGCTCTCCAGCAGGAAGGTGATCACCTGGTGCCTGGACGCCTCCTGCCAGGCCAGGTTGATGATGGCCCGGGCCCCCCTCTCGTCGAAGACCCGGTCGTTCACCCCGCTGGCCAGCACCCACAGCACCTGGAGAAAAAAACAACTGGAGCAAAAAGGCCATCGAATTTCGGGGATCCGTGTGCACCAACCACTTTAGAGGTGGTTCCAACCATAGGTGTCCTTTTTGGGAAAATAGATGGTAGTTGATTGAACCACCAGGTAAAGTAGGGCCCTCTATGTTTCGACCAAATCAACCAAAAAGGACACCTATGCGCAACACGAAGCGCCGGGGGAAAGAAAAAACGAGCGGCTGGCTCTGCCGGTGTTCTCTTGCCTCCAAGTGTAAAGATTTAAGCCCCAGGTTGAGGCTTGAACAATGAGCAAGTTGCCAGTTGAAGAAAGGACTTTCTTTCAAGGGTCGCTTCGAAAAAGGGATGCGTAAAAGAAATAGCGAGACCGGGAAACTGGAGAAATTTGGGGAGAGATGTAGTTTTCCATGCTTAAATTCTGTCTGTCTCAAAATAGGGGATCTCGGAAAATGATTGATTTCCCCATATGCATTTTGGAGGGTCCCCTTTCAGGGTGGCAACAAAACAGGAAACCAGAAGGAAACCTACAGTTTTGAAAGCCGAGCCAACCCCAGTAGTGACTAGTGCAAAAAAAAAAAAAGCTTGCAGCCCTCCCCCGCCGCCCGGGTGATTGAATGAGTTTACACATACATGCATACATATGCACGGATTCTGCTATAAATATACATATCTGTGTATGCATTAAAAGTATACATATGTCTGCGTGCGTGCGCATGCTGCCGTCTACATGCAGACTTGCTTGCGTCAGCTACCGATTCGAATCGGCCTCTGGGTTCCTATGGAGCCCGGGCAGCAGGCAGTGGTAGATGGAGACCGGCACCTGGCGGGCTCGAGGCTCTGCTCGCGGCCCGGTGTCCCGAGTCGACTCGAGGTTAGGTCGAATTCGCCTCCAAAGCGGGCAGACAGCTGAGCGCCTAAACTTGATAAGCCCCTCACTTTTTGGGCCCTGTTGTGTGGCCCTTGATATGCTGTGGCTATGCCAAATCCCATGCTGTGGCAATTCCAATGGGCGTTTCTCACTGTTTCTCCCGCGGTGTCTCCCCCTTCGAAGAAGGCGGTTGCTTGAGCCAGCCACAAGCGGGACATCCCGTCTTGGTTGCTGTTGACCCCCCTGCAAAAAGAATAGCTTCTTGGGGGGTTTAGTGGACAACCCAACTTGATTTCCCAAAAAAATAAACTCACTGGCTGAGTGGATGGCCCAAAAAAAAGTCCAAACTTTAAATTTGCCACTAAAATGGTCTTTCCAAAAAGTTTAAAGTTCATGAACTCAGGAAGTGAGTAAAGATCCAAAGATCCGTTGCCCAACAGCAGTCCAGCCGGGACCTCGGCGACCCCAACCAACGTCGCCTCTCCCGCGAACCGAACGCGCGGTTAAGAGCCTGGGAGATGTTCTCGAGCTTCTCGAAGCGGTGGGGCAGCAGCTGGCAAAGGAAGGTCTCGTCCCTTTGCTCCAACTCCTGGCGAAGAATAGATGCAAAACTGTTTTTTTTGTTTGCCAAAATTCCACAAAGAGGATTTACCTGTTCGTTGTTGTCAGTGATTCGTGGTGTTAGTTATTTGGTGTCTGTTCTTCTAAACTTTTAGGCGACTGCTTTAAGCCATCGCTTTGATCTGGGGGGAAAGATTTGAGCAAAACCCATTGGATCATCCTACTTTTGTGTTGGATGGCAAAGGTACCCTCTTGTGTGTGTGTGTGCGTGTGTGGCTTGAAAGGGGAACCAAACGGAAACCCTTGCCATGTGTGCGTTGCTTTTGTTGGGGTGTCCCCCATTTTGAGACAAATTGGCCATCAGTTGGAGTCTGGGCTGGCTTTAAACTGTCCCAGGAGGCGATGCTAAAACCTTTACAAGAGTTGAATATGGGCATGAATTTGACTTGGGGCACCTTTGGCGGGCACTCTCCCGGGACCTCGGCTCCAGGCCCCGAAAAAGAGGGGACAACGGGGCCCAGGTTTGGCATGCCCTGTCCCGAAGAAAAGTCGGTGACGGTTTGAAGCCGTTGGAGATAAAATAAATTAAAAAAAAGCGTGGGAAAAAAAAGACCTTGAGCATCTAGGCCCAACAACAGAACCTACAAGATTCGCAGTGCAACCGAGCTCCTGGACCCCCAGCATCGGGGCCTGCTTGTGCGGTGAAGCCCATGCACCATCGGCTCACGCGCCCCAAAAAACGGCAGGGTGTTGAAAGCGTTGGTTCAAAGACGACAACTATGCCCCAAGACATGCTGAAACAAAGCACAACGGACACCTTCCGTTGCTTTTGTCCAGCTCAGCTGCCCAAAGGAAATCCTTTGGCACCTTGACTCATGGACCAAAGGGTTTCCCTTGTTCTGGGTGAATTAAAATATTTCACCCACCTGAAAAAAGGTGGTTGGGGGGCTATTCCCCAGATCGTTGTAACTCATCCAGCTTGTTGGGACTTCCAAAAGCGGGCAGTCTGTGTGAGCGCGGCTTTTTGGGTCCCCGTCCTTGTCGGTGTAGTGCGCTACCACCTGGGGGGTGGTAAATGCTCGCCCCATGGCTCCGGTTCTCCTCTTGGCTTCCCTTTAAAACACACCCAAAAACAGCTTCCTGGTTTGGATTGGTGGTTCAAATGCCCAAACCACCAATCCAAACCACCAATTCGGGGATACCTGACAAAAAGGGGTCCCCTAAAAGAGACGCACCCACATTGTGCTTCATCGCCGGCCTGGTCACCACTGGCCCGCTCCATCTCCCGGTGGAACTTCTCGTCAAAGTGGTCCTAACGCCACTTGCGCGCGCGCTCGCGGAGAGCCTGAAGTGCGGGTGTCGGCGGAGTCCCCTGGCTGCGTCGGTTGTTTGAGTTGGTCCCTGTTCGGCGTTTGCTTTTTGAAGGACATTAAGGAGGAAACCTTTTTGTTGGGGTTGGGTGCGTTGTTTGAGGGAAATCAGGGGGAAACCACACCCATTTGCTTTGGAGAGAGGGGTGTTCTCTGTTTTGAGACAAACACCCGGGTGATGTTGGGCCTTCAAATCGCTGGCTCTACTGACCTGAGTTGGGGTGTACGGGGAACGCGGTGCTCGATATTGAAACCCAAAACCCCTCCAAAGACTCGGGCAGAAAAAGCTCAGAGCACGTTATGCCGGCTGCGCGTGAGCAATTCCCAGCATAGTCCTTCTGTCGCGGGGGGGGGGGGGGCCTACAAACTGCAATTTTGAGAAGTATAAGCCACAAATCACCCAAAACAATAGATCGACACAAAAGTAAATAAACTTGTTGTACAAACGGAGAGTTTGTGGGAGAATCCACTTAATTGTGCAGGAAGCAACCGGAGAAAAGTAGTTGCCTCAACGCAGGGGCCTCCGGCAGGAAACCCTATGAGGAGCTCCGGCACGCGGCGTGAAACACGAAAAACTGGTTTGACGCAACGTTGCTTGACACACCCCCTGCGCAAAGCCCAACATCGAAAGCTCCAGAGAACAGCTTGTCCCCCTCTCACCTCCAATCGGTCGGATCACCCTGGATTTGCCAACGATCCGATGCCCCCCCCTCCTTGCGCGGGCCCGTGGACACGTTCATCTCGCCGTATGGGATGTAGGCCGTCTTCCAAATGACACGCTTCTCCTTGCTGAAGGCGAAATTCGAAAAAAGTCGTTGGTGGTTGGCACACTTCTGGTGGCGCACGGAAATCCGTGGTAGTTTCCAAACAACTCTGCTTTTTGCCAGCTCCCCCCCACCCCCCATTAAAAAGAAGAGCTGAAAAAACAATCATGCCAAGAACCGCCTTAGCAAAGTGAAGGATGCCATCGACAATGACAATGAGTCACACTCCATTTTTTTGTGAATCATGTTAGCTAACCCCCAACTGATGGTTTAGAGCCCGGCGCTTTGGATTTGGATTTGAACCCCTTGTAGATGGTGAGTTGGATACCGCCCCAACCTCCACATACCGTCGACGGCCTCATGAAACTTGTTCTCGTTCGAAGGGACGGACTCCCACTAAACACTCAGCGGTGTTCACAGGAGAAACAGAAGCTTTCAGCAGCCCTGTGGATCGACAGTGCACCCTCCCCTTTTTGTTGTGTTGATTTCAAAGCGACGCTCTTCCCGAAGACGCCATCGCAACATGGCTGATTCCTGCTATCCTTGTGATTCCTTCATTCAGTATGGTGCTTGTACAACAGGAGCAGGAAAGTAAACACAAAGAAAACGTCGATGAGCGCCTTGGGAAGAAAGAGAACAAAAAAATGAAAGACCACTGCGCAGCTGGGTCCAGAAAGAGGTGTGTCAAAGTAGGGGCATCGCCAAACCCAAAATGCTCCTTTGCTTCGAAACCACAACCAAAGGTGTTTTTTCCAAAGTCTCAGAAACACACCGAGCCACTTCCAAACCCTAGGATACACCTGAACAAAACCTGGTACCATCTAGAAGTTCCCTTTGAGACCGCTGGTGAAGGAATATAAAGGTGGCGACAACTTTGCCAATCTGCCATCCTTTTTCTGGCACCCCCGCTTGCGGGCTTCCAGATCAGGCAAAAAAAAGAAGAGATTTGGACCCCCCAGAGTGGTGGGCGGTCTGCTTTACAGGGGGATCGTCTAAATCAGCCGGCATGTGGCATGTGTGATTTTTAACCTGACCGCAGCTGGCATCCTATTCCACAGACACATGCTTCAATCTGCACCGGATTTCGCCAAGTGTCACACCCCCGACATCCAACCAAGCCCCAAACACCTCCCCTTCCCCCTCCCCGGCGCCTTTTTCCAGTACCTCAGGTCGCAGTTCCGAAAAACCGCCGACAAGATCTCTTCCGCGTCCGGCGTGGCCAGGAAACGCACAAAGTCCCGGATGCTCACGTTGTCCACCTCAAAACGCCCCTCAAACCCCAAACCTTCCCAAATCCCAAACATGTCTCAAACAAATCTTTCGGAGGCTAATTGAAAAGCCTCCAAGAGAGCGTCGCCACTGAAGGTAGTTTGCAAGAAACCTTCCAAGGGGTCCTTTGCAAGGGTGAGAACCAGGCTGAGGGTTAGGGGGCCAAAACACTCGGCTTGGAGGTTGCCCCCCCCCCCCCCTGTCTCTGGTCGACAAAAAGACTCTCGAGGTCTCAGGTTGTGGGCATTCCGAAGAAAAAAACCCTCCAACTCCAACTCCAACGTGGGTTTGCTTTATTCTTACCCCTTAAGACTCCAAGGTCTGGGGAAGTTAATCTTTTACAGACATATAGCCCATGTTACCCCCGAACAGTTGAAAAGTTGTGTTTTTCTAAGAGGTAAGTATTTGTTTGCGTCGATGCATTCCCCACAGTCAGGCTAGTGGTTCTTGTCCCATGCTGGGGGGCTTCCTTCCATCTCGTGTGCGACTTGTTCTTGGCTTTTGTCGATGCAGCTGAATTAGCAATACTTCCAAGCTGAGGATGTTTTTCGCACAGAAGTGCAACCCCATCACCCGGCTTGTCTCAAAGGGCTTGAAACCCCAATTGGTGGTTTCCACGTGTCGCCTTGAGCCAAACCCCCCAACCCCGGCTTTCTCGCCGGCGGATTCTTCCCTCCGAGCGTCCAGGTCCTCGTCGCACTTCCGCAGCCCCTTGGCTGCGGCAGCGATGAGCACCATGTTGTTGGTGTCGAAGAGGTAGTCCACCCCCCTCCTGAAGAGCCCCGGACGGGGCACGGGGCGCAAAGGAGGGGTTCAGCCTTGAACAATGCCCCCCCCCCCTCCCCGCAGTGGCTAGGCTTGTCAGGGGCTCAAAACAAATATCACAGACTCGGGGCACCCTCGGTGCACCCCGAAAGTCGACCACACATTAGAGGAAGCGCAGGGGGCGCAGGCCCCTTTAGTTTGCTTGACCACATGGGTTAACCACTTAGTTTGCTTAACCCCTTTAGTTTGCTTAACCCCTTTAGCGCAGGCCCCTTCAGGTCGACCACACATTAGTGTCTTTTTTTGGGGCCTCAAGAAAATGGCAACAGTTTCCTGTTGGTGTCCTTTGAGCCAACCTGAGAAAGCATGCTGAGTCTCAAAAAAATACGCACACCCATTCATGTGCGTCTTTTTCAAGGGTACCCTTTTGGCTCAAGGAGAGCCACAAGGAAACCCCATCCATTCTATTTGGGTGAGTCCCCCACAAAAAACACACACACACACATGAGTCACAATAAAAACCCGATGTTAAAATGGTCTACCCAGAGCCATGCAAAGAATTGAGAAGGCGGAATTCCGCAGCTATTTGTGGTCGGGATTGTCCCTTACAAACCTTCATCTACCCGAATGGGTTTTGAGCACGTGGCTCACCTGACTCGTGCGACCTAGAGCGGGGGGCCTATCCCCGATTTCATGGGGAGGGGCCTTCTGGATCCCTTCATGTTCATCAGACCTTATTATATCGAGGGCCATTCTCGGCTATCCAGGGACAAACCCCTGTATAGCCCCGTGTGAGCATCCTGGCATAGGCTGACCCCCGTCCTGCCCTCCTCGCCGCCGAACAAATCCGCGCCGCCCTCCACGAGCAGGCGCACCACCTGAGCGAGTCAGCTGACGGCGGCTGGCCGAGTGAGGGCGCGCCGGGGGAGGAGGAGGAGGAGGAGGAGGAGGAGGAGGAGGAGGAGGAGGAGGAGGAGGAGGGGGGAGGGGGGGGGGGGGGAAGATGATCAAAATGCACATCATTCTTCTGTTGGCGTCCTGCCATCTTGCCTCCAATTGGTGCGTTGGACTGATGGTTGGATTGGTGGTTTCCGATTTACAAAAGCCAGGGGTTCGAATCCCTGAACCACCACCTCCATCTAGAATGGGATGTGCCTGTACTGTCAGCTTGGTCTTTTAGAACATTCTGCAAGCAAACACATCACCCAAAAAACCCAAAACCACCCAAAGAAGCCAAAAGCCCCCCCACCCCGAGAGAAAAAAAAAAGAAGCCACAAGGCCCCCCTACCCAGAAAAGAAAAAAAAAACAAAGTCGCATTTCAAAAAGGACGGGTCCCGAGCCTCCACCCTCCCCACCACCCCCTTTTCCCCCCGCCTCCACGTGGCACCCATCGATGGCCTCTCGCAGCTCGTAGGGCCCCCCGTGCTCGTCCGCCGGGCAGATCTGGGCCTTCGCCCCCAGCAGCACGCGCACCACGTCCTCGGCGCCCGCGGGAAAGGAGAAAATGAGAAAAGCGGTTTCCGCGAGGAGAGATACGAATTTCCAACACCTGGGGTTTAGCCCTAGCATTCCCTGAAATGTCTTGGGGTTTCTTAGCGTTTCTTAGGGTTTCTTAGGGCTTCTTCGGGTCATGTATGAAAGGCTTGCACGCACAGGAACACACATGAGTGCACACAGGTTGATGCATGGCCAAGCATCTGGAGAGCCACCATGTCCATCCCGGCAAACATGAATTTGCTAGAAGAGTCTCTGTGACAAGGGGAGCACGCAAACGACCCGCTTGCTTCATAGTGGGGACTCAATGTAGACAAATGGCATGATTGCAAGACGATATGCCAACTCAGCTGCACGCTAATGTGTTTCGCTACATGCCTCGCTTCTTTTTTAAGTATCAGCTTCGAGAAGGATGTCTGCCGTGTGTTGGCTGCAGCTTGTTGATTCCAATATTCGATCAATTGAACTGCAGCTATGCAAGAAAACAGTGGGTGTTTGACAACTTTTGCATACAAATAATGCTGTCCTAATTCTCCCGTTCATTGCCAAGCATGAGCCAGAGATGACAAATTGCAGAAAAGCCAGGGAAAACACGCGTGACGCAGCTTTCGCCTGGTTTTTAACCGCCTGTGACCTTTTTGGAGGGTCCCCTGGATCGCCAGGTGCTGCTTTTTGCCATGAACTTTACACCAAAAACCAGCAACAGTGACTGAAAAAAGCAGCAACTTGGCTATCTAGGCCCTTCTTTTTGTGGTGTGGGGGGGGGCATCGTCTCCAGTGTTGCCCAACTTCCCGGGACCGCGACTCCGCGACTCCGCGGCAACCGGGGCTCGTCATGGCCCAGGCTGGCCGCGACCTGCAGCGCGGTCTTGGTGACGCTCATGTCGTCCTGAAACCTCGGGCCAAACGCCCGGCCACCGGGAATTCCACGGGACGTCTTTCTTCGTATGAGTCAAGATAAGCAGAGAAACACACGTAAGATCCACATGGCGGTGAATCTCTCGATTTCGCGGAAAATGGTAGAAGAGCGCCCCTTTCGAGTGGTAGCTAAAGGGAAGCCAAGGGAAACTGCCAAGGGGAACTTGCTGTTTGAGTGGATCAGTATGTTGAGACACACACACACACACACTTCTCTCTAAGGGTGCAGTTGGGTGAAAGTCCCCAGATAGTCCCAAATTGGAAAGCATACCTGGAACAAGCAAGTCAGCTCAACGCAGCTCCAAAATGTCTTGCAGACGCCGTGTTTTGCATTGATAATCTGGCGGACCTCGGATCCCACACCTTTGTCAATAGCGCCCCTTTCCGGTTGCAAACCCTTCCTTCTTCACCTCCTGGGGCGCCCTACCACCCCCGCCCCACAAAACCCTACAGGCTGAGGGATTCATCAGCTTCGGCATGGGGAAATCAGACAAGTAATTTCCGGCCAAGTACGCCTGAAGGGTCTTTGGTCCATGGTTGCAGGATCCCTGGCCATCCTTTTTCGCCCAGGATCCCATGACTCGACCTTGGCCAAAATGTTCAACCACTGGACAAGTGCTTGGCGCGCTGGGAGAAGGAAAAAAACAAAAAGAATAACAAAAAAACACACACACCAGAAAAAAAAGGGACGCCCTGCCCAAGACGACTCCCATCTTTCCAAGCTGATCGAGGGGAAAAAGAAACGGACTAGGCTGAAGCCTCAAGCCGGCACCTTCGAAACAAAAAACGAGGCGAGTAGAAATCCTCGAGCACAGCACTCAGCACTCCCTTTAAATGCAGCCTTCACCCCAATCAAACTGCCTTTTGCACAAGTGGATGCAAAAGAAAACCGTTTAAGAAAGGAAGCTGAAGGGAAACTACCCCTTTTCATGGACCCCTAAGCGGGGCTCTGGGGCGGTGGGGGGGGAACCACGCCGCTGGAACCTTTGGGGGAGAGGCTCAGGAGATGCGGCGAGGCACTTCACCAAGAGATCCGGCTCGCCCTTCTGGTGCAGCAGGAAGCGCACGAGGTGCGAGTGACCAAAGTAGCCTATCGCCAGGTTTCAGCGGCAAGTTGGCCCGCAGGCTTCAGTAAGTCGGGTGCCACGCTGGCCGCGAGGGTTGAGTGGGATTTCTTGCACACACCCGCCTTCTCCCCACTTTCTGCCCACAGGTACCATACCTTCCTTCCAGCTGGCGGTGAGCCGAGCCGAATCGATGGTGTGGTCTTCCGGGTGGAAACCCCAGCCCATGTACCCGCAGCAGCCAGGGCTTCAAATCCAAACCACCGGGCTCCACGACATAAGGCTCGCAGGGGGCTGGCGAAACGGGGGCATCCATAGGTGGCCTTTGGGAAAAAAAGTAGATGGGCGTCCCTGGCAACTGGCTTACAAAACCCCATCTGAACCAGTGGAACCCATCTATTTTTACCCAACCTAACCCAAAAGGGACGGCCCCAAACGGGGGCGAAAAAGGAATGAACCGGGCGGTCGATCGGGACCCGAGGGGAGGAAGATCCGATTACCTGAAGCCTGGGCCGTTGGGATAGCCAACGGCCCTGGGCAAAGAGACCCCCATCAAAAACCCAAAGAGAAAGCCATCCTTGTTTTGTAGAAGAAAAAGGCATGTTCCTAAGAAAGGCATGTTCCTGGAGGGATGGAACTCAGGTATCTAGAGGTTTGTTCCTTGTTTTGTTGGTCCGTTTTGTTTCTAATCTTTTAGTGCTCAGACATGTTGGGGTCTAAAGTCTGCAAATCTAGGGGTTGATTCCTTGTCCATTCTTTTCAACCCTCGTTTTTGTCAAAAAACCGGATCCGCTTTCCCTAAAGTTCCGGAGGTTTTGATGAATGTACCGCTCTTTTTGCTTGTTCCAATCTCAGGCCCTCGAAATCGAGCCTGGGCAAGCGGAGGTGGTGCTGGTCTGTTTTTTACACAGAACCCAAGCCCCCCACAGGAAACCACAACTGCAACCAACACATAACATCCAAACCAAGTGGAATGCAAGCACAAACAAAGACGCACAACTGCACACGCACACAGGCAGGCACAGACACAGACAGAAACAAACAAACAAACAAACGAACGAACCGAACCAAACCAAACCAAACCAAACCGAGCCAACCACACCAAACCACACTAAGCCAAACAAGCAAGCAAGCAAGCAAGCAAGCAAGCAAGCACGCACGCACGCACGCAAGCAAGCAAGCAAGCAAGCAATCAAGCAAACAAACAACAAACCAACAAATCAAAGAAAGAAAGCAAGCAAGCAAGCAAGAAAGAAAGAAACAAAGAAAGTTGAAGCAAAGAAAGAAAAGAAAACCTGCAAGGGACAGACAAGGGACAGACAAGGAAAGACAAGAACAAAAAAGAAAACACAAAGAAAATAAAGAAAAGAAAAGAAAGCAAAGAAAAGAAAGCAAAGAAAGAAGAAAAGGACTAGAAAAGGAAAAGAAATGAAGCAAATGAAAAGAAATGAAGAACCAAGCAAAAGACATGAAGCAAAACAAGAAGAAACAATCAACCGAAAGAAAACAACAAAGCAAAAAGGAAGGAGAAAAAGAAAGAAAGAAAGAAAGAAAGAAAGAAAGAAAGAGTTCAAAGTGCGTCGGGCGTGCATCGTCGATCCGAACATTTGGCTGTCCCAGGCACTGGCATCGTAGAGCAGCGTAACATTGGGCTCCTTGCGCGAAGCATGCGGTGCGTAAGGAAGAATGACCTGTCGATACTACGGATGCCAAACGCAATGATTTATATTGCCAAGGGAAACGACGGCAAAATCTGAGATCGGAAGGGAGCTTACCGAGATTGCCGTTTCTTTCTAGATGAGTCGGAGCCAAAACCATGGTCATCCAGGACAACTTTCCAGCGATCCCCTTAGCACAGCCTTCAGTTTCCAAAAATGGGGGAGGGGTGGGTGTTGGCTTTCCGGTGCAAATGAAAAGGCGCCCAAAGGCACCGGAGACATGTGCGCCATTTTTGGGCTCAACGGCCGAAAAGGCTCCCTCGAAAAAGGTCGGGTGAAAAAATCCCAGAGATTGACCAAATGCTAGGAAAAAAAAGATTCCCACATGAGGGTTTGCGATGGACCCCCCCCCAAAAATATTGCATTCGATTGCTAGTAGGATAGCAAGGAGCCCTGGAACGACTTACTGCAATTTAAAGAGGGATTCTGTGCGATTGGCCAAATCAAAGCAAGTAAGGAACACGTGGAAAAGCCTTCAGTTTCATATCTTGCGGGTTGAACCGGAACCAAGGAATCTCGTCTTGGGAGAACATTTTACCCTCCACCTGAAAACGCCGGGGTTCCTGAAAGACCATGTTCTTCAAGGGGCCCCCTGGTGGGTTACAATGTTAGTTGGTGGAAGGCCATTTACAAAGGGAGTTGCAATGGTGTGCAAAGCCAGCGGCCAGGAGGAAACTAGGGCACCCAATTGGCCCTTTCATCTTGGAAGCAAGAAGCTTAAACCGGGCTTCGGATGAGTAAAACACCGGGGTGGGAGAAACCCCCCTTTCAACCCATGGTTTAAGCACCCACTGTAGGTCTGGGACTTGTTGGGGGAAGCGATGTTTTCCACATTGGTCGGCTCTGACCATGGCTGGTCAAAACAAGGATTTGGAGTCCCCAAATTGCGTGGCTTCCCTTTAAACCCCTAAAAACCTCCGAGTACCCTCCTGCCCACACAGGAGAAAAAGAGAGTCCAAATGGACCCCGAAACGCCAGGTCCGGCACGACGTGACGCTACCGCATCTCTCAGCAGGGCATCTCTCCTCGTTGAACTTGATGAGGCGACCCGAGAGGTTGGCCTCGTACTCCACCAGCAGCCTGCGCAATCGAATCTGAGACTCACAACCGGTGGGTCAAAAATAGGGAAACCCCAAAATGGCTTGCCCTGGCAAATGGAAACATGGACAACCTGCGGTCCCCTAGTGGTTGAATTTTGACCCACACCCAACCATGTACCCCCTGGCTAGCTACCCTTGCAGCACAGAAGCTCAAATTTGTGAGCACATGAATGGCATCTAGCCATATTTCCCAGAATGCCAGGGGCACCTGTTCAGCACGTGGTTTGGCCCCCAGATCTAAGCTAAGGATCCCTAAGGCACTGAAGTGATGACGTCCAAAGGTCCAACGCCAAGACTAACTCCCCCCCCCCCCCAATTCGGTGAATGGTTAGTTTGGAGCTTGGAGCCGAATCGGTAATTTAACGTAGTCTTCTGGGTGACCCCCATTTGTCCTCAACAAGGACCAAGGATTCAAGTCCGCATCCGCCAATGCAAACCACCAATTCGGGGATACCTGAACATGGAAAATCCAGCAAAAAGACTAAACACAAAAAGCCAAATAGGCTAAACCTGGCGTGCCGCGGAAACGAATGTGGCTCAATGCCCAACTCAGGGGAATTCTTGGAAAGATTGTATTCAACAATAGCTATCAATAGCCCATGGTTTCCTTTAAGGGAATCCCCAAACGGTTCATGCCCAACACCCGGAAGGTCATACCCTGAGCACCAAGAGATTGTTTGTCTGCTCGGGGCCTCCTTTTGGTGCCCCCTTTGCTTGGCCATCGGTCCAAAAATATGGTGCAACGTTGCGTCATCGTTCCCAAATTGATATCAGGGAGACCGCGCATAAAAGGAGGCCAGGTTGTTTGAGCATATGTTCTCCAACCCTGCCGCAACAGGAAACCGCAACTTGCAAGAAAGGTTTGTCAACCCCACCCAGCCCCACCTTCCCCCCCCCCCAACGTGGATGATACCCAAATAACACAGGGCTGAGAATGTTGACTGCGGATTTAGCAGAGCCCCCGGTTGATTGGGGAGGTGTCCCCATTCGGTGGGGATGTCAATCCGCGGTCAACATCAGCATCTTAAGGGGTCTGGCCTCTCCTGACCTTCAGGGTTTTAACTACTACTCCCTATTCAAAGGGAATATGGGTTGCCCTGAATGGAGATCTTCCGGGATCACCCCCCCAATTCCATTTTTGTCAGGGACCCGTTGGGGTCCATCCACGGCCTCATCATCGACAAGTTGCCCTTGGCCACCGTGGCACAAACGGCGGGCCCGTTCCACAGCACCCCGCTCCGGCCCGCCCTCATCTGGTAGCCTCGTTGCCGGGGCTTCGGGGAAGGGGAAAGCCATACTCGGTTTGGGGCGATCGATTCGGTACGTCAGGTAAGTGGGGATCGTAAGCCTGGCAACCAATAAAAGCGACGGTTAGTCTCCGTTCAGTGGGTGATAGGCTTACGAACCACTTACCAAGTACCCGATCGCCCCTTTGACAGGGATCCTTACATTATACACCTGAACATGGCCTTGTAAATGGTGGCTTCCCGTTGTTTTGGTGGAAAAAGCCATGTTTCAAACGGGCAACATGTATCTTTTAAGGAGCCCTGTTTAAGTACTGCTGATGGCTGCGAAATCCATCTCGCACCTAAGAAACCATGGATGGAACCATCATGGTTGCTTGATATGTACAGCGAATCGAATCATTGCAGAGCTTCTGAGGTGGTGCGAAATGACCCTCAGTACGAAACCTACCGTTTTTAGGGGGGATTGGGAGATGCCTAGCTGGGGGGCAGGCGATTCTCATGGGATGATAACATGTTCTGAGCAGGGTCAACGACTGCATCTTTAAACATGTGGGGTCCCTCATGCTAGAAAACACCTTTGAATTTCAACATTAATTAGAGCGAAACGGCCATGAATCTCAAGAGTTGGCTTTCCCTTCAAGAGTGGTTGGTGAACATACATCCCCACCTTCTTGCGTATCCCCCCCCCCAAAAAAAAAAAAAAAAAAAAACTGCCCCCACGTGAGGCACAATTGTCCAACTATAGCAACGAGCTCTTGCCCTTGAGACGGAGTCCTTCTTCTGTGTGCAAGACGAGAGGGAACCAACAAAGAAGCGATCATTCTCAGTTCCAGACCCTTCACAACCAGCGTGGGCAATTTTCCGGCCACACGTTCGGAATCAACCGGATTTTTCAAGGGACAACCCCTCCCTTAGTACTTGAATTGCTCAACACGCTCCCAATTCGCCCCTGGCAACTGCGGACCAGAAACCCTCTTTTCACCCCCAAAATGTGAGCTTCTTGCAGGCAGATCTCTTTGGTGGATGCCATCCTGTCAGGAACATATCAAATTCAAGAGTGGAGGCCAAACTAAGACTTCACCAAAGCTTCCCCGGACTTCCTCGCGCCAAAGCGCCCTTCTTCTGCCCCCTTCGGCCTTCGGCCGCTTCCCTTCCGCTTCCCTTCCGCTTCCCTTCCGCTTCCCAACCCCTGGGGCGCCCCGGCGGGACTCCGGGTCCGCCTTGTGGGAGAAGAGCAGCCGCACGATGGAGGGCTTGTCCAGCTTCACCGCCAGAGTCAGCGGCGTGCCTTCGAACTCCTTCGGGCCCAGCTTGTACTTCAGCCTCGGCGACCCCGGCGACCCCGGACGCCGTCACAGGCCGCCGTCGCGTCGCATTAAAAATGTGGGAAACTGGGCGCAGGAAAGAGACGCCGCCAAGAAAGGCTCGCCAAAAACTGGGGGATTCTACCCAAACATATTGCTGTGGGTCAAAAATAGGTACCCCAAATGAGAACCCTGGCAAGTCGAAACATGGACCAAAACCTGTGTGGTTCCCCGGTGGTTTAATTTAGCCCACACCCATATGTTGCCCCTTTCCCCCTTTCCCTTGTCCTGGACGGGACCAGCCTGCAGTTGGGATCAGCCCGGCTCTCCAACAAGCGCTTGGCCTCCTGGAAGGTGTGCCTCCCCATGAGGCAGTGCCGCCATGCCTCCCATCGAACCGAACGGGAGGAATCCGAGGAGAAAAGCCTGGAATTTGGGCGAGTCACCTGTGGTTGTCAAAACCATTTTGGGATCCCATTTTGGTTGGCAGGTGAATTCACTACCCATTTTGGAACCTATTTTAGTCTGGGCTGTTCAAAATGGAGGGTTGGCCAATCCTAATCCATCATCCCTATAGGAAAGCCACTACAAACAAACAAAAAAAAAACTTGCGTAACCCAGGTAGGATCTTGCGGATTACCTTTCAACAGCCCAGTCTGTGGGTATGATTTGGATTTTGATCCATGGCCACCTCCATGTCCAAGTGGCAACTTGTTCCACCTGTTGGACGGTAGGCCTGAAGTCCAGGGCTGGTTCATTCCCCAATGGCGGAGCAGCCCTGGGTTTGAGTCCGTCTTGAAGTAGCTTTGCCCTAATGCTAACCCCGTATTAATCAACCCGGATTAATAAACCCCTGGTTGATTTATAGGGGGGAGGTTCCCTTTCGGTGGGGATTCATCACTTTTGGAGGAAACTAACACCCCCCCTAAGAATGGGACGGTGTATAAATCCTGGGTCAACATTATCTCATTTCCTGCACACTGCAACAGATGCGTTGCTCGTTTTTTTTTAGGGGCCCTTCCACCATGGCTTCGGTTTTCCTGCTGGTTTCCCTTCAAAACCCAAACGGGCCTAGCCTCAAGACCCAAATGCCGAGAAATACCTGCCCAAAAAGCAGGGACGTTGACGTTGCGGGGCTTCCCCGAAAGCAAAGCTTTCGTCCAAGACCATCTTGTCAGGCTCCATGACCGCGAGGCTCCTTTGCATGAATGGGAATGGGAACCCTGGATTTCAGCAGAACCCGGGCCTATTCTTAGGGGGTATCCCCTCACCTGAATCCCACACAAGGGAGGCGACTTGGCGAAATCCGTGGCTTTCACTCGGCGCACCTCGCGGCTTTCATGAGGTTGCGCCCACCCAAACTCCCCGGCGCCGCGGAAAAAAAGTTGAAGCCGGGAATGGCGATCCGCTTGTCCTACATGGAGGTTGATCAATATATTCCTGACCCCCGAAATAACCATGGGTAACTTCTCCAATTTCGTGGGACATGTCATCTTTGTAGTGGTTCCCCCAATGGTCATCCCATCTCTAAAGGACTGTTTGATCAACCCCTAAAAATCGCAAGGGGGGGTCGATTGAACCACCCCCAAGAGCAATTTGAGATCTGCTCGACTCATTTTTAGGCATAAGGGGGCCCGGTGTGGTTTGCTTGAAAACGTTTAGGGCAGTCGCACAATCTAGCCACTTGACGATGACTTGGATGTCTTTTTTTCAGGGACCCCAACATGAATTTCAGTTGTCCTTTTTGGTGTTCCTTCAAAACAATAAAAAGGTATGCCCTTAAGGTATGCCCTTAAGGTATGCCCTTAAGGTATGCCCTTAAGGTATGCCCTTAAGGTATGCCCTTAAGGTATGCCCTCAAGGTATGCCCTTAAGGTATGCCCCCCCCCCAAAAAAAAATGAAACAAAAAATGGGGAACCCCTGAAATCGGCGGTTCCTGGTGGTTTCCCTTTCAACGGGAGCAGCCTTCGCCTCGGCCCGGAGGAATTTCCCTCGCCTCGCCTGCTCCTCCGTCTGAGGCTCGTTGGAGGTCTGGTTCGTAAGGTTGGAACTCAGCGACTGGTCGCCTCGGGCTTCCGGCGGTTCAAACCCCCCGTTGCTTCCCCTTGAGGTTCCTTGCCCGAAGCCAAATCGGTGGCCGGAGGGGTTTCAACCAGAGACCCATTCAAATCCAAACTCCAAACCACCAACCAGGAGGGAACCTGTATGGGGTTCAACTTGCCCCCAACAAAGGCAAGGACCCAATTTAGATGACAATCCTTAGGTAAAATTCATGGTGGCTAAATTTGAACCCCCCACTGTTTTAATGATTGTTTTAATGGTGGTTTGAGCCCTAGGGCCTAGCCGGCGGGTTCTTGGAAGATACCCCGAAAGCAAAATCGTATTGTTCTACAATGGCCTCTGCCTAGATAGCCAAGTTGCTGCTATTTTCAGTCACGTTGTTGTTTTTTGGGGCAATGTGCAGGGGAGAAAAGAAAACACAACTGGCGATCCAGGTGGGCACTTCGTTTGGGTTCAAGCAAATGTCGTGCCTTTAGGTTATTCAAACAAGGCCTTCAAGGCATGTGAGGCATCCCGGACGGGCCCCAGTGGATTTACATTGGGAAAAAAGAAGAAAAAACGGGCCCCTGCATAGGTGTCCTTTTGGAGGAAATAGATGGCCCTGGTAGATGAGTAAACCACCTGGAACCAAACAGGACACCTATGAGCGCCTGTTTCCCCCCCTGTCCACGTCGCTTGGAAGCTGACGTTTCAAGGTCCTGGTTGGAACGATTTTGGTTTTGAAGGGACCATGTCTCTGGCGGGTTCCGCGGCAACTTGGACACAAAGGGTCCAGAATTCAACTACCAGTTGCTCAAAGAACTCCTGGTGGCTCACAGAACTCCCGGTGGCTCACAGCACTCCTGGCTGGTAGCGAGCCTTCATAACTGGCGGCGTCGCTCATCGATCGGCTCCGCTACAAGTCATGCCGCACCACAGAGACGACCAAAACACACGCCGCAACCAAAACAAGCATCAATTATCCACGAAACGGCAGCTCTGGCAAACGTGGTCCAAGTCCCCCCCCGGTTCAGTGGCAGCTTCAAGGGAAACGACCGATGCCATTTTCTGACTATAAACAATACCCCCCAGGCAAAAGAGTGCCAAAATGATGAGCCGGCCACAGGGAGCAACACCCACTCACAACCCCCCCCCCCAGGAAGCTTTACTTGGGGCATAACCCCTGCAGTGACAGCCCAAGCACTGTGGACACAAACCAACAGCTTTCTCCCAGCACCTTGAAGAATTCATACATCCTAGCTGGTGCAGGACTGACTCCCCAGGATTGAGAACCAGGCTAAGCCCCATCCCTAGAATGGGTCAGAAGCCAGCTGCCGGCTCCCTTAAACAGGGCCAAGGATACAAATCCGGGCCAGTTGAAAGATCACAACCAGCTTTTAGAGGATCTTCTTGTACAGCTGGTTCTTTGGATGTATCCAATGCAACCTGCTAAAACTCTGACTTTCCAACCTTACCCTCAGCTACTCCGTGGTTTGGGCGGGGGGGAGGGGGGTTCCCCATTTAACTCTCTCAAGAACGGGCCAAATTCCCAAACCACCAACTAAGGGTTACCTGATAACCTGTGGCTGCGTCCGCGAAAACCAAAAATGAAGGGCGGCTCCCAGATTTCGAGGCGAGCCCAGAACAAACTGCCGTTGTTCTCTCAGTGTCACGCCTCCCTGCGTCTTCCTTCTGGCAAGTCACGTTGCAGCGCTGGGCTTGCCATCCGCATATTGCTCGGCATGTTGCTTGCCATGGCTCACCAGGCATGGCAATCCGCGCGCAACAAAAAAAGAAGCGTGCGCTTTTGCGTCGGCGACCTTTGCTCCCGGCTGAAAATTGGTATAACTGGGGTAAAAAACAATGGTTCTTGTTGGCACCTTCCGCCAATGGAACCTTTGCAAAACCCAAGTTGTGTGGGCCACTGTGGCTAACCAGTCAAAGGGCAACCCACACTACCGGCACAAAGCTAAGGGTTTTGATGTGCGTCATGACCCATCCTGCCGCATTCCCTGGCCGCGGTCGGACGCGATTGAAAATGGAACAACTCGAAACTCTCGCCCATCTCCAAATCCTGGTGGCAAACACCTGAGGATCTGAAGGTGCCCCTTTTTGCTTGGCTCCCCAAATAAGTTGGGATATGATGAACCAGCTATGTTACTATTCTTCTGCAACTAGAATGAAGCTGGGACTCTGACCCAAGCTTCACCATGCGAGAGGTTCGCATGGCCCAAATGGAAGCTACCTCAAACTTTGCAACCAAAGGGTGACGTTCAAACCCAGCTTTGAGAGAACATGAGTTCCTCGGAAGGATGTAGATATCCTTCATGACCCCTGTTTTATGTGTAAATAAGGGGGAACCAGAGGGGGATATTTGTTGACAAGCACCGGCAGTGCTAACTCGCCACAAGTGCGTGAGAAAAGGATGGCTGAAAACAAAATCGCACTGCAAAGCAAAGAGTGTTTCCGAAGATGGGGGCACCCTTGCAAACCGATGCAACAACCCCCAAACCAGGCCCACCTCCCGTGAAATTGGCCAACAACAATGAAGTCAACAAGCAAAATGTGGAATATAGTGACCCAGAGGTTCCAGTGACCCTGGTGTCAAAAGAGCACCCTATATGGGAAGGAGCCCAAACAAAAAAATAACATTGAGAGGGACCAAGTCAAAAAAGCCCCGGAAGCGCCCAGGCTTCTCTCAATTTCTTCGGACAACGCCGTCCGATTCCCGACCCCCCTTCTTCGAAGGAGAAGCCAAATTCGCGATTCGCCTGCGATTCGCTTTGCGCGGGCTCACTCGCTGATCTACAAACGCCGGCCGCTTGGTTGCCGCGGCTGAGTTAAAAGTTCCTGGTTGGTGTATTTTGGGGGGATCCCTTTCAAGGGATCTGGATCACTCCCAGAAAGGACCCCCTAACCCGACAGCTTGATTAATCAGGGATTGACAGGAGAAGCAATTACTCGTGCCAATTCACAACCCCCAATCCAAACCAATTACAGATGGCGCCCAGACAGGGCCCCCCCAAAAGGAGAAAGCCCTCTACACATGTCTGCTTCTTTGGATCCAGGTTTGTCTGCAGGAGAGTAACGGGAATTTGTCGCCATTTGCCAAATTCGGGGTCGCTGGATTCCCCGGTCAAGAGTTGAAAAGTGTACAGGAAGTGTCCATCGAAGAGCTTTTCTCCACTTTTGGGAGGTTCCATTTAAAGGGGAATGGCCCGGACACCATCCCAACCTGTTTGTTCCAAGGGTTCCAACTGAAAATCACCCCCTTTCTTCCCCTTTTCTTATTTGTGCCTTCAAACCATCCCCCAAATCCAGGGGTCACCACTCTGAACACACACACACACACACACACCCGCCGCCCGCCGCTCATGCGCATGCGATTCCGCGAGAGCGGGCTTCAGGGGCTCCAGGGGTCCAGAGCCTTGCGGTCCTGGGGCCAAGCTCGCTCTCGGCCCCTGAGGTTCGTCCCGGGCTGTCCGTTTTCAGATCCCCGGCTAAAAGTGTGGCTCTTACCGGGTGAAATACAGAAAAATCCAACCGCTAAACACTGAAAGGCGAAGAAGCTGAGGGGGATGGCTGGGAACCGCCAAAATAAAACACACACGCCCCCGAGCGTGTGAAGGGTTGCGAAGCGATCCTTTCAGAGACATTCGAGCCCCCTTCGTCTCCTGAGAGAAACCTTTACTTGGGGAGAGGATGTGTCTTTGGCCACCCCCAGTTCCCCAGTTCACAGCCCAACAAGCTCCAACTGCTTTCTCCCAGCATCTCGCTTGGTTGCTGCAACGACCCCCCTGCAAAAAGTTTATCTTTTTGGGGGTTTAGTGGAAAACCCCTTGATTTCAACCAAAAAGTTAAAGTCTAAAGATCCAACCCAATAGCGGTCAAGCTTGGGGAGTACATCCTAACCGGTGCCAGAGTGACTCTCCAGGATTTCCTGGGCTGTCCGCAGATCAGATCCCCTGCTGAAAGTGACGAACACTGTTAGCGGGTTAAATACGGAAATTCAACCACTCACTAAAAAGAGCAGAAACCTAAGGAACCGGATGGTTGGGAACGAAAGTTAGTCGGTGTTACCAGAGGCTGGTCGTGGCTACCCCCCTTCCTGGTTGGGAACCACCAAGTTAACAAACCTGGCAAGTGTTTGCGTTTCAAGGTAACACCCCTTCTATTAAACAACTCCTCTGGTGATTTATCGGGATTCCCACTACCCTTCGCGGAAGGAATGTCCAATTTCAAGCGGGGAATAAGCATACCCCTTGTAAGCGAATATCAAGGGCATGTTCAGGCATGGGTCTTGGAGGCATGGAGGTTAAGGGGAACGTGCTGCCTTACAAGCGTATGTTGGTGGCACATACACATCCATACCTCCAAAAGCCATACGGCCATGGGTCAAAACCCAAATCGTACCCCCAGTGAACATCCCAATCCCCACTAAAATAGACTACAATGGGTAGTGAATTCACCTACCAACCAAAATGGGATCCCATTGGTTTTGACAACCACGGCCATACCTAAAAGTGTGCGTGCGTGTCCACGAACCCGGTGCTCAGGGCTGGGACCCCACTCAGCGCCTCACTCCCTCTTCCGCCGTCCCTTGCGGGCTATTCTTACCGACCACCCCATGTGCTTCGCACTTGCCCTCATACCTCTATAGCTTGATCCCCCCTCTCCCCCAAAAACAAAAAAAAAGTTATCCCTTCTGGGCATTTTCAGAGGGAGGTGCTTCCAAGGTGAAGCTCTTGGCCCTCGTCATGGGAATGGTCTGGGGCAAGCCTGCATTAGTTGGTCCAACAAGGTGTCTTACATGGGGTGTCCTTTTTGGAAAAATAGATGGCCCTGGTCGTTGATTGAACCACCAGGTAAACTAGGACCCTCTATTTTTCAACCAAATCAACCAAAAAGGACACCTATGTGGACAATCCTTCCCGAATGTAATTATGGGGCCGGTGCACACACTTAGCAGGCAACATTACTTGTGAGTCCCGGTGTTTTGTGAGAAATTTTGTGAGCTCCCCCATGTCCTTCCCAAATGAACCATAGACTGCCAGATGTTTCGACCGAACCTCGCATGAAAACTGCTTATGGATCTGTGTCCTTTGCAGAAATCTCCCCCTTGGCATGCGTTACTGGCCTTTCGGTCAGGGGAAACACCTTAACTGGCTTGCACTTGAAAATCTCGCCCACTTCACCCTGGTTCCTTGGTACATGTGGCTACCGTACTCAGTTGCTGCGCCCAGACCGACTGAGCGGCTCATCTTGACGCGGCTCCCTTTGCAGACGAGGGGTTTTGCTTTTCTCGGGCTGGAGAACCCAAAAAAAAACCGGGAGATCGGGCAGGTGAGTTTGGCTAGATTCCTCTGATTGCGTGGCCGCTTCCGCCTGCATCCACCTGGCGGACTAGCACCGCTTCGGGGGCCTCCCTGACCGCGGGCGCACACGCGCTCACGCCCGAGCGCCCTGTCCTTCAGCATGTCCAACACCTCGTCCAGCCTCGCCTCGGGCTGCGAAAAACGTGCTGCTCCTTGTTGGGAGTTGACAATTTTGGGAATGAAACGGAAAGTGATTCCCATACATGGCCTTTTGGAAAAGTAGATGGCCCTGGTAAATGAAACAAAGCCCATCTAAACCAGTGCCAGCTTATTTTATCCAAACTAGCCTAAAGAGGACGCCGATGGTGATTCCCCTACAGGAAACCGTAGGGGACGGTGTATCAATAGGGGTCCGGGTCATGCCAATTCTCCCTCCCTATCGAGCCAGCCAGAAACAAACCAAAAAGAAACCAAAAAAAAAAGCCTGTCTGTTCAAAGCCCCCTTCCTTTGGGTGTGAAGGGGGCCACATGAAGACGTTCCCCCGTCGGCTTCCCTTCCGGTTCTGGGTGCTTTCAGACGCTGGCAGCCGAGCTCCTGGATCGCCATGTTGCGACCGCTTTCTGCCCTCCACCTTCCCCAAAAAAAACAGCAGCCGTGGCTGAACAAAACAGCAACTTGGCGATCTAGGCACCCTTTTTAAGGGTTCACTCCAAGAAACATGCCCCGAAAGGATTCCATAAAGAGCATGTTCAGGCGTTTTGAAGGTGTAGCGGTGGGAAATACTTAAGCGGTGTGGCTTCCTCACCGTTGGAAGGTTCGAAAAAGTATGACTTCCGGAGTGCTTCAAAGAAGCACTCAAACCTGCCCCTTTGCCGTTGAATTATGTTGACCCCGGATTAAGAAACCCGTCCCCTCCAGAAGTGAACCACTAAACCCACCCACCCACCGCCCCGCACACCCCAATCAAAATCAATCAGGAGTTGTATTTAATCGGGGTCAACGCTTTTGGGGAAGGAAGGAATATCAAAGAGCAATATAAAAGCGTTCCAGAGCCACTAACCCCCCCCAAAAAAAAACATAGATACAATAATAATTCAATGCAAAGCAAAAATAGGAGAAGGAAAAAAAACAAAGAAAAATACGACCGAGCCCTGGGCGTTTCTCCCACACAAAAATCGCCCGGCCTGTAGACCCTCCACCTTGCGGTCCACTTCCGCCACCCGGGAGTCGCCCTGACCGACGAGAACTGAGGCCTGGGGGGGAGGGCTTCTCGGTTCTCGGGTTCGGTGGTTGTTGTTGGTTCTTTTTGTTCTGTTTGTTGGTTTTTTTGCTGTTGTTGTTCTGTTGTTGTTGTTTGTGTGCTTTGTGCTTTTGTTGTCGTTGTTCTGTTTTGCTCCTTTCTTTTTTTCGGAGGGAAAGGTTGGGTTTTGTATAGCCCAGGAAAACCCGGACGTGTGTGGCTTGTTTTGGAGGCTCCCCCCCTTTGGCTTGCTCAAAGGAAAACCCAAAAGAACAGCCCATCCATCTTGAAGGGTCCGACGGTCTACCCGCAAAAATACAAAAAGACAAGACACCCCCTGAGATTCTGTCCACCAGATCCACAGGATCCGTCGCCTGGGTCTTTTCGCTGACCTTCACCAAGGCATCCCGCAGCTCCCGCCGCAGCTCCGAGATCTTCTCGTGGACGTTCATGTCCATGCCTGCCACGAACGTTTTCGTCCGGGCGGGAGGGGGCGGGAGGGCGAAGGGGCCTTGCGGTTGAGGGGTTTGGGAGTGGTGAAGGGGGGGGAAACCAACGTCCGGAGTGGGGAGGGGGGCCTGAGAACGTCTGGGGAATCCAGCGGAGGGCTAGGTGTGTTTGGGTGCTGTAAAAAGTGGGCGGCTTTCCCTCCGTGCGACAGCTTTGAGGTTTGAAAGGCGACGGCTTGCCTTTCCCTTTTGACCATCGCAAACAGACTCCCTGGTAATCCCCGCGCCTGGGGGAGTGCCTGTCTCCATCTATTTAGAGGGACCACCGGGAGGAGTCCACACCGGGATGAGTCCATAAGGTTCACATTGAGGTTCAAATTGCAAGGCCAACCACAAGCCATGCGGTAAGAACTTGCACGGTGTCCTTTGTTCCCTTTGCAATATTTAGGGCATCAACCCTGCCACGAGGATTCAAAAGGTCCAGCAAGACTTCTGCGCTTTGAGGCTGCGGCTGTCGTAGTCTGCCGAAATGTCGCCCCAGGAGGACGGGGCTTTCGGATGAGCATACCACACCTGAAGCGGAAAAAGGGCTCCAAAGAGCACCTCCCTCCCCCTGAAAAAATTAGAATCCGGCAAGGGATAATTGGGGGGGTGTGAAAAAAAAGAGTGTGTGTGTGTGTGTGTGCGTGTTTGAAGAAATGCCATGTTGTTTGTTTTTACTTTCTAAAGGCAAACAAAAGGAAAAACAATTCACGAGGCCTCCCCTGCTGGCTCTGCTGCAGACCTAAGGCCCCCAAAAGTCGTAAGCACCGCGTGTCCATGGAAAATTCCAACGAGTTCTGCAGCAGATACCCTCTTTGCCTTTGTTTTTTTCCTGGGAAAACTTTGGAAAGCCCAAAAAACAAATCCTTGGGGTTCGGTCCAAAATCAACGGTTTTTCCCCCTATTTTAACGGCGTTGCAACCAGCGGCCAGCTACCCCCAAAACTGGAACCTGAGAAAATACGTAAAAGAGGCAGACGTTCTTTTAGGCAAACCAAATCCAAAAACTTGGCAACACAGAAAAGCAAAAAACAATCACACTTGACTTGGAAAACAAACAAACAACAAGATGCCCAAAGGCATGAATTGCCTGAATCTGAAACCAAACTTGGCAAAACCAAACACACACACACACACACAAACACAAACACAAACACACACACACACACACACACACACACACACAAACACAAACACAAACACACACACGCACACACACACACACACACACACACACACACACACACAAAAACAAACAAACAAACAAACAAACAAACAAACAAACACCCCAACAAACACACCAACACATAACTTTCGAAAAAATGTTTGAGAACAAACTAGCAAAGTAGTGGTGTTTGAGAACAAACCCAAAAAAATGAGAAAAGAACAAGAAAAAGAAAACATCCAGTACGCCGTGGAAGGCGCGTGGTCCCGGCTGGACGCGTCCGCCACCCGTGCCCTGCGCGCGCAGGGGCAGCGACGCCAGGCTGAAGACCTGAAGAAACGCGCGCGGAGTCTGGGTGTGAATTTGAACTGGGGACCCTTTGCGGTGCAAGAAGGCGAGCATCTCAGCCGGACCGAGGTTGCACTGGGCGCTGAAATCGTGTTTTAACCTGACCGACAAGGGCTTCTCCGAAAAGAAACAAGCCCGTTTTGCGTAAGCGACCAACCCTTGGTTCGCATTTAAGGGAAACCAGAATCAGCTTCCCTTTATATAATTGGTGCTTTGGATTGGTGGTTTGGCCTTTGCTTGGGCCAGTTTAAATGCATGTCTTTTTGAGGGTAGCCCCGTCTTTGTTGTTTTTAAAGGGCAACAGAAAAATTGGAGCCATTTTGGAGCTTTACCCGCACCGTTTTAATGTGCATACGGATTCGAATGCGGACTGGAGGTTGCAAGTAAACGGTCCCCATGGGCATGGGAAATTGCAGGGCTTACAACATCTGTCCGGGCTTCGGTAGCGAATCTGCAAGGTTTTGGGAATGACTTCTCTCTCTCTCTCTATCCTTCTGCTGTTTCGTCCAAAGAATCTTGACCCGGCAAGGCCATCAAAAGGATCATGTTAACCATGGATTAGTAAACCCCTGGTTGATTTTGATCGGGGGGTGTCCCCTTTTAGTGGGGATTCAGACCACTTTTGGAGGGAACACCCCCTACAATAATGAAACGGGTCTACTTACATCCTGGGTCAACCTTACTCAAAGCAACCCAAAAAAATAAAACACCAATACCCAGCGAACATCCCAATCCAACCACTAAAATAGGTTCTCAAATGGGTGGTGCATTCACCAATCCCAACCAAAATGGGATCCGATCCAAAACGGATCTTTCACAGCCATACACCCGCGGACTTTTTGGGGGCGGTCGACAAGGCCTGGTGAAGTGTCGCTGCACAAAGCGGGACCGCTCCAGCAGGAACAAGCGCTCCCGGTGCTCCCAGCCTGGGCCGATGATGGATGCCGATGGATGCCGATGTCAAAGGCGTGGGAAAAAAAAGAGCTCGCCTTGAAGGAGCGGCAGGTATCTTTCGTGCGCCAAGAGGGAGTGAAATATATAAATATATGTATATATATGTATATATATATATATATGTGTGTGTGTGTGTGTGTGTTTGGGTGTGTTTGTGTGTATCTTTCTGTATATACATGTGCGTGCCCCAAGGTAAACCCGGACCAAATTATTGCTTTCGTGGGTTTTCGTTCTGAACCAGCCACAACAAAAGGGAGTGGGCCCAAGCCTGTCCCAACAGCCCTTGAGAGGGTTTCGAATCCAGGGGAGAGAAAGTCAACCATGTGGGACAGCCATTGCCCCTTAAGAGGGCATGTTCGTGGACAGGAGAATACCCAAACGGTTTATTTGCCAAAATGGAGTCCAAACCCAAAACGAACTCCGGACGCGAGAGGAACTAAATGTGCCGGGTGTGGATGAGGCCCATCTGGGAAATTGGAGCGCGTGCATGTGATCCAGCAAGGCGACTCTTGCGGTTTGACTTTCAGGAGAGTTCGCCATCCGGGTTTTCCACCACGCCTTGGTGCTTGAATGACCACCCCACTTGGTCAGAAACTCGTATCCCCTGTTTTCTTTCGTCCCCGTTCAACAGGAGTCACATTCCATAAAAGTGGATCGCATTTCCCCCCCCCTACGAATTGAAACAGAGCCCAAAAAAAGTGACCCGGGAGAGAGTCCTCAACAAATCACGGCTTTTGGGGTTCCCTCTGTTAATCTGAAGGTGCTAGGTCCTCCAGTAGAGAGGTTAGAATAAGCATACCCTTTATTTTGCAGTCTACTTCAGTAGGGGAACCCTCCCGAAAAAGGCTAAAAGGGCGCTACTAGGGGACCTAGGGTGCAATCCAGCCCAGATCTTCGAAGTGGGCCTCGGTTGTAGCTCTCCGCCAGCACTCCGATCAGCAGGTTCATCAGGATGATGGCCATGCTAAAGCTCATAACCTCGCCATTGCAAGACATGAAAGAGGATCAGAAGCAAAAGAACCAGAAACAAGGGAAACCCAAACCGGAAACAGGCTACTTTTTGTTGCAAACCTGAAACGAGGGAAACGCCCCGAACCGAAGGACCTTCATCATGGGCTAGCTCCCCTTACCCCTGGTGAGATCGCTATGGCTTGCCCCGCCATGATCTTGCCCATTGGCCATGGGCGCTGCCACATCAGCAAAGAAATGTGTACTGAGCGGTTGCAGGGAAAACTCTGAGGGAGCGAAAGCCTTGGCCTAGGCCAGTTGGTCGCGGCTGCAGCTGCAGCCAACCGAAAACACAGCTTGGCTGCTAAGAAGTGACATCAAAAACTAGGCCTGCTTACAGCTTGCTTTGTGAAAAAAGGGACCCTCGACATGATGGAGAAGCCCGTTCCACCTCAGATGACTAGGAGTGAATAACACCCAGTCTAAAAAGGAACAAGACTCTCGCTGGACAAGTGGGAGGAGGCACAAAATGACGCCAGACCCATCGTGGGTTTCGAGCGCTTGATCCTTGCGCGCATCAAGCAAGCGGAGAAAGCACGCTGCGTACAGTTTAAGATTGTCTCGCAAACTGAACCCTCAGAGGCTCAGAGTCCGGTATACTCATTTTGCCTGTGCATAAGTGCTAAAAACGAGATGTGTGAATCTGGTCCATATTTACCGAACATTGAATGGTGGGTCTGGGTAAAAAAATAGGTACCCAAAACGAAATCCTGGTAAGGACTAAAACCTGCGGTGACCCACTCCCCTAATTCAGGGTTATCTACCAACCAAATCTGCGGCATTGAACACTTTTATTTTCCATCTTCCGTTTGTAGCTTCTGTTGGATAACATCTTTCATGTGGCATACTATGAGAGGAGAGCCCATGCAACCCCTGGCCACCTGAGACAGGCCCAAGGCGCCATCACCACCACGTCCACCGGGAGGCTCCAGAAATTCTCCGTGCCGACGCTGGTCGGCAGCATGTCCTCCACCGCCACCTGCGGCACATAGCCAACCCAACGAAAAGGTAGGATTTCACAGATTTTTTGCGGATGGACGAAACCGCACCACCTAAGAACCGTGGAAGTTCATGGTTTGTTGGTATTTGCGGGGGGGGGGGGGGTTTTCCAAGGCAGGATTTCGCCCTTCTGTTGTTGAGGCCTTACCTGGCGCCATTGTGCCCAAACCTACTGGCTCTGCAAATGTCCCTGAATCAACCTGAGGGCCTTTTATTGGGTGGTATGTTTCCCAGCGACCCTGATCCCGTCTGAAAAACGCCGCACTCAACATCAAACAGGTTGTCAATCCTGCCAACAGTCACAACAACAAAAAAGAACAGGCCCTGACCTCCATCTCTTCAGAGAACCCGTTCGTCCCACCCCTGACTGAAGGGCAAGAATCAACGAGGCCCATTGCCGTGTGGCAACTTGTTCACCTGGACCCCTTCAAAAAAAAGCGAAGAGCTTTTCCTGGCTAGTCAAACACACACTTCCCCGAACGCTACATGCCAACCAAGATTGCATACAGACCCCCCCCAACACTGAAACTTGGCCTTTGAACCTGGTTTAGGGTTTAGGGTTTGGGGTTCGCATGATTGCCGAAGCTTATGTAAGGAGTTGGCAAGCGCTAAAGGGGCCAGCGAGCCGAAAACTGATATCAGCTGGGGGTGCAATGGAGAAACCCTATGAAGTCTCATAAAAACAACACGCACCGCGAATAATCAACGTGTTTTAGAAAAAGGTTGAATATGTGTACAGAAGGGAGAAAAATATATTCTGGACGTGCAACGGAAAATCCGAAGACCATACATAAAACCTCGTATCCCGGATAAACTACCTTTGTTTAGAAAACCAAGTGGGGTATCTGGAAGGGGGTTACATGGGCCATGGGATAACCATTGGGAACAACTAGAAAAAGATGATCTTTCCCACATGGAAAAATTACCCTTGGCCATTAAAATATTTTAAAAAAAAGGCTGGGAATATGGCTCTCAACCTCCATCTGCCTTCTTCCCAAAAGAAATCCATGCTTTTCCCTTGACCTCCGCCCCCCACAAAAAAAACCCTCCGCGCCCCCGATCGACCACCCCGACCAAACCCCGACCAAAGCGCGGCCGAACCAAAAAATCACCTCCCGCCTCCGCCAGGAAGCCCAGCTTGTACAACAGCACACTGCTGGTCCACCAGTGCTGCAGCCCGAAGCAGTAGTAGAAGTGGATGAAGGCCTTCGAGTCGCGGGCGGTGTGTGTCCTTTTTGGTTAAAAGTAGATGGGTGTCCCTGGTAGTTTTTCTTGAACCACCAGGCAAACCAGGAATCACCCAAAATATTGTTCAACCAAATCAACCACAAAGGACACCTATGCTTCCAAGTGGAAACCCCAACAAAAGTCACCGCGGCGGTTTGTCGGTGTCCGTTGCGTTCCCCCCCCAACTCCAAATACCCTCGCATTTTCTGGTTGGCATACTTATTGAAAACACGTGCGTTCTTCGTGGCAAGTACCTCTTTCGTTTAGTCAGGGGTCAACGCGATACCCTTGAAAAGGCGGGCATTTGGAGTAGAGGGTGTGTTGCCGTTGTGCTGTGTTTCCGTGTTGTGTTTCCCTGTCCGTTGTTGTTTTTTACTTGCTCAGGCACTACCTGGCTACCACTTTAGCCTCTCCATCCAGGGTCCTATACCTCAAGGAAAACCTCGCACGCACCGAGTTCCAGCCCAAACCGAGAAAGGTAGAAAAGGGAAAGGCAGCAATCCACGGGGCTTGCAAAACCCGAATTCTTGCTGGTGCTCAGTAGGGAATGAGGGAATGAATCCAGGGGTCCCTGAAAGGAAACCACAAAGGATGGTTTATAGGGGTCATTTCATTTCTCATTCCCTCTGAGCACCAGCAAGAACTGTTGAACACATTCTCTCAAAAAGCACCCATCCCCCTGAACAAACCTCCCCCCACCATTCATGGCACACAAAACCCGACTTCTCCCCCTGAAAAAGCTTTCTCAGGAAAGGACCGACCCGACCCGCCGACCCGGTCGGCCCGCCCGTCGAAGAGGCTTTTTGCGTTGCTCTTCTCGGGGCCAAGGGGCAGCGAACCAGCAGAAGATCACGAAGAAAAAGGGGATCGTTGCGGGCACCGCCTTGCACCGAAGCTTTCGCCATCGGATCGATCCCGCGTGCAGTTTCGCACCGGTGACCGGGGTGGGGGGGATGCGATCCGAATGCCTTGGATCCAAACCAGGCCGTCGGAGCCGATTTGTTTTCGCACCGGGGAGTCGCGGATCCAAGCCGTTATAAGCTCTGCTTAGATTCTTGGATGCTCAACCAACTTAGTAATCAATATGTCCCAGCATGTAGCTCAAACCACTAAGCCGGAACATCTAAGTGGAAGCATCCCCAACAGCCACGGAACTGCCCGCAACCGCCCGGAACCTCCGAACCTCCCCGCAACCCTCCACAAAACCACCCCCAGAATTCGAAGGAAACCACAGAAAGCACTGAAAGCACATCCAAAACACTTTCTAGACCATCTGAAACTGCACGGAGCTGAAAAAATGTGCACGGCCGATCTGCTCAGCATAAACCATGGCAGCCAGCAAAGATGTTGGTAGGAATGCTTCTCTGTGGGACCAGGAACAACCCATTGCCGGAACCTTTCACAAACTTCCCGCAAGTCAAGATGCAACCCAAAGGAGATTCCTCTACACATCACGGCTTCTGCCATCCCTGCTGCGTGGGGAGGCAAAACAGTCTAAACGGTGGACCTGCTTTTTTGGTTTGCATTTAAAGGGGACCAAAAGGAAACCAACCATTTGGTGATTTCATGTCATTCATATTATGTTTATTGATTTTATAAAATGTGGTACGATTGGTTTCAACAAAACAAACAATTCAATTCATTTTTCAATGGTTCAAACTAAAATTCATTTACAATCGTATTACATTTGAAAAGAAAGGATATATCTACCAACATGTTATGAAGTTAAAACAGTTTTACATTATTTTCAGATTGGTTTGGTTTATATTGTTTTGGTAGGATATGTCTATGATTTTGTGGTGTTTTCTTATTTGATGACTTTGTATCGTTGTTTTGGGGTATATAACTATTATAATTAGTATTAAATTGGTATGGTAGTTTTATGTGTATATATGTATTTGTATATATTATAATATTTTAAGAATTATACTTATTTATGATTTAACTGAGTTCAAGTTCTATGAATAAATATAGACTAGCAAATATAACTATCTTGGTAAAACATATAAATAGAATCCTAGTATAATAATAGCTTTTATTATGAAAATAGCAATGCAGCAATTAATACCCATACCAAAATCCAAACAGCAAATACAAAAAAATCAATGTCACTGTTATCTTTATATTATATATATATATGTGTGTGTGTGTGTGTGAGGGTGCAGGTTTTGAGAACCCTTCCCGAAAAGCGTTCTGTTCTAACCGACAAGCCATTCCCAACAGGTTAAAACCCCTCAGATCGCCTGCAGGATGGGCAGCATAGGCTTGCCCGTGCTTTCGAAGCCCTTCAGAGCGTTCAGCACCTGCCACCGGGCTGCCACACGGCCACACATGGGTCTGTGATTTTTGATGGGTCCAAAAGGCTCCTTTGGTGGGCATCAAAATTCGGTGGGGATCCACGTCCTCCAACCACTTCAAATCACGGCCATATGGGGAGCAAGTGAACCGACCCACATCCAACCACAGAATCCTTTGGTTGGTCGCGCAGTAGGCGAAGGTGAACCACATCCAACCCAAAAAAAAAACCTTTTCCCAAAAAAGAATTGCAAACATTGGCCCAAACAGATCTGAATAGGGACTCCGGTTCCCAAACTAGGCAGCATTAACATAAAACAAGTGCAGTGCACCCAACCAGGTCCAAGCGCAACTTGTCTTGGGCGTTTGGTTGTTGGTGTCATTGAGGAGTAAGCCACCTAAGTAGGAAGCCAGGACAAATTGGAGGCTCGGGCAACTCAATATGAAGTGAACTAACGACGTCCAACCACAGGACCCTTTGGGTGGTTTTAACTGCACATGTTGGCTCCATTTGGTGGCTGGTGATATTGAAAGGGCAATACACATCCATCCACAAAACCTGGGTAAAGTGCACGGGCTGTCAACCTTACGGGCCTCTGGTCAAATAAGCGGCACAATGAAAATCTCCTTACGTTGGCTTGAGACTGGGTTACCCTCTCATTTGTTTTTCTGTTCTTTTCTTATTTGTTGCATTTTTGAAAAGCCATCTTGCAGTTCCCTATTGTGAGCTCAACCCAGCTCAAAATTCGGGGGATCCTCAAAATGGGAGGGGGTGGTGGTCCATTTAGGTCCACCAAAAGAACCAACCCCAAAAGGGGACCAACTCAAATCACAAATCCGGTGTCGTCCTGTTGTTCCCCCTGAAAACCGAGAAAAAAAAGTAGAAAAAAAGAAGGAGGAAAAAAAACAGGGGGGGGGGGGGGGGGAGACACAAAAAAAACGGGGAAAAAATAGGCCCCCCAATGTTTGCTGCGGCGCCCACAGCCACCGAGCGAAGCCCGCAGAGGCAAACACCAGCCTCAGAGCTCGGGGGGGGGGGGGGGGACCCTTTTTCGTGGCTTGACAAAGAAACCGGCGGGAAAACCACCAATGTGTTAGGGATCCCCAAAGAAAGACGGACCCATCGCTCTCTTTCTCTCTTTCTCTCTTTCTCTCTTTCTCTCTTTCTCTCTTTCTCTCTTTCTCTCTTTCTCTCTTTCTCTCTTTCTCTCTTTCTCTCTTTCCCTCTTTCTCTCTTTCTCTCTTTCTCTCTTTCTCTCTTTCTCTCTTTCTCTTTCTCTGCTCATCCAGATCAGGGATGCGAACACCTTCCACATGCAGTTCATTGCCCTGCCTTTTTCCCCCGCACTTTTGGAGCGTACGGAAAGAGAGAGGCCGAGCCGCACTTTGAGGGGTCAAAATCTGGGGGAGGCGGCGCTTTCAAACCTAGCCACGTTTCAGCACACAGACTGCTCACAGTTGCTCCAGCGACCGGTATCAAGTTGATCTGACCCAAAAAAAGATCGGAAACCAAACCGATGTTCTACCCAAGTCGGAGGGAAACAGGTTGGCTTGTTTGCACACAACCTGTTTTGCACAAGGGCAATTTCTGCCACAAGGTTGGTTTGGATTCTTTCCCCGGAGCCGAAACAAGAGTGGTTCTGGGCTTGGCACCCTTCATTTGAAGTGTAGCTTTATATACAGCTGAACGGGAAAGCCGAAGAAAATCAATTGGGAGCACCCCTCCCGATAACTTCAGATTGATCTCGTTCCCCTTTGAAAATGTGTTACGTGTTGGGGGGTTTCTTTGACTAGTAAGATCCTCTTTTTGGTTACTCCAAAGTTGACATCATAACACGCCCATTGCTCTTGGCTCCATTTGCACAAGAACAGCGCAATACATTGTCACTTGTACAAGGTTCCCTTTGAAACCCGCCAGGCGCAAAGCATGAAGACAAAGAACAAGCCCAAGTGGAAGTTCCCGTTAAGATGACACACATGTCCTTCTGCGAATGGAACGTTCCCTCTAAAACAACCCGAGGTGAAACGGGCGCTTCGGACGCCGCAAAAAGCGAGGCGCTGCAGGGCGTGGTTGCTTTGGAACTCCTCCCAGGCCGTCATCAGACCGATGAGGCTCACGGCAGTGCTCGCCACGCGGAAGGCGTTCCCTGAACGCCAAGCCCACGAGGTGGTGTTTTGTTTTGTGTTCCTGTTGGTTCGTTCTCCTTCCCAAACCAAAAACCCTCAATCAAAAATCTATGCGACCAACCAAGGATTACCTTGTCCTTTACTGTTGGCTGGTCTTGCCTTTGATCAGAGTACGTTGTTCCACTGAACCCTCTGGAAACTTCTAACCCTTGGCATGGGCAGGCAAAACAGCGTTCTTCTTTGCATCAAACTACGAAAAATGAAAAGAACCCCCCGGAGGAGAAAGAAAAAGAAAAAAAGAAAAAAAACATGCCAACGGCAGTGAAAAAAATCAGGCAGCTGAACCCGATTTTAGGGTTGGGACGAGAAAGCTCCTTCCGGGTTGTGTGGAGCCTGTGTGGAGCCCGGTGGCTTAGAGTTCCAGGAGTGGTTGCATCCACATCCAAGCAACAAGCTCACTCCACAAAATGAGGGGAACCTGATTTTGTTGGCTCCGTCCTTTTGGTGGCTTGGGGGGTGCAAAACGGTGAAGATGCACAACCACCTTCTGCCTCCCCATGAAAAAAGAGGGCCATCCTCTTCATATGCCCAGGATCTGGCTTAAAGCTTTGGCCCAAGCCTCATCCCGCCCCCAAGGAAAACCCGCCATAACCCAAGCGAGCCGCCCGCAAAGTGCAGCGACAGGATGTGCTGCCGCAGGCGGCCGTGCATGCAGTGGCCCATGATCTCCAAGACCTCGTGGCCCACCTTCCGGAGAAGGATCCTCAGGAGACCAGGAAACCACTTGGCTTGTTGGGGGGGTCCAATCTGGCATTTGCTCCTCAGATGTGCTATAAACATGGGGGGGGTCCGATTTTGTGCTTGTTCCGATTAGGTGGTTCAGGACCATATACAGAATACCAGGCTGGGGCCCCTCGTGCCCAGCATTGGATGCCCAAGGAACCAACCAGCGCTACCCAACTTGGGAATGTTGGGGAGGGGGGAGATTTTTGTGGTCGTCCAAGTGGGGTGATCAAATATTTTGAGATCCCTTTCGTTCTTTGGCAAAGGGGTCCATGTCTTCCATGTGAGCCAAGGTGTTTCAAATTTGTTGGGCAATGTTGGTCTTGAACACGTGGGATGACATGATCTTGCAAACTGCTCATCACTTCCTGATCCTGATGTTCAATGGGTTCCTCATTCATCCGTTGGGTTTTGATTCAGAAAGGCCCAACGGGAGGCGCGGGGCAACTAATGAAACAAATGCCGAAAGGAGCAATCAGCTTCCCCAGAAGCCTTGCGGCACAAACAAAATTTGCCCGAAACCGCTCCTCGGGCCGAAGACCCTAAACCCAAATTGGAGGAAGAGCGACGTTGCCCCCAGCCCCCTGGAAAGGTTCTGAAGGAACCTTCTGCTTTGCCCTTTCTGGGTCAAAGGCTCGGAGAAACATTCACCAACCTGGGAGCTCTCGCAAGGTAATGGAGCCCCAAAATAGGGCTGGACGCCCAACAATGATCTATCTTTTGGGAGGTACTGTGACCCCCCCCCAAAAAAAAAAAAAAAAAAAAAAAAAAAACGGCGAGTTTCCTCTTGGTGTCCCTTTGAGCCCTGAAAAGAAGCCCTGGGGCCTCACACGCTACCCAAGTTCAGATTCATCCCAAGTCTCAAGATGTTTTTGTTCTTTTTTTCTCTGATAAATCCCGAAGTGGACAAACCACCAACTTTGTCCTTGTGGTCCGCCGGCCTTCCGAGGGCAATGCCGGGGTGGGGTTCCATGCTCACTTACGGTTTAATTGGGGGGGGAAGGGGGCCATGTCTGCCAGTCTTCTATTCAACTCTCACCTCTCGTTTCGGCCCCCCCCCCCACAGAGAAAAAAAAAAAAAAAACGACCTCCGACCTCCGGTCCGCCGCAACCGCGCCGAGGCGCACCGAGCCGACAGCCAGGCAGGGCCACCGCAGCCACAGCGCCCGCTGCATCTCGGCGTCGTGCAGAAGAAGCGCCAGCAGCGCGAAGATCACCGCCATCAGCGTGTCCTGAGCAGGTGGCTGTTGATGACCACTCCTAAGCAGGTGAGTCATAATCAAAACCGATCGGTACAAAAATGATGAACCCAGAACCGTCTTGGCAATTGAAAAGGCGGATATCCGCAAGCATTTATGGCGGGGAGTGCCCCTTTGCCTCCCTCGCCAAACAAACGAACCAGAAGAGCAATGTGGGTGATTGCCAGGAACTTGGACTCGCGCTGGGGGCGTCAAACCCCCCCACATCTTGTGGGAAATACTGCGCTGTGGAACGGGGCCCCCGAACAAAGAATCAAATGGAACGGCAAATAGTTGAAGGAATGGCATGTAGAAAAAAACACAAAACACGCGACATCCAACGCAAACCCCTATTTAAGGAGTTCAGGCCAGAGAGGGTGTCATCAAATTTCTAACCAGCTGTTTGCCTCTCCGGAGTCAAACATCCCCTGGAACCCCAGAACCCTGGGTTGATATGGATTCAAATCCCCCGCAACTGGTGGGAGACATATCGCGAATGGCTCTGCGAAAAACCTGAAACCAATACGTTCGTTGGCATTTGCAGGGGGAATCGTGGGGCCTTTGACGATGCAGGATTCTGTCCATCCACAGCATGGTACGTGGAGCAACTGTACTGGATTTATCCCCTTAATTACTAGAGGTCAGCAACGGAGGAAACTTTGCTCAATCAGTTTGATTGATTCCTCACAATGGTGATGTCTGTCTTGATTTGTTCTGATTATAGTGGATAGCTAGGGTGGGATGTCCTCAAATGTTCACTTTGGTCCCATCTAAAGGAGAAATACAGGGAACCGGGCCCCCAACAAGAAGACAATGGAACAGCAGCACTGCTCAAAGGAACGTCGCGTAGACAGGCTAAAACAGCAGAAATCCAAGGCAAACCCTTTTTGAGGGGTAACTGCGGATGAACGAAATGCTCACATAAGAGAAAGTGGAAAACATCTGGCCAGCAAGTCTAAGCGGGGCATTCCAGGATGCCATACGTTACCAGCAGCCTTACACCATTCAAGAACCTGAAAAATGTGTTTCGAAATTTGCCAGCAGGGGAGTTGTCAGGCATGTCACCAGCAGGCATTAAACCTCACAATCGGCAAGCCAAGAGTCCACTTCAAAGGGAAGGGAAATATCGTGGCAAATTAGCATTCCCATGGAGAACAGGGAACCCCCCCCCACGCGGTACAGTAGTACAGGGCCTTCAGCCTGGCTGAGTTCACTAAACTTTACCCAGTTCGAACAGCTCCTCACGATTTGCCCAGAAATGATGATCTGTTTGCAGCCCGCCCCTGGCAAAATTGTAGTAGGGCGGTCTGCATCTCCCATTCTCAAAATCAAAGATACTGTGGATGGACGACCTGCACACCACCTAAGAATGCTTAAAAAAAAAATGAGTGTTGTCCTATGGTGTAAGGGCGAAATCCAGCCACAGCATGGAACCCCCGAACAAAAATACCTTTCACCGAAACCCCAGGATTTTGGACCCCCAACCTGCTTGAAGAACCAAAGCCTCTCGGTGCATCAGGCGGTATCCCATTATCCCGACACCGGAGCCTCAAGCCCTGAACCACGCGCTTCTTTTGGCGACTCCGTAGCTTCCAGCTGTTGAGACAAAATAGGTGTCTCCAACTTGTTTCCTCAACAGCCCCGCCCTCCCTGAAAGCTGCCACAAACCACCTCGCAGTCACCTACCTGATTAAAAAAAAAAGGAAGAAACACAAACAAACCTTGCCAGCAAAACGGGGATCCGCCAGTTCCGAAAAGGAACACGACACCCATAAAGGATTCGCCGCACGAGGCGCCACGATGAGGGCCACGGTGTGCGCCAGCTCCGCCTCCTTCCAGGCCACCTGGCTTTCCGGACACTTCCCAGCTTCGCCCCCTGGGGAGATTTGGAGCCGAATCGATGGCTTGGAGGGAGGTGCAGGGAAAGCTGCCCGTCTCGCGAGTCAAATCCAAATCCACACCAATCCGGCCACCGGGTTTGTGGAATGGAAGAATGCTCTTTAAGCATTTTATGTTTTGTTTTGTTTTTGTGTGTGTGATTTCTGCCAAGCCCAACCAATGCTGCACCTGAACTGGCCCCAACGAAGAAACAACCAACTCAAGCGAACCAAACCCCAAACGCCAAACCCCAAACCCCAAACCCCAAACCCCAACAAACCCCAACCCAACAACTTCCCCTTGGAGCCGCACCCATCACCCAAACCGACACCCGCGAAACCTCTGACAAAATCCGCCTGGATGATCGCCCGGGCGCCGCGCTGGTCGAAGATCCGGTCGTTCACGCCGCAGGACAGGACCCAGAGCACCTGACAGGAACCCTCAGTGGCGGTTTGGAGCCAAATCGGTCCTTTGGTGGTCATCTGGGGTGGGTTCCCACCAAGAAACAGGGATTCAAATCTCTAACCCAAACCACCAATTCATCCCTCCCTGGTGGGAAACTGAGGGAAAACAAATCATCATCCAAACCACCAGCTAATCAGCTTCCTTCCATTTCCCATTTACCCTCTACAAGAACCAGGGGTCCAAACTAATCCAAGCCATCAATTCAGGGACGTGTGATCATGTCCGTGTTTGTGTGGTGACGGTTAACATTCAACCACAACTCGCTTGCTCAAAGGATTTTGGGTACCTTACTAAAGAAACATGGGCCAAGAGGGAAAGCCAAAAGGTCAAAGGCCGGTTGCGGCCAACTAAGCTTTGGGGTGGCCATGACGGTACCATGCACCCGGGACTTGGATATATACCAAACTCACCGTTTGGCAATGGGCAAAGACCTGAGATGATCCCAAATGTTGATCAACGCCTTGCCGGCGCCAAAGCCATCCACCAGCCAAGACAGGCGTGGCAAAACAGCCCAGGGCCCGGAAAAAGTCTCAACTTCTTCGTTGACTACCAAGATATTCTTTGCAAATAGTATGAAGTCCGGGAACCGAGGAGGTGAGCTGTTTTGCAGTGTTTTGTTGGTTGCTTGTTCCCCCTCCCCCCCTACGGTACGCTTCAACTTCTGGGGGGTTCATTCCTCCGAAAGGGAAGCCCCTCGAGGCCGAATACCAGGCTCATCATTGCTCCTTCTGGAAAATCAATCCCATTTTCTGGTCCAGAGTCCGATCTCCAAGATCAAAACTGGTGGTTTTGTCTTTCAGGGAATTGTTTTCCAGTAGTTTGGTGTACTTTTTTCCAGTTTCCCTTTTGTAGAGGCTTACACTGCAGATCTTGTGGTTTGGGGCTCTAGGGTTGGCTTAGGGATGTCTAGGGCCCATTTAGGTTTAGGGTGGGTTTAGGGTGGGTTCAGGGTTGGTTTAGGGTTGGTTTAGGGTTGGGTTTAGGGTGGGTTTAGGGCTGGTGTAGGGCTGGTTTAGGGCTGGCTTAGGGTGGGTTTGGGGTGGGTTTAGGGTGGGTTTAGGGGTTGGTTTAGGGTTGGTTTGGGGTGGGTTTAAGGTGGGTTTAGGGTTGGCTTAGGGTTGGTTTACGGTGGGTGTAGGGTGGGTTTGGGCTGGGTTTAGGATTGGTTTGGGGTGGGCTTAGGGTTGGTTTAGGGTGGGTTTAAGGTGGGTTTAGGGTGGGTTTAGGGCTGGTTTGGGGCTTAGGGTGGGTTTGGGGTGGGCTTAGGGGGGTTGAGGGTTGGTTTAGGGTGGGTTTAGGGTTGGTTTAGGGTGGGTTTAGGGTGGGTTTTAGGGTGGGTTCAGGGTGGGTTCAGGGTTGGTTTGGGGTTGGCTTAGGGTGGGTTAGGGTTGGTTTGGAGCTGGTTTAGGGTGGGTTTGGGGTGGGTTTAAGGTGGGTTTAGGGTGGGTTTAGTGCTGGTTTAGGGTTGGCTTAGGGTGGGTTTAGGGTGGGTCTAGGGCTGGTTTTGGGTTGGGTTTAGGGTGGGTTCAGGGTTGGTTTGGGGTTGGCTTTTTTGGTGTGGGTTTAGGGTGGGTTTAGGGTTGGTTTAGGGTGGGCTTAGGGTGGGCCTAGGGTTGGTTTGGGGTTGGCTTTTTTAGTGTGGGTTTAGGGTGGGTTTAGGGTTGGTTTAGGGTTGGTTTAGGGTTGGTTTAAGATTGCTTTAGGGTGGGTTTAGGAGTGTGGGTTTAAGGTTGGTTTAAGGTGGTGTTTCTACGCAAATGCAGTCGTATGGGGCGGCCGCATGGCTCAGATTGCGTTGGCACCGAAAAATGTGGCTGGCTGGCTTGCTTGCTTGCTTGGGACCGTGCTTGCTTGCTTGCTTGCTTGCTTGCTTGCTCGCTTGCTTGCTTGCTTGCTTGCTCGCTTGCTTGCTTGCTTGGGCCCGTGCTTGCTTGCCTGCTTGCTTGCTTGCTTGCCTGCTTGCTTGCTTGCCTGCTTGCTTGCTTGCTTGCTTGCCTGTTTGCTTGCTTGCTTGCTTGCTTGCTTGCTTGCTTGCCTGTTTGCTTGCTTGCTTGCTTGATTGCTTGCTTGCTTGCTTGCTTGCTTGCTCGCTCGCTTGCTTGCTTGCTTGCTTGCTTGGGCCCGTGCTTGCTTGCCTGCTTGCTTGCTTGCTTGCCTGCTTGCCTGTTTGCTTGCTTGCTTGCTTGCTTGATTGCTTGCTTGCTTGCCAACTTGCTGGCTTGCTTGTTTGCTTGCTTGCTGGCTTGCTTGCTTGCTGGCTTGCTTGCTTGCCTGCTTGCTTGCTTGCTGGCTTGCTTGCTTGCTGGCTTGCTTGCTGACCTGACCGGAAAAAAATACACCAAAAAACTGGAAAACAATTCCCTAGAAAATAGGGGTGCCGATCAAAACCTGCCCAGGACTTCTTTCCCTTGGGGAAATGAACCACCCAGAGCTTGAAGCCTACCTTGGGCGCTGACCCCGTCCCGTCCCGTCCCGACCCGACCGCCAAAAAAAATGAGAGAAGAAAGAAAACACAAAAAAAAAAAGAAAAAAAACACACAAAAAAAAAAGCCGCCTCGGGGTTCCGGTGCAAGCCCGGCAGGAGGCACTGGAACAGCTCCACGGGGATCTGGCTCTGCCCTTCCGGCGCCCGAGCTGCGCCGATGGGCCGATGGAGTTCCATGGGCCGCTGGGCCGAAAAGTTCACAGAAGGACTTGGCTGCAACGACCAACCCCTGCAAAAAGTGGGCCACTTTTTGGGGGGGTTGAGTGGAAGACACCACGTGATTTCAACCGAAAAGTTGAAGTCTAAAGATCCGTTGCCCAATAGAAGACCAAATGCGAATGCCTGGATCGCCAGTTGCGTTTTGCACTTTGCCCCAAACGGCAACTTGGCTATCTAGGTGGATTCTAATGGGTCCAGCTTAGAACCCGAAATGGCGGACGTCATTCAGGGGATTCATGTCCACTCCGCCCTAAGCGTCGCTGGAAGAACCCGAAATGGCGAGGACATTTAGGGGCTTTATATACGCCCATGTTTGGGGGTGTACCAACCATTGAAACTCATACCCAAATGGGACACTGGTTGAAAAACCACGTTTTTTCCAAGCCCTCCATTTGTGCTACTTTCTTGAGCTGGGTTTGCTCAACCCCTTCTAAAAAGAGCGGGGTCAATGACTATGTGGGCAGAGTTTAGGCTCGCCATGCAGCCTGCCGACTGGCTCCCCTGTAAAAGGGAACCCTTGAATTTCTATGCTCAAGCGACAACCCCGGCTTCAACCAGGGTTTGCCACCCCATTGCTGAGCCCTCAGCAAACGGATCAGAACTCTGATCGGTAGCTCCGAGAGACTCCCTCTTGACCAAATTTGCATACCCCCCAATTCCTTGGTTCCCGTCCAACCACCAGGTAGGAAACCACAACAATTTTAGGGGGCGATTTGGGACTCTCTTTTTGTGGGATTCGGGATTCTTTTGAAAACCAACCAAAAGAGAGGTTTCCAAAAATAAATCCGACGAATCCATTTCACGCTTACCGCCCTTATCCGCCCTTCTTTCTTTTGCCCCGCCTGGTAGCTTCTCGAAGCGGTGTGGCAGAAGAGACTCCAGGAACCGCTCATCCAAATGGTCCTCCTCCTCCTGTATAGGGGGGAGCTTGGAAGACGGCCCTCCAGAACAAGAAGGAAACTTGTGCTTTTTGAGGGCTTTTTCTTTTTCTGCTTGATTCACCTATTTGCCCCCCCCCCCATTTTAATACGTACCTATGCGCTTGTAAGGAATCACCCAAATTTGGAACGTTTCTGCTTGGTTCCATGTGGTCAGCAACCATGGTCACCAATGCCATGGCCGTAAGTTCTGGAGGAGAGTTTGCCCTCACTCTCTTCTGTCAGGGAAGGGGGAATACACCATTTCCTCTCCAAAGGAATTCCGCGGGTCAGGTCTTGGGACAAACCCTCACCCTGCGAACCTCCCCATCCCTCCTCCCCGAGGTTGTCTCGGGACGCCGCCGCGCGCTCCATGACTTGCAGGAACTGCTTCTCGAAGTGGTCCCGCGTGGGGCCCACTGCCACGTTCATATCCCCATGCAGCACCTCGTCGGCAGATGCGGTGGCGTTTTTTTCTGCGATTGAAGTGACATCCTCAAAGCGACCCTCCCACTAAAAGCGGGAAAGCAGGAATCTGAAACGGGAAAGGAGAGGACCATCTTCAACCCGCCCAAAAAATGTGTGAAGCAACGAATCTCATTCTTCTTGTTGGGGTCCGGATTTTCCACCCGCCTCCATTCACCGAAAGCGTGCCAAAATGGGAAAAAGCCAAGAAGCCAAAAGCGTGAAGATGTAAAGCAAAAACAAAACTCCTATTTGTTTCTCCCCCCGGGCGAGGCGCATAGGCGGTGCGCCAAACCAAGCGCTTCTCGCCCCGCCAACTCCTCAGCTCACAGGGCGAGAAGGCCGCCGGCACGATCTCCTCCGCGTCCGGCGTGGCCAGGAAACGGATGAAGTCCTGGAGAGAGACTTGGTGAAAGGGCGCAAGCAAGAAGCGACGGGTTGATGCTGCTACTGTGGATGGACCAAATCTTGCACCACCTGAGAAACCCTTGAATCATGAATCCCTTGTAAAACCCAACCAACACTGGTGTCCTATGGTTTGGTGCAGGATTTCGTCCGTCCACAGTATGTTGAATACCCGCAAAAGCCGCAACCAAACCAAATAAAGCAACTTTGAAAGTAGCCTGACAATTATCACCTTACATTGAGCAGAAGAGAAATGGTCGAACCTCCGTTTGCTTCTTTTTTTCCTGGAGAGAATGAGAAGATACGACCAGCGATTGCTTCCCTTAAATCAGACAAAAACCAAAAAAAAAACAAGTCGTCTTGGATCCATACCAGAAAAATTCTGGAAAAAGAAATCAGGAAATTGTCAAACCCCCAAAGGATTCTGAAGTTTCCCTGCAGGCTTTGACTCGGCTTCCTGATGCCATCGGAACCCAGTTGGCCGGTTGATTCATATCACCCCGGTCGCCATTTGCAACCATCTGGCCCACCCACCGTTTCGGGATATCTGGGGTGATCATCCAAATCCCTCTTTTTGATGGGCGCATGGTCACTAAAGGAAATCCACCAAAACAAATTCCCATCAAGAGCGATGGATGAGAAGCAATGGGGCCGGTCTCAACATGCGGTACTCTCTTTCTTCATGGTTTCCATTTGTTGTTCCCCTTTTTGAACCCATTTTTGAGGGCACCAAAAAATCAGATTTCCCTCCAGAAGTATAGCAGCCGTCCACCGCACAACTTGTTCAGCTACCCCCAAAGGCCCGAAGGCTGCTCCCCCACGGTGCTTTCCTCCATTTTAGGTTCTTAAAAATATATCCACCCCTTTTTGCGCTTCACTTGTCCCAAAAAAAACTGGGCCCCGTCAACGAGGGAATACACCCGGGATTGTCTCCTGAACCCCTCAAAAAAACACCGGGAGAAAGCCCAAAAATCCTGGGGCAGCCCTCAAAAAACACCGGGAGAAAGCTCAAAACCCAGCAGGGGGGGGGGGGGTCCTCCCTCCCCTCAGCCCCCAGCTCTCCCCAAACCCTCTCTCCCGGCTCGACGACTCGAATCGCTCCCAAGTCGACGGCTCGAATCCGAGCTCGACGGCTCGCTCGAATCCGCCTCCACGGTGCTGAGCTCCATCTGCCCCCCCAGCTTCAGCCCGGTGGCGGCCGCCGCCACCAGCACCGAGTTGTTGGCCTCGAACAAGTAGTCCACCCCCCGCCCCTCCTGCCACCCCGCGGGCAAAAAAAAACGTCGGCCCCTTGAAACAAGCCGGGGACAAAAGAAAAACCGGGCCTGCAAAGCGGGCCAAAAAAGCGGGGGACCTTTTGGTGGAGTTGGAGGGGGAGGGGGGGGGCAAAGTGGCCTTTTGGGGAAGTCCAAACCAAGACACCGAAACGCCAGGCTCGATGGCAGGATAGTTGCTTCGCGCCTCTCTTTTGTATGGGGGGCCAAGAATCAGGTAAACCCGGCTTGAGGGCTTTGAACCCCTAGTGCTTGAGGGAAGCTACCGCCTAACCTCCAAACCGCCAATCCAAACCACCACTGAGAGGAGGAAGCTGAAACAAATGTCATGTTTGGACACCCGCAACTTTGGGCAAGCAAACCTGTAGCCCGCGCGGGGTGCCCCGAAAAACTGTCATTGCCCCAGTAAAAGCGCTGGTGGAACCCAGAACCTTCGGCCAAGTTTCGCATGACCAAACGCACCAACCCCAAACCGCCCGCGCATCCCCCATTTTGCAGCTTGCAAGTGGGTTCATGGGATGCTGAACCTTCACAGGACCTAGGGCTTGGCATGGGAATGGATCACCCGAACCGGGCCCGAACCCCCAAAAAAAGACTTGACCAGCCCGCCCCAACTGGCATCTACCAGTTGGAGTGATGAGGCCGGGCCGTGAGGTGAGGGGGGAGACACGCCAAGTTCGCAGACGCTTCCCGCCGACGCGACAGCCACCCGCCTCACCCGAGAAGATATCCGCTTTGCCTTCCGGCGAGCCGTGACTTCGAGACACGGTCTGTTCATAGCAAAGCTTCGCGCACGGGAAAAACCGACCAGGCAAATCAACAACAGACATATTGACAGATCTGACCGCCAAGCCCCAAGTTCGGTCCGGTCCCTTGGCAGGTGCCCACGGGCATGTCCGCTTCCAGCACTTAGGTCAGACTTCTGGTGAGTTCACCCCCGGGCACGGATCAAAGAGGACATGACTTGACGAAGTATCCCAACTTTCCTTGTGGTAAGTTGAAAAGATCCAAAGGGTCAAATGAAAAAAACTGGCCTAGAGCGTGTCCAGCTCAGGGTCAAGTTTCTCCCCGGAGCCAACCCGGTGATTGGACAGTTCGATTTCCAACCACCTTTCCAGCCACAAGGCCGTACCCCTTTTCCTTGGTGGTATACCGCAAAATGTTCGACCGCGGGATCCACCTTGCAAACTTGCAAATTGGTCGGATGCATCTCCGGAAAATGAAGGATCAAAGTCAACCAGTGGCTAATTCTATACTTGATCTAATCTCTAAAATGTCGGTCCGGGTTGATAAACCCCTATTATATAATAAAGCGGGGTCCCCGCAAGTGACGCACCCCCACTTTCAGCAAAAAAGAAAAAAAAAAAAAAAAAAAAAAAACATCTCTCAAAATCAATCAGGGCTTCTGCCAACTCCGGGTTCCCATTTGCTCCAAAGGGGATCTTTTCGGCAAAGCATTGCCCAACTGGCAAATCTGAGCGAGCTGGAGCTAGCGGTGATTTTGTTTGGAACCTCAGTCCGGTCCGCCCAGGCGCCCAGGCGCCCACAAGCACCCCCGCCCGCAAAACCCCTCCCTAGCCTTGCACCAGGAGCTTCACCACCTAGCTGGGTCTCGCCCAAGCCGAAGCGAATCGAACCGTGCCCGCTTCGGGGTCTCAAAATGGGGTGAGCCTCAAACTTGTGGGGGGTGGGGGGGTGTTCCACTTGGTTGCCCTTGTTCCCTTTTTCACTTTGAATGAAACTAGACCAAAAAGAGCACCAACCCTAAAAAATACACAACACTTCAGGGAACTCTGGCTTGTAAACAAACAATGCCCCTTTCAAAAGTAGACTTGAGGCCCAGCCAAAACCCACAAAATGCGCCCCAGACCCTGGTAATCCCGCATCCCTTCCCCCCGCCCACAAAAACATAATAACTGAAGTAGGCAGTTGAGAATGTTGAGCTTCCATCTCTGTCACAAGGTGCCCTCTTGGAACGGAGTCGGAATGCCTTCCAATACAACAAAAAGCGACGGGTAGAGAGGCCGAGTTGACGTTGTGACTGTGGACAGGGTTCCACTCGATTTGTAGGAGTGTTATTTTCCCTTGAGGGGGGTCTGAGAGTTGTGGAGTACGACCTGCTACCCTCCCAACAAGACATGGAAGCGCGCTATCATTCAAAAACAATAGTTTACATCTTCGAAGGGGTCGCAAAGGTCGCCCACGTATGCGTGAGGGACAAAGTGCGCCCAACCCGTCTCGAACGGAAAATAGATGGCCCGGGCAAATGGAAACAAAAAACCCATCTAAACCAGTGGAACCCATCTACTTTTAACCAGGCTCGCCTACAAAAAGACCCCTATGGTCTCGAATCGACACAACCCATTCGAGGCCCAAGCGCCCCCGGATGGCCTCCACGTGGCACCCGTCCACCGCGTCCTTCAGCTCTGGCGGCCCACCACACGCGGCCGGGTGGGAGATCTGCGCCTTCGCCGTCAGGAGCACCCGCACCACCTGGCTCTCTCTCTCTCTCTCTCTCTCTCTCTCTCTTCTCTCTCTCGCCGCGGGGGGGGGGTCCACCGCATGCCGTTGGGAAACGCGAAGCTCCAACCAACCTCTCTCTCTCTCTCTCTCCCTGATGGAAGGAAGGCTTGGAATCTCCGAATTTGGGGGCATGGCTTTGGAAGAGAAGAGGCCCGAAACACGACTGGGATTGGTCGAAGGCGATCGAAGGCTTCGAATTTCCATTTCCATTTTTTTGAGGGGGGTTGATCCAAAAAGCTCCGAACTACATGGGGATGAGACTTGGTTGGAAGGAAACAAGATGATATTTTGGTATCCAACCACCAAAGAATCTGAAACTAAGCATCCAACCAACCAAGAATCTGAGAAACTAAGCCATAGAAACAGGCATTCAAATCCATATCCCAACCCCTGAACCAGACCAAACCCAAAGCACGGCTCCAAGCCAACCGCATCAACCCCCGCCCCGGGTCTCTCACTTTCCGCCCCGCCTCGGAATGGCCCAGGCTGGCGGCAATGTGCACCGGCGTTCTCATGATGCTCATGTCATCCTCTGGACGAATCTCACCGAGCGGTTTTTTTTCTTTGGCTTCCCCGAAGAGAAACCAACCCCAAAGAGGAAATTTGGGCCCAAACCACCAGAGACAGTGCGCTCTCAAATAAAACTGTGATCCTCACTTCACGGAATTCCCAAAGTATGAGAGACCTCTTGGTCAATCCATGGGCGGGCTCCTATCTCCTCACTTCCTATCATTGAAACCCTCAGCGCCCACGCATAGCATCATCTAGCAACATCCCGAAGCCCAGCCGACTCCCGGCATCAAAAGAAATCCAAACAAAAGAGCCAACCGACCCGTCGCCAACCATCCGCCCGACCCGAAAAGAAAAAACATCCACACACACACACACACACACACAGAGACGAACGCGCGCGCGCGCAAAACGCACACACATACAAAAAAAGGGAAGAGGAACCGGCCTGAAACTTCACCGACAGGTCGGGGTTCCCCTTCTGCTGGAGCAGAAACCTCACCAGGTGAGCGTGGCCGAAGTAGCTGGCGTCGTAGAGCAAAGTCACGTTGGGCTCCCCATTGAACTTGACCAGGCGCCCGTTCAGGTTCGCCTCTTGGTGGAAGGAAGGAAGGAAGGAAGGAAGGAAGGAAGGAAGGAAGGAAGGAAGGAAGGAAGGAAGGAAGGAAGGAAGGAAGGAAGGAAGGAAGGAAGGAAGGAAGGAAGGAAGGAAGGAAGGAAGGAAGGAAGGAAGGAAGGAAGGAAGGAAGGAAGGAAGGAATGAACTAAGGAAGCAAGCAAAAACAAAAAAGCAAGGAAGCAAGCAAGCAAGGAAGGTAGGATCCTGGAATCAAAGAAAGAACGATATCAGAAAGAAACCCAAGCAAAAGCACCAAGATGCACCAAGCCAAAACAATCATGTCTCGCTTTCGGGCGGCTCACCTCCAACTCTACCAGCAGCCGCATCATCGACAGGTTCCCCCGCGCCACGGTGCCGCACACCGCGGGGCCGTGCCAGTGCACCCCTCGCCGGGTGTGCGAATTAACCCGATTAATGTTGACCCAGGATTAATAAACCCATCCTATTAGGGGGGTATTCCCTCCAATAATGATGAATCCCCACTAAAAGGGGACACCCCCCCCTATTAATCAACCAGGGGTTTATTAATCCAAATTGATTGCTTATAAACCATTGTGGTTCATGTTCAAGCCATCGTCGATCGCCGGATTCTTTACTCAAACCCAGAGCACCCCCAACGCTTCAACTTCTTCTCCTCCATTTCTCTACGGGGCGCGCGCAAGCTTTAATTTTTGTGATGCATCCATGAACCGCGGGTGCGTATTCACCCGCGTGTCTCTTACCACCTCCAACTTGGGCTACTTGGTTGCTGCTGACCCCCCTGCAAAAGTGGACCACTCTTTGGGGGTTTATGTGAACAAATGGAAGAACAGCAGTCAAGGCTTCCCGCAACATGCTGTTCCGTCGGAAAGCGCGCGCGCGCGCGCCTTTCCGGCCCGCACTCATGGAGTAGCAGCTCTCGGGGTCTGCCTCAGGGCGCACCCCAAAACAGGATTGGAGGGGTGGAAACGTGGAGGCGGGTGGTTAGGGGTGCAAGGAGTTTCCATGAAAACTGAGGGACGAAAAGAGATGAAAGGGGTGGTTGGGGTGGGAGGGGGGGACAACCCCTGACCCCTGAAAAATGAAGGAAGAAAAAAAGGAGGGGTGGTTGGGGTGTTTGCTGGGTGCAATTCAAAATAGGAAGGCACAATCGTGGAACTCAGCTTGCAAAAGGAACCCAGGGATGTGCATAATTCACGTTTGCTTCCTAGGATGGGCGGCTTCTGGGAGGGGGGAGCCCCAATTCACAGTTGAAAGGAAAAGAAAACAAAAACAAGAAAATGTAAAGAAAACCAACGTCTTTCCCAACATAGTCACATAGGAGTTTGGGGCATTGATTTCCTTGGTTCAACTGATGTAATTTCAAATCAAACCAAAAAGAAGAAGCCCAACGTCGAAAACCCAGGCCACAGGCGAAAGCAGTGAGAGAACTCCGGAAATGACAGCCCTTCCTCCACTAACAGCAGTGCGAAGTGTCCTCTACAAAGGACGCTCTCTCAGTGGTCACGTTAGTTCGAGGGGGGCAAGTGCAACAATGACAACTAGGGGTACAAAACCATGCACATCTTCATTCCTGGGGGCTCACTCAAAGCAGGGCAAATGATGCCATGCCCAAGAATGCGCAATAAATCGCTCCAGTTTGCCCCCATGTTGTGTTCAGTGTGCCGCAAAATCTGACACAGCAGCACCCGAAAAGGGACAGGGCTGCCAAAGCAAGCCCGGACAAGAGATGGTCTCATATGAAGAAGCACTGAAGCAGACACACTCTCAGGCGTGTCACAAGACAGGTTGCCATTTCAAACAATGAAATAAGACTACCACAAAAAAAAAGCTCATGGAAAGACCATGGAAAACGAAGGAAAAGCTTGGCAATACCAGGTTTTAAGCCCCGGAAGAGCTCTTCCGCCCTTCCGCCTGGCTGGCAAAAAGCAGGCGCACGAGGTTGGGCTTGTCCAGCTTCACCGCGAGAGTCAGCGGGCTGCCCTGGAACTCCTCCGAGGTTCAGCGGCTAAACCGTTAAACCCACCCATCCACCCGTGGACACCGGTCAACCCCAGTTTATTTATAGGGAGATGGATACCTAGTAATGAATTGGTGTTTGATTATGGGGTTGATTGAATGGGGTCAACCCTAGTTTATTGATGATGGACGAAACCCATTTCGCACCTGAGAGACCCTGGAATGATTCGATTCCCGCGCAAGCACCAAGAGAGAAATGTCTCCCATGGTTTCAAAGTGGTGCAGGATTGCGTCCATCCACAGTAAGGGGAGGGATACCCCTAGTAATAAACTGGGGTTGGTTCATATGGGGTCAACAATATGTTGCGACCTTGTTGTTCAGGGCAGTGCAAAAAGCTTTTGCTGGGCTTTGAAAGAAGCCAAAAGGACACCGTTTGCCAGAAGTGCAGTGGGCCCACCCACTCCCCCCCCTGCAGGGCGCAAACCCTTGAGCTGCAGATGTTTTTTCTACAGAAAGGGCGCTTCATACGGCAATGCGAGGCCATCCTTATTTTCCCCCACACTCGTCGAGCTCGGCAGTACCAAACCTGCCCAAAACAGGGAGAAGCTAAACTGAATCAAGGAAAGCCGAAAAACAAACAAAAAACTCGAGAGGAAAACTCCTTTCAGCCTGCCTTCTGCACATGTTTGGTTTTTTAAGACAAATATTGCCCCCCTCCAAGCCTTTGAGGGGAAGAGCCCCAGGCCTTTGGCCCCAGCTTGTACTTGAAGCTGCAGTTTGGGTCGGCGCGGCTCTCCAGCACACTCTTCACGTCCGCGTAGAGGCATTTGCCCAGCAAGCATTGCCGCAAGCTGGCGGCCAGAGCATCCTCGCCCGGCAAAAAAAAACACGTCAAAACAAGGCCTCCTTAGATATGCCAAACATACAAACCCCCCCAACCCCCACAGCCCCACTGCCCCACTGCCCAAATAACTTGATTGAACTGAAGCTCTGAGATTGGTTCTTTGGCCTACCAAGAGATCTAATGAATCAACACTGGGCAAACTCCACCTTGCAACTCCCATCCACGCGTGGACACCAAACCGGGCTTGCACGGATGAGCCGTCACTCTTCAAAAACCGTCCACCAGTCCTGGTCAAACTTCGGCGGCTCTCCTCAAGCTTTCAAATCCCTGGTTCGGAGTTGGCCGACTTTTCGTCTGTAATTCAAACAACTCGTGGGAAAACCACTCCATCTTCAATCGCTATCTTTTTTCGACACAAACCCGACCAATTCTGACCACGGCTCACATGTGGGTGCGCGGGCCAGCTCTGGCGGCTCCCCTTCAGCCGAAGGTAGGGGCGCTTCCGCTTGCGTCCCATCAAACGAAGGCAGCACGCCCAACATCGCTACGGCGTGCTTTGTTTCGACCTCGGATTGACCTCGAAAAGACTCCGGAAAACGAGTCAACTTCGACTAACCTCCGGGAGGAAGGAAAACGAGTAGACTTCCAAGGAAAAAGATCAACCAACTTGGTCAATCCGAGGCGTGCATGCACGCCAAGCCCCCTGGGCACGCAGGTTGCCTGCGGGCCATCGTGGCTTGGGCCGCTACTGGCGGAGGGACAAAGGACTGAAGGCTATGATTCGACGCTTCTCCCAATTTGTGGTTTGAATGGCTGGTTTCCAAGGGGCGCCCTGAACTAAAGCCAGAAAACAACCGGAGATGCTATAGGGGGGTGCGTATTGATGGCACAGCAAACCGATTTTGACCGATTTCAACCGTGAAGACTAAAACACTATTCGGGCGAAGGACATAACGTCAACTTTGTGCCTGGAAAGCGAGAACCGGCATCTCTGGCACGGTAAGATGGCACATGCGCATGCCCCCCGCTGCGCCGTGGAAGGGGCAAGGAGTGATGCAGGTAACACAGGACACATCCAAACGCCGGCGATCGCACGCGGCAACTCCGGGCGCGGTCGAGCTGTCACGCGCGACGCACGCGAACCCAAGTTGTTTTTCGTGCTCGATGAAGGGCCGCGGCGGGCAAGAAGACCACCGCGAGGCAGCAGCATGGTCGCCAACCCCCCTCCCCCGGCACCGCCGCACATCCCATGCGCAAGCGGCAGCGGCTGGCGAAGGCGCACATACATGTGGGCAGGCGGGAAAGCGGCATCAGGTTTTCTTTTTGGAGCCAAGCCCTGCTTGAGGCCCCGAATAAGAGCAAAAGCACGCCCTGTCACATGGCGGCATAGGTGTGAAGAACACGACACGCAGGAAGCTGCCCACCATGTGGCCAGTCAACAGCGTAGGAAGCAAGCAGCAGGCGGCACATTTTGATGCCAAGACAGGCATCCCAGCTGCGAACCCATCTCAAATGTTCCCAGCAGGAGCAAGAGACGGGAGACTTGCAGGAGCGCTCGGGATTCGCCGATCGCAAGCCCGTTAGGGCGCGATCTCAGCGACCTCGAGCCACTAAGGTTGAGTAATGAGTTCAGTGGGGATCTGCTAGCAGGGAACGTAGCGCTTCTGCAAAGAGGCCATCACCTCCAGCCGGAATTACCGATAGGTTAAAGGCAGGGAGGGCTGGCCCGGAACCGATAGGTTAAAGCTGAGGGGAGGCGGAGCAGCCGCCGCGCTCGCGGAGGCTTCATCCCCCGCCAACAGCTCGCGCACGCAGATGGTTTTTTTCTCCGCAATGCGCTGATGCGGCCACGCAGTGTCCGGCACACACCAGTGCCCCAGGACTCGATGCCGTCAAGCTCACCTTGCGTTCTTCCTAGCAAGGTCGGCGGGCGCTGGGGCCGGCGCGCTGTCAAGCCTGTGGCCGTAAGAACGTGGTTTGGGTTGTTGTCACATTTCGCTGCGGGTCAAGCAGCCGCAGGCAGGGGCTGTTTTTTTCGCAGTAGAGCTCTGGCAAGCGCAATCTCCTTCCAGCGGCGTTTTTTTTCCCCCACGCGCCTTTTTCCGCAGCATCACAGCAGCTACGAAACGAGCGGCGGGCGCAAGCTCAACCGGGCAGGCGGCTCGGCGCCAACCACTCTCCCACCTGGCGTCGGCGAGCAGATCGCTCACCGGCGGCTCGGCGCCATCAACGCACGTCTCCCCGAACAGCGGGAGCTGCAGCAGGCTGGCGGCGAGCGCGCGCTGCGCGGCGACTGCGAGGAGGGCAGTCCACCGCCGCACGTACGCCTGCACAGCAGCTCCGCGCAGCAGTTCGGGGACACGGCGCGACTTGGCGCGCGCGAGCAGGCGCACGAAGGCAACCCCGTCCGGGAGCCACTGGCCACCGACCTCGAGGCCGAGGACAAGCAGGCGGCAGCGCCGGCTCCGGAGGAGCTCAGGGTAAGTGTGTGGTGGCGCTTGCGGCGTCGGATCTGGCGCAGGGCTAGGCCGGGTTCACGGTCAGCCCCCGGCCGCGGAGCGCCGTCAGCCCGGACGGGGCTGACAAGGGTGGTGTCAACAGCGACCTGCACACCGCCCCAGATGGGCAGGGCATTGGCCACAACCTCCAGGCGGCGGTCATCCAGCACCGGCGCATCGAGGTTGAGGTCGTGCAGGAGCACGTTCTCGGCCACACGGGCGCCAGCCTCGCGGCAGATCCTGGCAGCTGTGCGCTCCAGGGGCACACTGCGGGGCCCTAACACGCCAGCGCGCGCGCACGCCGCACGCTGGCCCCCCAAGGCATCCAGCGCGCCCCGACAGGAGCACACCCGCTCGCTGAAGGGAAGCGGCACGCGCAGGCGGCGCAAGGCCGCAACGCGAAAGTGAGGGTCCGGGACGTTGAACTCGGGGGCAGTGGGGAGGACAGTGAAGAAGCACCCGGCATGGTCGCCTGCTTGGGAAGGGAGCAGCGCGCGAGAGGCAGGATCAAGGTCAGCAAGCAGACCAGCCTCGTCAGCGGCGTCAAGCACCATTCCGGCAGCACGCTGCCATCCACGGGTGTAATCGCCAAAGTCTCTACCCTGGCTGCGCGGGTCAAGGCGCAGCAGCTCGTCCCACGCGGGGGGCTGGAAGCCATCAGCCCGCAGCGCCTCAGCGGCCTCCGCCGCGGCACGCACGCTGGGCGCGCGCTGTCCGCCCACAGCGAGCGAAACAGCCAAGTTGCAGGCGACGACCGGGTGCCGCTCTTGGATCATGGGCAGGGTGTCAGCCCCAGATGCCCAGTAGGCAGCAGACCTCCCCCGCTCGGCAGACCGCAAGCCCATCCCGCCGGTCGCCAAGGGTAGTTGGGCCCGTCGGCGCTGCAGGGCATCTAGCTCGAGGGGCTCATCAGCGCTCAGGAGCCGCCCCAGGCAGCGCAGCACCGCCGCATCGTGCTCGCGGGCGAAGGCATAGGTGTGGCAAGGGGGCAAGATGCGAAGGAGGTAGTTGGCACGGGGCGCGCCACACAGCAGCAGTATCAGCCACGCCGACTGCAGGTGCGGCACGGCAGGGATACGCTGCAGGAGTGTGTGTTGGGACGCGCGCTTCTCAGCCAGGAACGCTTGTGTGAACGCGTGGCTGCCGAGAGGGGGCCCGAGGACAACCAACCCTTGCTGTTGGGGTGGCAGGGACCGGTCGCCCACCCAGCTGGGGTCTTTGGCGGTCCCGAAGAGCGACGCCCAGCGGCAGCACGCCGCTGGCGTTCCAAGCGCAAGTCTTCCCCAAGTTAACCTGGATGCCGGCATGCGCTTGCAGACGCGCCTGCAACATGTCGAAAATGGCACGCGCACGGCCGGGCCGCAAGAGGATATAGATGTCATCCAAGAAGGCGAAGAGGACCTCCCCTGGCAGCAGCATTGCCTGTGTGGCCTGCAGAGCTGGGTGCTGCGCAAGCGCAAACAAGCCAGGCATCAGCGGGTCGCCCTGTTCGCCCCCTTCGCCTTGCTCGACGACATGCGCCGCGCCGTTGTCGTCGTACCACAAGTATTGTGAGGCCTGGCCATAAAATTGCCGAACGTACGGCAGAAGCGGAGCGAGGCGCTCGTGCGACGCAAGCTGGGAGAACATGCTCGCCCGCGAGACGTGGTCGAAGGCGCCCACCCCATCAACGGACAGCACAGTGGCCTCGTGGTCTGCGCGCAAAATGCGCGCTAGGCACTCCGTGCCGGCGCGGGTGGACAGGGCGTACTGAAAAGGGGAGCAAGCGTCCTGAAAGTGCTGCGCCATCTGCTGGGCAAGAGTGCGGCCAACTAGCCGGCGCAGCACATCGCCCATGACAAGACCACGCACGCGCCCGTTCGGTTTCTGCAAAGCGACCATGCGGCCTAAACGCAGCCCCTCAAGGATCGCAGCAGGGACGTCGGCACGTGCTAGAGCTTGCGCGGCTCGCACAAAAAGGGAAGTGCTTTCTTCATCATCCAGCAAAATGTGGTAGTGTTCGGCGGTGGCGCCGGATGGGCCCGGAGCTGCTCCCCGCCGGGCGCTCCGCAGATTGGACACCAAGCGGGCGCTGTTGAGGACGAGCGGGCTCGGCGGCTGGAAGGCTTGAGCGTCAGGCGGCACGGGCCTCGCGAGCGAGGGCGGTCGGCGCGCGGGGTCACGCAGCTCCTGGAGGGTCTCCAGCGTGCCGGGCGCCAATGGCTGCGCTGTGAGCGCCCGAGCCGCGGCCGACACTTCACCCAAGCTGGCCAAGCGGGCGGCGCGCTCACCACGCCGCACGGCAGCGAAGTCTGGGTCGGCAGCATCCGGCGCCGGCGCGCCCTGGCCGCGAGACGGGGCGCCAGACACGCAGCGGGCGGCGTCCTGGAGGAGGGACAACCACCCGCCGGATCCTAGCGCCGCCAAGTCCTCGGGAGGGATGCGCCCTTCCCCGGCTGCCGGTGCAGCAACATGCGTGGCGCCAGGCCACGTTCTGGGTCGAGCGCGTGCTCAGGGTCACAGAGGGCTTGCAGAGCAAGGCGGAAGGTTGCCCGCAGCAAGCCACGGGCGGCTGCAGGCACCGCCTGGAGCGTAAACACGCGCAGATGCTGACGCAGGGGCAAGCTAGCGGGCTGCCGCGGGCAGGGCCCCGCCCTCGGGCGCCCCTGCCACGGGCTTGCCCGCGGCCACGTCCGCGGCGCCTCGGGCTGGGGGACCGCTCCTGCGCAACGTCCTCCGAATCACTGCTGGGAGGCAGGGGGGGCACCGCAGGCAGCGGGTCAGGCGGGAGCGCAGCGGGCTGCGGGCCAGGCGGGCCCTGGCCAGGCTCGGCACGAAAGCGGTCGGCCAACCGGTCGATCTGCCCCGCTCCGCGCAGGCCGAGGAGTTCAACCAGCAACGCTTCCTGCGCAGCAGCCGGTATGTAGAAACCCTGTCCTGGGTCAGCCAAACACTCGACAGCGGTCGCCACAGGGATGTTCCCGCGGTGGCGCGCTGCGCATGCCAGGAGGCGGTCCTGCGCTGCGGTTTCCGCTGGAGTGCACGGCCGGCCGGCCGCGGCCCCGACGATCGCATTGGACAACGAATGTGGGTCAAGGGGCGGACGCCGGCGAC